GCTATGGAAGCCGATCAACTGTTGTTGAAGGCAGTGATAGTATCACGTTACAACAATGACTTCACAATGTCGTCTTCAGGGGATGACTTCAACGTCCATGGAGAGACTCGATCTTAGTAGATATTCCTACGGCGTTCTTTTCTGTTGTGAAATGATCGTTTAGGAGGGACTGAGTTTATGTACCTTTGCTACTATAAAACAACGAAAGAAATACCCCAAGATAGGGCCATGCAAACACATCATTCTCTCAGCCAGTAGTGTAAGCACCGAGATTTGATACTTGTTTCTCCTTTGGTCTTGAAGATACGTTTTTCTCCCCTCAGGCTTTGACGCTTTATCACTCTGGTTTGACTGAAGAGACAATCCTGTATGACTTATATACACCATCTAGGTACATGAGCATAGCCTAGAGAAAGCTGTTGTCTAAACTTTAGATGCAAACAACAGATACCCTAAGAAGACCGTCTAAATGGCATAACTGGGCTCAATGCTTTGTCTCTCATGATCTCGACGACTACCCGTCTGTTACTCAGGCCATTGTAGTGATTGGACTATGGACGGCAACATGCGTCTTTGACGGGAGGTAACCTGCAGTAAAGCCAACGGTGAATGTCGCCATGACGATATTTACATCCAATCATTTGAGGAAGCAACCTTCGATACTCCTGGTTGAATGAATGTCTTTGGAACTCTTCAGTTTCTCTCCTTGACACAGTCTCTTCTTCTTCCTCTCAACCCAGAATCTACCGTATTAGCCCAAGAACCAAGCATCCACCAACCCCTAGATCTCCAAATATACTACCAATGGCTACTCTCAACAACGGGGGCTCAGATGATGAACCCGATGCTGGCTTCGAAGTCTTGAACCCTTCGCCTACTACATCATCTGAGTCATGTAGCATACACCTCTCGCCTTTGCAGAAATGGCACAACTACTTTCAGAAAGGCACTCTCCAGGACCACCAGAGATTGTGTGTCGACCTGGGCCTTCCCGGCGATCTTCCAAGCAAGACAAAATGTCGAAGTGTAAGTCAACAAATGTCGAGGACGTAGTGTTGTAGTGCTGACCTGGCTTAGGCTCTCAATAGTATCAACGTCAATATCTGCCAGTTCTTGGACTGCGAGAACAAGCCCAACGACGTTAAGTTCTTTAAGAGCAGAAACGCACTGGTTCGATGGACCAAGAAAAACCACGCTTTCTTCCCTAAGCGCAATCTGCCACAGGGTAGTCCACTGCGAACGTTGTTGAAGCTGATGCTTTTTGGAAAACCCTGATGGATGCTGAGAATATGCGGCGAAGGCCACGATTTACACTGTTTGTAGGATCGATCACTCATGTACAGGATAGAGAAAGTGTAGATAATCATACGCCTTTTTGATGATGTCCATTAAGTACCTAGTTCATAATCTCCCACAGTCTAATCTTTCCTGAATCATTACCAACTGCCAACAAATCACTCTTATTTCCAAACGCAACCGACGTGATTCTTCCCATGGGTGTCTGTTGGGTAGGCCAGTTACGGTACACCGTGCAGGTAGGAAGATGCACCAGTCGTAGCGCATCCTTCTTGTGCTGACTTGCGAAAGCCATGATTTGACCATCTGGAGAGAAGGTGATGGTTGTGATAGGGGTGACAAGCTGCTCAAGGACTCGCTTGGGTGAGGGGCGCTCCTTGATGGTAACCTCCTCTGCCTTGAAGTCGAGAAGCTCGGTGCGGTCGTAGATGTTGGTGATGCCACTGTTGGAACCGACGGCAACCCATCGGTCGTCGCCCAGCTGCTCTGGGCCGTGGTGACCACCAAGAGCCAGCACAATACCACCGACACAACCCTCATCGCGCCAGATACCCAAGAAAGAGCGGCTCTCCATGTTATACTCGCCGACTTGACCATCCCTACCGAGAATTGTCATTCCGTTTCCAGTGCTCCACCAAGCAAAATCAGCAATGCCGCCGTGGCCCGATAGTCTAGCGGCGGTAATCCACTGTGAAGTTGTTGTGCTTAGAACGTTGATAATACCGCCTCCCTTCTTGGTAGATGCCACAATCGCCATGTAGCGTCCACAAGGGCTGAGCTTGAATCGCTCCATAGTCTTGTGCTCCTTCTGGTGTCCCTGAATTTGCGTTGTCTTCTGCACAATTCCAGACTTGAGATCCCAGTGGTGGAAGTACTTTCGTCGTCCGGCAAAGAAGATCTTGTCGCCTTGGGGATATAAGAACTCGGCTCGTCGAACGTCGACTTGCTTAACTTGCACGGAGGTCAACAGGGGGTTGGGTATAGGGTGAGCGGCGGGCGCAATGTGATGGAGGTAGATGACAGAGGCGCGGCTTGAGGACATGAGTACAGGGAACTCGGGATGGAAAGAAAGACATTCGACAGGCGCATTATGTTGGTCTGGAATTTCTCTTGTGCGTTGGATATCAATGACCTCGGGTCGTAGGCGTGTCTTCTTGGCAGATCCAGCTCCGGTCAGGCTGTTGATGTCACGGAGGAACTTCTCCATAGGCTGCGCAGAAACCTCCTCGTCCGAATCGCTATCTGCTGAAGAGTTGGAAGCAGCTGATGATCGTCTTCGCTTGGTCGTTCGTGCATCTGCTTCGCGCGCCCACGCAGGAACAGGGTTCAATCGAAGGTATTGCTGTCGTAGTCGTCTGCTGTACTCGGTTCCGGTAACAAGATCTTCGGCCTCTGTCTTTCGTAGTTTTCGTAGCCGGGTGGCTCCAGCAAGTGAGATCGCCAGTCTATCGTCGTCGCTATCCTCCCACACAGCGGCGTTTGAATCAGCAGCCTTTGCGGCCTTGGTAACCTGTGCAGCGCCTGGGCCAGCGCCAGTGTCAAACATGAAAAGGTCCGCATCCTCAACGTCCTCCATTCCAGGATCCTGGTCGACGAGCTGGAGCTCTTTGCCGTCCGCATCGTCCCAGCCAGCGTTGAAAATTCCATCATTGTTGAACAATTGCGCGCGGAAACCAGCCTTGTTACCTAGAACAAGACGCTCCAACTCTTCTTCGTCCGAGTCCTTATCGTAAAGCGCAATGGTGGGCTTCCTCTTGGGAGCCTCATCTTCTGACTCAAAGTGAGACTCGCTCTCGGAGGAGGAAGAGGAATCCATCATTTCTTCATCTTGTGGTGGCGCCATTTTTGGTTGTGGTTTGTCTTGTCTCGAGGACCGAAGTGAGGTTTGCGGGTTCTGGCTTGGGCGAAATGTTTACTGCATGGAATTTTTTTAGAGGGTCCGATCAGCCTTGCGTACGCGACTGTCTTTGATAGGTTGATCATTTTCAGATGTGGTGGGGCTCTGGCCAATCATGAGGACTAGGACTTAGAAGGCTGAAGATCAACTATATAACCTCTGCAGTACAATAAGAAATTGATGAATTGAAAAAGACGCAATTGCTTTTTACATAAGATATTCAAATTACAATTGATTACTGAGCTGCTGCTTGCGCCAACACAGTCTCCAATCGGCGCAGATCGGGGCTCACAGACTCATGAGACTTCAAAGTCAAACACGAGCCTGCCTGAGCAACATCGATAAGATTCTCAACTTTACCTCCCTGCGCCAATCCAGAGATCAGGACACCAAAGAAAGTATCTCCAACACCGTTGACAGAGACGATGTTGTCGACCCTTTCAGCAGCTGAAAACAATCGCATGTATAGTCCACCAACGGTTGGGTGGCTCATCGAACGCGCGACAATGTATTCTTCAGAGTCGGGGTCCCTCAATCGGGGATCGTCTCGGCCAAGGATAGTTGTAAGGAGAACACCTTGAGGGCCAAGCTTTGTGACGATAGTAGGGATGTAAGGAAGTAGCTGAACAGACTGGACAGGGACACCTGCATCAGTCAACTCAGCTGAAGTGATATGAACAAAGCGCTCTCGAGCGCCTCGCATACCAAAAGCATCGATAATATCGAACCATTCAGGAGCCTCGAAGTAGCCGTTATCGCGGGCTGCAGAGTACATAGCTGCCAGCTCGTAACTGTTGGGGGATGCGATATTCACTGTAGGCTTAGGGAAGACTCGAAGCTTGGGGTGACCTCTCTGGGGACAAAAGAGGTTCATGGACTTGGCAGTCGACACAGGCTCAAAGGCGATTTTGCAGTCTTCATCCTGACCAGCCTTGAGCCATGCTCGGATGTCTCTCTCACTCCAGTTGCCATCCACCACTAGCCACTTGGGCTTAGTTCCTCGTACGGCGGATTTCCAGTACTCAGGGAACGAGTGATGTGTGAAGATTCCCATATCGGCCATCGCCATGACCAAGTTTTTGTTGGCATCATTCACAGCGACATATTGAGCCGTTCTATTCGAGCCATGGTATTCATTGCCAAGTGTGCGGATGTAAGTCGTGTTCAGGCCAGAGGCTTGAAGTCCATTCAGGACAGTTTTGCCAGCCCTACAGTTTCATCAGCACAGCTCGTGTCCTCTAGTCAGACCAAAACTTACACATCATCACCAACCATACTGCAGAGTCTTACCCGTGCGTGCTTGCTAACGGAATGGGCAGCGAGCGCTACGTTATGGCCGACGCCTCCAATAGACTGGCTAATACTGGAAGGATTGGAAGTATGGAGGACAGGCGAAGAGTCGCCCGACTTGGGAGCATAGTCACAGCTTAGATCAATAGCTACGGAGCCGGCAACGAGAATATCAGCTTTGCTCTCGGACGTTACTTCGGGTTCCTTGATCTCAGAAGGAGCAGCAGATGGAGCGATTGGGAATGAATTGCTATAGCTACGGATTAGATTTTACATATGTCCCAGACCATTTTTCATCGCTGCACTTACAAAGTCTTGACTGGCTCAGCACCAGAAGACAACAACCGTGAGAGTTCGACAGCGATGTTGGTGGCCCGGGTGATGTTGGATGTTACCAGTGCCTTGTTGGCGGTAACGGCCTTATCTCCTGTAAGCTCTCTGAGCCTGCCCAGGATATAGGGGGTGTTGGCGCTTCCAGTGAAGCCCTTCTCGTTGGCCTCCTGGACGGCCTGCTCGATATAGGACTGCATCTCAGCGGCAGGAACGCCAGACTCCTCGGGGATGGGGTTTGCGAAGAGCAAGCCTGATTCAATGTTGAGCTTCTCCTGCGCGAGGATGATAGCGGCAGCCTCCTTCTCGGTGTGGACGACCGAAGGACTCTTAATGCCACTGTCACGGGCCCAGAAAGCAGGGAAGTCGACCTTTCCGGATCGACCATCAGAGAAGGTAGAGACATGAGCACCCTGGGTCTCAAGGAACTCAAGGGTTCTAGGAATATCAAGGAAACCCTTGCAGCCACTGGCGACGACAGCAACTCGGGTTCGTCCAAGCTCAGTGAGATCAGCAGAAACATCCATTGAGTCGTGGCCGCCGCGGTGAACACCACCCAAGCCACCAGTACCAAAGACACGGATGCCCGCTAGTCTTGCCAGCAGCATAGTTCCAGAGATGGTAGTTCCACCATGGATTTTGTTTCCGGCCAAGCCCTGTGGTGAGTCCTAGTCAGCTATCGTGGCCCAATATTGATGAGACTTGAAGCTGCATATATAGTATACAACGACCTGTTCAGTATCCATAGACTTACCATTCCTGCAATGTAGGCGATGTCCCTTCTAGATGCCTTAACAGCGCTTCCACTTTCAATCATGCGTAGAATATCAGAGGATGTAGCACCAACAGTAGGCACACCATCGACGATAGCAATGATAGCGGGAATACCTCCATTGCTTCGAACAAGATCCGAATGCTGAAGAGCAAGCTCATTACCGAGAGCTCCGTGAGTGTAGATTGTTGACTCAAGAGCGACGATAGGCTTGTTAGTGGCAACAGCGTCAGCGATCTCATCTGAGACTTTGAGCAACTCTTTTACACCAGCCAAGGAAAAGCTCATGAGGCGGCGTTGAGAGTAGATCGGCCGAGTTCCGGCTCCGGCTCCAGAGCAGCGGCGCAGGACGGAGCCATGTCGAGAGATGAGACTCGACAACCGCATATTGTAGGATTGTGATGGATTGGGAGTGATGAATGCAGCTGTTGATGAGGTTAAGCTGAGGTGAGTTGCCCCAGACTTGAAATAAATACTGGCGGGGACCAAATAGTTCCAATTTACCTTAATATTTAGTGAGGGGAGGGGCAAGTTAGCGCTGGAGTTCCCCGTATGAGCCTCGGAACAGCAATGGAGAGCAATACAGTGACAACTAATAAAAACTCAATGGTTTGCCTATCGTGAGATATCATCTGTCATGATAAAAGAAAAAGGCCCCACAAGGATTCTTTTACTTTACTTCTCAGAGACATAGCGGCATTCCTTGGCTACCTACCGCTGTCGGAGGGCTCCGTCGGTATACATGCCCTCTAACTGATTACAGAAGGCTCTAAGCAATACCTGAGGAAGTAATTCCGCTGAGGATTCACAGCTTCAACAGGCCGGATATATATTTCTTAGAAGGAGTAAATTAGCTGATAGTGCTAGACCCTTGAATATTTGATGGTCATTGCTTTTCTATCGATCGGACTACGGGGAAATAAGTCCCTAAAACCAGCCTCATTATCTCAGGTTTGATCGCTTCTATCCGTGAATGCTACACTCATGATGCACCATTAACATGGGTAGATAGAATTCAAAGTCTCATGTATTCTATCAATGGACTGTATCTGTATCTAGGTATGTCAGCATAGAGAGTGCCTAGTTCTGCCGTTCTTTCACTTCCATCATCTCTAATAAACTCATTAACCGGCAAAATACCCTGGTTATTCCACTCTTATTAAGGACCTTCTGTAACATCCACCAAGACTTGATGTCTGCGAAAAAGACTTGGCAAGCCGAAATCTCCGGTTTCAGAACATTGATTTAATCAATTCTGCGCCGTGATGATACTTTTGGTGTTTCTTCTTCTAAATCTTTCGTCTTTCCCTTCATTGCGCCTGGCTGCGTACAGAATAGCACTGCATTTGCAATCATGTTAACATCACGATCTCTTACAGCTGTCCTGTTCCTGACCGGACAGTCGCTGGCCGATAACTTTACCATTTCTAATGGTCAAATTTTCACTCCTGGTTTTGTAGTTCTAGATGCTCCTCAGCCTTACACGCCACTAGGAGGAGGTAGGTTGATCTCTCAACTTTAGTGATGCCTTCAACGCTAATGTTGATCAAAGATACGCTGCATGTGGCCATAGATGTAACCGCCAACGGCAAGCTGCCATTGTCGCAGAATGACGGCGATGATGATACCGACAACCAGATCTTCAGTATAGAGATGTTCCTGTACAGCTACACTACAGGACGCAACTTTACTATCTCCAACGGAACGGCGAGCGCTAGTAACGCGAGCTTGGGTGAAATTATGGCCCAAGAGCCTGGAAGCACAGTAAAGCATGTCAACTGGGTCTGGCCTGATTGTCTTGTCGGGGACGGTGCGCCAGAGGGAGATAGCGATCGTGGAGTTTACAACGCAAGAAAGACTTATGCCTCCAAAGAGTCGTCACACTGACACGCGATAGATTTCCATCCGACAAAGATTCAGATACCAAGGTGACGACTACTACACAATTTTCGATGTCCCTATCTCTGTCAACAACTCGATCCCGGAGAGTGATGATCGTCCGTCTTGTGACCAGCTGTCAAATGAGCTCCTTTCGCCTGAGGATATCGATGTTGAGGGGGCTAATGAGGTGGGCGTTTTGTTTGCGCCTGGTGATGCGACTGAACTTGATATCAATGGGGGTGAGGGCTCGGCAGGGTCTGTTTTTGGTCCGAAGACGGTTGTGTATGCTGTTTCCTTGAGCATGTTTATGGCTGTGTTTCTGTAGATGACTTTGTCGTGTATGCTCCTCTGATACCCTGAGTTGGCCGACTCCCTGCTTCCCACAGAGCTTGACCTAAGAAATATTAATCATTGCGTTCATTCCCTTGCAGAACAGTAAAGTAAAAATAAAACACCATTTATTAAGATGTTACATGAATTCGGCTAACCAATGCAGGTCACCACATCGCCATCAGCATCAATTTCCTATTCAGGAACCATCCCCGCTTCACTGAATTGCGGGGTTCGTTAGAGCTCCCGAGGGACGCTTCATTTACTCATGATAGACCGATTCGACTTGGCGAGTTTCTGTGACGAATAGATTTGCTCTTGTTACCCCAGGCTTTTCTAACATCCCTGCAATTGCTTGCGACGAGTTACGAATTGGTAGCTGTTCGTGGAATGGAACCTCGGTCTGTGTGTCCATCATGACAAGCATCATATGCAGCAACCCTTCTTCCCCTCAATATGGAACCCAAGGGGGTGGTTGCTCTGATCGTTGAAAAGGGTTAAGATGCCCAGAATTCCAATCTTATCAAGCTATTCGACGCACGGTTCATGTTCATTTTCTTGCGATTCAGTGAATAATTTCTGTTCATCGCATCGCATCCCATCTCATCTCATCATGCCTATGCACCAGGGACTCCTCCCACGCGAAGGCTTCTGTGCCGACGTCGTGGTAAGATTAATTCGACAGACAGCTCTCAACCCGGCTCTCATCCTACCTCTCGTCTTGCTCGCCCGCTTCACTAAAAAGGGTCAAGACCTCTCAATCCTTCATCCAAGCGCCGCAAAGAACCTGTCGACTCTACTCTATTTTGGCCTCGCACGATGGGCCAGCAGTTGGTTGTCCGAGAAGACGAGAAACAACTGGGTCAAAGACGAATATGACTGGAAGCGCGAGATTGTGCTCGTGACGGGAGGCGCTGGAGGCATTGGCGGTCGAGTTGTCAAGTTGTTTGAGGAGATGGGCGTCAAAGTGGTTGTGCTTGATGTTCAGCCTATGTCTTTCACTACTGGTAGGAAATATCCTTTGAGGTGACGCGATGAAGAAGATAGGGAGCTGACTATATTTACAGCGGCCAACGTTCACCACTACCAATGCGACCTTCGTTCTCCCGAGAACGTCGAGGCTGTCGCCGAAAAGATCAGAGCTGAAGTTGGACATCCAACCGTCGTTATCAACATTGCTGGAGTGGCCAGAGGAAAGACGATCTTGGAATCTCAGCCAAGTGATATCCGCTTCACTTTCGATGTCAACGCCTTTGCGCCGTTCTGGACAGCAAAGACATTTCTTCCCAACATGGTGGAAAACAACCACGGCATGTTCGTCACTTTAACCTCTTATGCAAGCTGGTTGACCATCCCTAACCTCGTCGACTACGGTGCTTCAAAGGCTGCTGCCCTGGCTTTCCATGAGGGTTTGACTGCTGAGTTGGCTACGAGATACAATGCTCCCAAAGTCAGAACCGTTATCGTTCATCCAGGCCCTACCAACACTGCTCTCTTCAAGGGCTACTACCAGAACACTGATTTCTTCATGCCGCCCTTAGCCCCTGAGACGGTGGCTGATGCTGTAGTGAAGCAGGTTCTTAGTGGACGCAGTGGTACTGTCATCGTTCCAGGTACTGGAAGTATACTAGCTGGTCTACGCATGCAACCGGACTGGTATTCAATTCCTGTGAGAGCGAAGGCGCAGTCCTATATGAAGAACTTTAGTGGTCGTCAGGTCATTGAAGATGTGGACGCTTCTTATGAGAAAGATGGGCGTGAGAAGGAAGCTGGTGATAATGCGGCCGAGAGCACGGTGCTCGTTTCTTAGTTGAGACTGGATCGACATTTTGATTTCCTATGAGCGATAGTAACCCAGTATATGTTTGTTTGTTTTGTTTTTCCATGTCAGATATGTTGGTCATGACAAAGATGTGCAGATGCTAGGTGTATATGTGCTGTTTATTGATGAATAGCTTAAACACAGGCGGTATTAGCTTTTGCGTTTCGACAACTCGGAAAGAAACATACAATAAAGTTAACAATAGTACAGTACTATAAATCACACAAACCGTTTTCAATCGATCTTAGCCAATAGAAGAGCTGCGTAATCGATATCATAGGCCCTCAAAGCCGACAGAAGACGCATGATAGGTTCTGCAGAATACATGAACAGGGTTCAAGATACCGAAGTCCGAGCCTGTTAGTGCGCTATATTTGCAACAAGGATTCCATTCTGTTGGTGATATCAAGTTCTCAATAAAGTATGATACTATGTTGGTGACCCAACTGCCTGATATTGCGAGCACGCAAGTGTGCCTCTCTGCTTAGGTGCATACAACATAAATCAACTCGATCGATTGTCAGGCATCATGCATAAGAAATGATTCGATAGACTAGCCAAACCCTAGCTGAAGGATTCAAAAATGTCTTGATACGGAAAACTGCCAATGACACGCCTACATAATAGGATCGAGCCAACGTCGCTTACAATGCGCAATGAGAGACATGTGCCATGACGGCGTCAGCTTGGATGAGAACACATATCCAAAAAGACTGCACCGAATTTGCTAACATGCATATGCAAGTATTGTACATTAGAAGTAGAAGCAAGGGACCTGGTCTGCCAGACGGATTAACATGCCTACATCATAAGATGATCGTCGTTGTCAGCTCCAGACCAACAGCTGGGGATTGCAGCACAACATGTACTATGTAACTAAGAGGAAGTATAAGGGCATCTGCAGAGAGGAACTAGGGTCCATCCCTCCCTCCCTGATAGAGTGGATGACAGAAGAAGTAAAGGAAGCGAAGACTCAACATTCGGTGGTATTCAAATGGAGTAATACGGCGGTAAAGACGGGAGATTTGCAGCGGCAGCATGCTCCTTTGACACATTCCGTTATCAGATAAAGTAGATAATGGCAGGCTAAGCGCATTCTGCGTGTGACACTTAGATCTATGTTTCACCTGCTGCCAAGTCCAGTCTAAGTTAATAGCAGTCCCTATATATATTCCAAACTTACGGTGTGGCTCTCTTGCAGGTAGGTCCCTGGTTTGAAGTACCTCAGCTGCCAAAGTCTACGGCTGTTGAGCCAAATCGGTAGTCAACGGTTTCACAAGCGCCTGGGGAAATGCTTCTCGATGCTGAATAATGCCACCGGCCGAGAACGGGCTCAGTGGATAGGGTTGTGCTTCCATGTCCTGGTTCAGGCTACATATTGAGCCTGGGGAGAGAGGACCCTGAGATAACCTAGCACACGTAGAAACTCAACAACATGCCATGATGCTCCATCGTTCATGTCCTGACAGCAGCTGACAGGATGGAAATGTACACAAAATGTATATATCTTTACCAGGATTGGTTAATGTCAGAGCTGTAGAGACAAGCGAAAGACACAATTGCCCACACCACGTTTTCCATCGGAGACTAGCAGCCGCAGAAAGTGGATTCTTTGCGCGAGCGTGTGGCACGGGTTCAACGTCTTTTCTGTCTAGGTTCCAAAGTGCCATTGGAAAGACAGAGTAGGCAATGTTGATGATTAACTGATCTAACAGTCTAGACTGGACAGTGTTCTAGGCCATCATTACCAGAGGTTGATCTTTAGCACAACCAGACCCCAGGACTCGATCAGAACTCACAGTTTAAAGTTGGTCCAAAGAGTATGTAATCGGAATTTAAATCCCATATTGTTTCACCTATTTTTTCTTCAACTCCGTGCTTTGTTTCGGGGTTGATCATGGACAGCATCAATAACAATGACAATGACAATTCTTTAACTATCGTCCAATCACATGCTAGATTAATGTGTGGACCCTTTCAAGTTCCGGCAGGAAGGACCCCAGCAGAAAAGAGTGAACTAGCGAGGAAGGAAGGGCTTAGAAAGGGCCCCTGGGAGGCTAAACCCAGTTGGAGGTGTCAATCGTGTCGACCGAGTGGGCCATGTGGCAGCCCGCCAGCAAAATCTCCCGCGAAATCAGCCCATTTCTTGTATCCTCGTCAGGTCTGGCGTCGCCTGTCTCCGGCCTTTCTGGCGATAATCGTGTCATGCCATTTTTTTTTCTGGTCCAGGCAAGGGCTCCTCTGTCATGTTGTGACCCGATTTCACCTGCCCTTGCTCTTTGCTACATTCTGGGTTCCTTCCCATCCTTGCCTGTCTCTTTCCGTACATAGATTCTTTCTTATTTGCTCAAGGGAAGGCACACAGTTCTTTGTAAACCCCCGTCGTCGCTTCCCATCAGCCCCCGAACTCCGGTACCTGCCCGTTGCGTTGCATGGGTGTTGTGTTTCCCATCTTATATCTGTCTGACCTCTGAAGCTCGGAATAGCTTCATACTCTACTTAGCTTCCTCCTTCTCCCCTCTTGTCTTTTCTTCTCTTCACCTCGGGCTTCTCTTCTCCGTGCTCTGTCGTCTCTCGTCGTCCATATCTTTCTTCATCTCCGTCGTCATCGAAGCGGTTTCCGTCTCATCTCCATTGATCGCCATCCTTCGTAGTCCGCTGTAGCTGCATCACCCTTGTCGCTTCAGTACGTTGTAACTTGTCAGCCAAATTCAAGCTGCCCCAACAGTCAGTCGGCCGATCTGCCCCGCGACCTCGACAACCCCGTACAGTTCCCAATTGTACATATATCCAATTAATATTGCGCGACCCCTCCTCGAAATCCCCGAGTATTTTCGACTACTTCGATCACGCAAATATCATTTCGACAATCCTACTCTCCCATCAGACGACAGTGGGTGGTTCACATAACACCCCGAATCAGATACGCACGACTTCTATAACTAAGTGGACGGACCATCTCGGCGGATATCATATTACCAAGGCACTGTTTCGCTTCGCACGACCCTCGTCGTTGTCGCCAACCTAACCGTTTGCGATAACTTATATTCCGCTGGCTTAGACTCTCCCACCACTGTATCCTGTCGCAATTGCTTGAGGACGACACTCTGTCTATTATTTGGCCCGGCAGAGGTCGTCCCTGATCCTCTGATCTCCCAATCGATTTCATATATATATATATATATATCATGGTTCCCAGTGTTGTTCAATCCGACGATATGGATAACATGGAAATCCCATTCCCGGCGATGCGTGAGCGCCAGGAGGGCTCCCCTCCTCCCTTTCAAGACCCTCTTGCCCTTCTACGAAGTCTTCCTGAGCCCCCACTGGAATGTCAAGTTTGCGTTGTTGGTGCAGGACCTGCTGGCCTGATGCTGGCCGCAAACCTGACCAGGTACGGTATCAACGTTGAAGTGATCGATGACCGAGCAGACCAGACGCCCGTTGGACGGTAAGGCCATATCTTTACAGTTTGCTACCCGCACAGCCCAATTGACCGTAAATATAGAGCCGACGGCCTACAGCCAAAAACAATCGAGACCTTTAGACAAATGCGACTTTCTGACACCTTATTAAAACAAGGTGTCCGTGTTTTCGATATTGCTTTCTGGCGCAGCGATGCGGACCAGCCTTTGCGCCGACTTGGGCGCGAAGTTCACTACCCACCAATTATCGACGTGCTGGATCCATACATTCTTCTCGTTCATCAGGGTATGGTGGAAGGCCTTTTCCTCGAAGATATGAAGAAGCGTGGCAAGGAGGTTCGCAGAAACATGGCTTTCGAGTCATACAGTGTTCCGGACAACAAAACTGGCCCTCTTCAAGTCAACTGTCGTGCCAACGTCAACCAAGATAAGCGTTCTGTTCTGACACAATACTTGATCGGATGTAAGTGACTTCACTTTCACGAACTTTATGTGTGGAAACTGACTTTCAACAGGTGACGGTGCTCACTCCAAGGTTCGCAAGAGTATTCCTGATGTTAAGGCTGTTGGCATGTCCCAGGCTGCCATTTGGGGCGTTCTTGATGGTGAACTGATCACTGATTTCCCTGATATCTGGTCCAAGACGTTGGTCTACTCACAAGAGCATGGCTCAATTTTAATCATTCCCCGAGAGAGGAACATGACCCGATTCTACATCGAGCTGAAGGCCGGCGCCAAGTTTGACCGTCGAGATCTCGGACAGGAGTTCATGATGAAGCGCGCCAAGAAGATCATGGCACCGTTCCGCTTAGACTGGAAGTACGTTGAGTGGTTCGGTCGTTACCAGGTTGGTCAGAGGGTTGCTAGTCGCTTCACTGATGGCCATTTAAGAGCGTTTTTGGCAGGCGATGCCAGTCACACACATTCTCCTAAATCAGCACAGGGTATGAATACCTCGATGCACGACTCATGGAACCTATCGTGGAAGTTGAATTTGGCGGTTCGAGGTTTGGCTAAACCGAATTTACTTGAGAGTTATGAAGAGGAGCGCCGCAAAATCGCCTTGGATTTGGTTAACTTTGATTATGAGCATGCAAACCAAATTGCTGGCGGAGATGCCATTGCATTGGCCGAAAACTTCAGGACCAACGTCCGGTTCATTTCCGGTATTGGTGCTGAATATGGTGAGAATGCCATCAACCGACCAGGAGTCGGCAACAACCAGTTCGTCATGGGAGACGCCAAACCAGGCTGTCTTCTCCCTCCCGCCAAGGTTACTCGATACATCGACTCCAACCCTGTGGATATCCAGCTTGATATTCCCATGCTTGGCCAGTTCCGTATTTATCTTCTTATGTGGGATGTCCAACAGTCAGCACCTTTCCTTCAGACTTTCTGCCATGCTATTGCTGGCGAAAAATCCTTTATTAGCAGACTTTCTGCTGCCGCAAGTGCTTCATATGCTGCGCAGCCTAGGGCTTCAGCTCCTGAGGATGTCTACTCCCGTCCAGAACGATATACTGTTGTTAGCCATCTCTTCACCTTTGGTCTTATTAGTAAGTTTAATGACGGTTTCCATCCGATTTTCCCACTAACTGTCATCTAGCAACCATGCCCAAGACGGAAATTGAAATTTCTGACCTTCCGCCTCTCCTGCAAGACAGCCGATGGACATTCTATCTAGACGACATTCCCGACCAGGATACGCGCGGCTCACTATGTACTAACAAGTGGCTTGGAAGCCTTGGCCCCGGCGAAGTGGCTATTGTCAATGTTCGCCCCGACGGTTACGTTGGTTCGATAGGCCGATGGGATTCGAGCCTCGATGAATCTGGCGTTCAGGCGGCTCGATGGCTTGACGAATATTATGACGGGTTCATGCAGATCCCAATGCAGTAAGCTCAGGAGACAATCATGAAATCCAGATATGGCCATCCTCAGTTACATGATCCCGCACTTATCAAGGGACATCAACTTGGAAAGAAGCCCCTGTCCTGCATGGGAACCGTCAAGTTTGTATATTCAAAATCTTGACATCTTTTAAGGCTCCCCTTTTGATGTCGGACCCCTACTCTGCTTGGCATTGGATAGCTCTACCAGAGAACCAGCACAGCACATATGATGGAGGTGATTGAATAATCACCACTCCGAGGAAGAGAAGGAATCATGTGGACATTAGAGACGAACAGTTATGTGGACGATAGAGAAGAACATAGGCAGAGGAATCTACGGTCAATCAAGCGTGACCTTAGTTACATAGTAGTGGAAGATAGCTGGCAGCTACTGCTGTCGTGCAATCTATTTCTGGTTCTGATGATATACATACTCCATGCTCTACCCGTGATCTGAGTCGGATTTATCCATCGATGGGCTGCAGATGTGCTTCATGGTTGACCTTTGCTCCATCCCATGCCCCCCCTTCTTTCAGTCATATATGTAACAGATGTGGTCCAGAACCTGTTTCTTCTTTCTCAACTCCTACGGGAGTGAGCGCTGGGCAGGAGGCTGCCCATCTCCATCAGCTTGGTTTCGAAGAGACTCATTGCCGTTGCGACTGTGTTGACTTTCGAAGCTTTCGCTTTTATCATCTGCTTTGCTCAAAAATGAAGATTGTGGTTTACAGGACTGGTGATGATCTTCAGGCGATAGCAAAGATGGATTGCCAATTCTCAGACTTCGAGGCTCACGGTGCCAGAGCTCTGGACAAGGTATCTGCGAGGCGCCGATAACACGAATATGTTCATTTTGGTGGCTTTCGTTGGATCCATGTCGTTCGGTATTCCCTTCTGGCTTTCCTTTAAGGAATGCGGCCAAAGGACGAGAAGTGTTGTGGCCCATTTTGTGAAGATGCGTTGCCTGTTCTGGGATGTCGGATAGTTTTCGTTGTAACTTCTAAGACGATTTCGAACATCGCTCGTTATATAGACTCAAGAGAAAAGTGAATGTGGTCGTGCCTTCACTCATTCCGACCTGGTTGCAGTAACTCATCGAATTCAATATCTTCTCTCTCTGACTTGCATTCATGTTTGCTCCTTGGGCGATGGGTGCATTTCATCACTTGACAAAGAATATATGTTAGCCATGGACATATGTAACAAAGGGGCTGTGTGGTTTGGGTCGTGTTGCACATCGCATGGTGGGTGAAGGAAAAAGCCCAAACCCAAACACGGAAATAAGATAACAAGGATCTAGGCGTTTCTGGAGTTGGGTCACATAAGACAAAATATTGTTGAAGTTTTAAATGTTTTTTGAAATTTCATGAATGGCTCAAGCGAGCCCAACAGGTATTCATGACCCCGTTGTTTGCTAGTTATTATGATATTCATTCCACATCATCCATCTTTTGCTTTTCCATGCTTTTCAGAAATCAAAAATTCGCTCATCTAAGTCGTGGTCCATTATTGCTGGGTGGGCATAGCAACATCAGCCTTCTTAGCGACGGCATCAGAGCTCTGCCACAGGGCTGTAACAGTCTTGAGCTGGGTGTAGAAGTTGATGCCAGGCTTTCCGTAGAAAGTGTTGGAACCACCACCAGCAATGGACTTCTTGTTACCAGTGAAAGAGAACATGGGCAAGGGGACGGGGATGGGAACATTGATACCGACCTGACCGGCCTCAATGTGCTTGCGGAAGGTCTCGGCAGTAGCGCCAGATCGGGTGAAGATGGCAGTACCATTACCGTACTCGTTCTTGTTGACAAGGTCGATCGCATCATCAATGGACTCGGCGTTGAGACAGACAAGGACGGGACCGAAGACCTCCTCCTTGTAGCAGGTCATGTCAGGGGTAACGTTGGTAATGATGGTAGGTCCAACCCAGTTACCGTTGGGGTACTTGCTAGGCTTGTAACCACGGCCGTCGAGAAGGATAGTAGCACCCTCCTTCTCAGCGGACTCGATAAGCTTCTCAATGCGCTCCTTGCTCTGGGGAGTGATGACAGGACCGAGATCGGCTCCCTCCTCGAAACCACCGTCAACCTTGAGGTTCTTGGCCTGCTCAGCAACATCGTTGAGCCACTCCTTGGTCTCACCGACCATGACGAGTGTGCTCAGGGCCATGCAGCGCTGGCCGGCAGCGCCGAAAGCAGCACCAACAATGGAGTTGATGAACTGGTTCTTATTGGCGTCAGGGGAGACGACAGCGTGGTTCTTGGCACCCAAGTTGGCCTGAACACGCTTGCCGTTGGCAGATCCACGGCTGTAGATGTACTCGCCAGCCTTGTTGCCACCAACGAAGCTGATAGCCTTGATAGCGGGCTCGTCAAGGATGAAGTCAACGGTACGGTGAGCACCATGGATAATGTTGACAACACCCTCAGGGAAGCCAGCCTTCTGGACAAGCTCGGCAATGATCATGGCAGCACCAGGATCACGCTCGGAAGGCTTGAGGATAAGAGTGTTACCGGTGATAGTAGCGATGGGAATGCACCAGAGGGGAATCATAGCAGGGAAGTCTAAATGCTGGTTAGCCAGAGCATGGGAGTGACATAAGATGAACTACTCACTGAAAGGGCAGATAGCAGCCGTAACACCAAGAGGCTCGCGGTAGGTTCGAGTCTCCATATCCTTGGAAACCTCGAGGACTTCACCCTTGAGAAGCTCAGGGGCGGCAATGGCAGCCTCAGCGACCTGGAGACCTCGGAGGACATCACCTCGGGCATCAGCGAAGGTCTTGCCCTGCTCGAGAGTGATGCTGGCAGCCAGACGGTCCCAGTTCTCACGGATGAGCTGAACAAAGCGGAACATGATCTGCTGTCGAGAAATGACAGTAGTGTTCTTCCATGACTTGAAAGCCTTCTCAGCGCTCTCGACAGCAGCCTTCATCTCGGCGTCGGTCATCTGAGGAACGCGAGTGACGAGCTCGTTGGTAGCAGGGTCGTGCAAGTCAATAAACTTATCGGCCGAAGAGGAAACGAACTTGTTGTCGATGAAGTAGGGAGTATCGACGACCTCGACCTTGGCGTGTGTGGTAGGGTAGCTGTTGGCAGTAGAGGCCAGAGCAGCTGTCACAGGCTGGAGCTGCTTGGAAGTCGCATGAATGCGCCTGGCAGCGACGTGGGATGGGCCGCTGGAGGTGAGGATAGAGGATCGAGAGATAGCAGCAGTAGAGCGGCTTGAGGCGCCCAGGCCGCGGGTGAATGCGCGACGCATGATGGCTATGTTGAGGGACGATGTATAAGTGAACAAGAGGGGGGTATCCACGAGAGGAAGGAAAGAGCAAGTATCCTCGATAACTTCCAATGAAGCAAGGAGTAATCAAATCAAGCAAGAGATCAAGCGGCTCTCAGACTTTTATACTCTCCTGCCCCGGGTACCTCTGCGCCGGTGCGGAGGCAATTGGAGGAGGTCAACACCACCAAAGACGTCTCTCACTCGTCACAATGCGGGGCGACAGGAGCAACTCATGATAAGCTAGCGACTGCTCTCCAGCAGAGTCGGTTGTCATTTCTGGAAAGTGTGGGGTAATTGCCGAATGAGCCCCGGTTTGCCCGCTGGTTACCGATTTACCGTTCTAGGCCGATGGATGGTTCGTCTCCCAATTCGAGTCTCTTACTGGTCAAATCAGTTGGGAAGGTCTTGCTATTCCTTCGTCTCCATTCGCCTGCCTAATCCGGAACAGTATCTATCTCTTGCTATCTGCCACATAGACTATTTCGCTCTATATATCAGACATCGGGGACACCTTCCCAAGATGACAAATGGAAACTTATGTCTGCATCGTGACATCCTATCTCAGATAGTTTGTAGTTTCCTTCGTTGAACACTCCGACTTCGGTGAAGAACCATGTTTCTGGCTTACTGCTGGGTAACACGAGTCAGCTCTACTACTGCAACAGTGCAATCACACGGATCAAACAATTCGAATTCCTGTGCTTTGCTTTCTCCGGCAGTGTGCTCTTAACTCGATCTTATCTTAGAAGGCACTGACTTAAGTCAACCGGGTAAAAAGGTTATCAATTGGTTAATATTCCTATCGCTGATCTGGGTGCGCCAAAAGAACAAAATCATTTCATGAAAGTTGTTTACATTTCCTCCGCAACGTGCTTCTTACTTTCTCTTACTACTATATCTCTTTAGCCCCGTTTTTCTTCATATAAAATCCTTCGAATACAGGCCCAATTCTTCTACTTTTCTTCCCTTACGACTGGCTGCGAGTGGTGCGCTTGTTGACCTCGCCCTTGACCTTCTCAGCACCGGTGGCGCTGGCCTCGGCGGCCTTGTCCTTGACTTGCTTGGCCTTGTCGGAAGCCTTCTCGGCAGTCTGCTGGACAGCGGGAGACTTGCCCAGGTTGAAGAGGACAGCAATCAGGCCAGCGACAGTAATGAGGAGAGCGGCAAAGCCACCAGCGACCTCAGGGACGAACTTGATAGCCTGGATGGGGTCCTGAGCAGCGATAGCCTTGAAGAGGTCAATCTTCTCGGTGATGTAGTGAACAGGGTCCTCCATGAAGTTGAGGTCGCTAGGGGATCGGGGCTTGTCCTCCTTCTTGGGCTTATCAGCCTCAGCGAGGGCCTTCTCGATAGGGTGCTTGATACCAAAGGTCTCCTCGGCAAGCTTGTTAGCATCCTCAATAGAGTGGCCAATGTAGATGTTATCGAAGAGAATGTCGTTCTGCATGGTCCAGATCTCGAAGCCAATAGCTCCCATAGGCTCGAAGTTGGCAGGGGTCTTGTCCTCAAAGAAGTTGGGGTTCTTAATCTTGCGGGGAGCCCAGGTGCCCTTGTATGCGGGGTTCTCGATGTAAGGTGCGGTCCACTTGCCCTTGTAGTCGGGGTTTCGCTTCATGGGCTTAGTCCAAGGACCACAGCCAGAGGCATCACCACACTTGGGGTTGGGGACAGTAGGGGCGATCCAGTCACCATCCTCCTCGTCATCCCAGTCCTCAGGCTTCTGGGCCTCGGGGTCGGGAATGGTAACGGGCTCGTCCTCGAGCCAGTCCTCAGGCTTGGTAGCCTCCTCATCGACAACCTCGAAGGGAGCATCCTCGTCCCAATCCTCAGGCTTCTTGGCCTCAGGGTCGGGAATGCGGGCCTCGTCGACCCAGTCCTCGGGCTTCTTGTCATCGACATCGTCAACCTCGGCAGGGGGGTTGACGGCGGGGGAGAAATCCTCCAAGAGGCTGCCTGTCTTGACCTCCTCGTTGTTCTGCTTGATGGCGTAGGTGTTGTTGGGGTGGACAATCAGAGTGTAGAGCTCCGAGGTCTTTGTGATCTTAGCAGTAGGGGGAGATTCGAGATGCTTCTCCTCGTACTCGCCGGTCTTGGGGTTCTTGTGGTTGAAGATGAAATGAACCTTGTTGGTGTGACCACACTTGTCAGGACCAAACATGATCACATAAGGAGTGGTGTTGGCAAACTCTTCTTGGTGAAGGGCCTTGTTATCCCGAAGGAGCTTCATGTAGGCACCGCCACATTCGAGGCCATCTGTGAACAAAATGTCAGCATGCGCGATCAGTCGGCAGATTAAAGGCAGTGCTTACTCTGTAGCTTAACCTCGTACTGAACCACAAGAGTCTTGCCCTTGTTGTCAATCTTCTTGGGGAACTTGGCAGAGATGGCGTGGTGAGCGGCAGGGTTCTTGACAACAAGACCCTTATCACCATCAATTCCCTTGTACTTGACAGGCTCCTCGACAGCCCACTCGCCGACGTATGCCCATTCCTCCTCGGTGCCAGATGTGTCCTTCTTCGCATGAGAGGGTTGCCAGCGCTGGTCCCAGTCGTCGGTAAATTGCTCAAGGAACTCAGCCTTGAGGTTGGTAGGCTGTGCGGCGAAATGTTAGCTATCAATCAACCACATCATGAGCTCATAGAGAGCTAGGTAGGAACCGTATGGAGCTCCAGTGCGTCGTCATGAGGACTTACAGTAAAGGTGGGAAGCTTATCGGGAACGGAGGGAGAAGCCTCCTTAACATCCTCGGCGTGAACGTTGCCAGTAAGCATGGCAGCCGACATGGCCGCCGCGACAGCGTTGAACTTCATGGTGGAAGAAGCGACGAGATAGCTCGGGCAAATGAGTTCCAGACGTCACTGACGGAGCTGCGGGGATGGAGGGGAAGAAAAAAGAAAAGAAACACGATCAAGAGACGTGCAACTGCTGAAGAGGATTACAGTCGATGAAGGGATTCCCAGCGCTCGAGCAGATTACAGAAATCCAAGAGTGAGGTGAATTGGGTGAAATAAAGAAGCGAGAGGTGGCGTCTTAACAAAAGAGTGGAGAGCTTCTGCTTAGTGTTGAGGACACGTAGAAGCTCAGAGCCGCTACGGGTACAAGTTTCAGGGATCAAGAACCGACAGGTGCAGTGCAGGGCGGGGGGAGGTGGGAGATGTGGCCCCGAAGCCACTAAGGCAGGAAGGTGCGGCTGCCACTGTCAGGTACTGGGGGCGGGGAATTTGGTGAGGAAGCCTCGGTTTGGCAGTTGCGAAGCAGCCAGTCCCATAGAAGGCTCGAGAACAGGAAGGCGTGTAGAGCGATTGGCGGATGAATTTTACTGTGAATCTAGGCCAAGATAGTTTATTGAGATGGCCTAGAAGCGTAGCAATTGTAACGGCGCATTGAACATCAAGCGTACCGGTCTTCAACAACAGGCTCATGGCCAGCCGCTAGTCTCATAGCTCTGAGAGATAGTTCACAGCTGAACGAGTTGACCAGGGCGCGTATCCCTTGGTACCTTGCTCTCAAAAAGAGTGGATGGTTTGACAAGACTTCTAATTAGCCAAAGCAGTTCTACATGGTTAACTTGATGAGCCCAGTTTATGTTTCAACAGGCCTACAGAGGTTAATTGTCTTCTTCTCCGCATTGTTCATCAGTGACATCAGTCATAAGTAAAACCGTTATGTGTCTGGAAGTTACCCTAGACTCGAATATTACAGAATGGTGAGTTATGGCTAAGCCATCATCAATCTTAAGGTTCTAGGGACAGGGGTCCAGGTGATAGAGATACGATAATTACAAAGTGACATTGTGGCGTCAAGGGCATGGTGTCAAACATGTTGATGAAGCCGTCATTTGAAGTTTGTAGAAATGACGATATGCGTTGAACTTAGTCAATTCAAAGGTCAAACTGTAAACATTGCAAACTGAAGCTGAAGCACGCATTGGCGTCAGGAACTCTTTCTTCTAGAGGATTCTCTAGAAATGCGATTCAATTGGCTTCGCGCTTTGAACACGAACCGCAAGACCCTCATTTCGCTTGTTGACAAGCTAACGTTTGAAGCACCCGATTGGGAAACATGAACCAATCACAAGCTAAAGCCCCACACCAAGCACAACCCCAGTGGTCAGGCTGCGAGATGTAAGTTAAATCACCGGCAAAGTCAAGCAAAGCAAGCGACATCAAAATTGTGGTTACGCAGAGCGCAAGAAAAAGTGAGGTATTGTATTCATGCTCATATGCCGAGCCATATGTGAACGCGAAAAGTTACCCAAAAAAGTTTGTCCGTGAAAACGATGTAGCCCATTGACTAGGCCTTCATCATGCTATCCAACATGTATCGCATTTGAAAAATTCAAACTCCAATCATTACCGCTGTAGTGAAACCCATTAAATCCTTCCCTTCTATCAACCAGATACCCAAAGCAGGTTACCCAATTTACAGAGCGAGAATGGCGGCAGCGAGACCGAAGAAGGAGACACCGCCGACGAGGGCAGTAGCGGCGTTACCAGTCTCGGAGACCTCAGCAGCAGTGCCGGTAGCAGTACCGGAGCTGGCCTCGGAGTCGGACTCGGTAGCAGCAGCACCGGTCTCGGTGGCCTCGGCGTCGGTGGCGGCGGCAGTAGCAGCGCTGTCAGTGCCAGTGGCCTTCTCAGCGGCGGAGGAGGCAGCCTCGGAGGCCTTGCTCTTGGCGTCGGGGACGTCAGTACCACGGGGAGTACCATCGACGGACTTCCAGTAGTTGTCGGCGATACAGTCCTCGAGACAGGCGGAGTACTTGGCAGTGTCGGCCTCAGAGCCCTTGCCCTTGGGACAGGCAGCAACACACTCAGTGGTCTTGTTGATGTCGTCCTCGTTAGGAGAAGGGACCTGTTATGTTTGTTAGACTCATGGATGATTGACCGTGTAGGAATCGTGACATACGGTGATACAGTAAGACTGGCACTTGACATCACCAGCCTCACACTCATCGAGACAGTCCATCTGGGACTGCTGAGCAGGGGACATGGAGACGGTCTTGCTCTGGGCAGCGGCCATGGTGGCGAAAGCGCCGGCAACGAAGATGGAGGTGAAACGCATGTTGATGGTTTTCGGGTGTTGGTATTAGAGAATTAGTTGTGTAAAGTTGTAGAGATAGTACTCAAAAGCGAGAGTGGGAAGTAAAAGTCTGGTCTAACGAATGACGGACAGATAGATATTGACAACGAGGGTGAAGAGAGAAGGGAAAGAACAGAAGCACGCGACGGGGTATGCCAGTCCTTTTATGAATAACACGAGCAACCAGCAGAATGGCAAAGCTGAGCAAAGCAGATCGAGCAAAGCAAAGCCGTTCAAAGGGGCACCCCCCTCAGGTCAGGCAACCGACCAACCAACCAACCATATTCCCATTCGAGTCTAGAAGAGACTAGAGCAAAGTCTCAGACCCCGTCACCCTAGTTCTCAGGCCTCTTTAGTTAGGCCTGGGGGAGAGGCCGTGAGAGTGAACGGAAGTCGACAGCAGAGCAGAGCAGAGCAGGAAGCGCCAAGGCCGTACAGAGGACACCCCCGGCTCATCGGGGGGATAGGGATCCATCAGGTCCATGTCTCGAGGTGGGACAAGGAACATGGGTGTATGGAAAAAAGGGAAAGGGACCCATGATGGCGCTAGGATTGGAGCCATTAGGGAATAGGGATCCATTAATTTGATCAGGAAGAGAAGATTGTGGACTGAGAAAGACCCATCATATCCTACGGGTTGATCAATCCGCTTTGCCGTCTGTTCTGAACTGCTTTGTGTTCTGCACGCATGATGCATGTGTTATTCGGGGTCCCGTATCATGGCAACGCATCCATAGCATGAGGGGGACTTTTGGGCCACGCAAACCCCCCTCAACTATCCTCACACAACACAGCACAGCACACTTTATACGTCGTGCCACAAACATTAGTCTTGATCAAGTTAATTAGAGTCTGTTGAGTTACAATCGGACAGTAGCGAGCAAAAGAGACGAAAGAGGAGACTGGACAAGGGGCGTGAGATTTCCTTGTCGATCCATCGGGTATGTAACTTAGGATGAGGTGCTGTAGTTAATTAACTGAGTGTGATCAGATCAGACATGGACTCAGAGTGATATCTGGGGAAGCTTCCATGGGCGGAAAAGCCTTAGCCCACCGAACCTCAATTTTAAATTTGCAAGCCATGATCCAGAAAACCACCAGTAATTTGCCAGCCCGCATATGGGTTGACTGGGGGAGGAAACGCCTGTAATTCCGGCTCAGTGCAGATCTTGAAGTTTTCCACCCTTGCTTGTTTGCACTTTTGTCTCCCCATGATTCTCTCTTTTCTTTCTTTTCGCCTCTGCTCAGATGATCGATAGACTCGGCTGACACTCACGATACCTTGAGCCTTGGCCTTTGAGGCTTCAGGGAAAGACGTTGGGGTTCAAAAACAAACTAGACCCACATAGAACGATCCCTCTCCTCCACTTTGACCATCAACTTGTCCGTCCATCCATCATCCATCCATCATGACCAGCTTCGCCTCCTAAACCTCGTGTTGCTGAGTGACATGGCCACCAAACTGACTTTTTGCCCTAAAGAGTGTGTACTGCATTGTGTATGTGTGCCTTTCTGTCAGAAATTAACCCTCTTCTTACTCTAATTTGCACTTCACAGTTGTTCTCATGTTTGCTTTCTTTCTCAGCGTCTAACTTTAGCTTCCTACACTAGCGGAGGATCTCAGAAATCGATTGGACTCGAGGTTGTCTCAGGGGGTGACCATGCCGTTCATAGCTTAGGCTAGACAATAATAGACGAGGCCAAGGATGGAGGGAGGGTTAGCGGAAGTACGTCCGAGACTTTAAACCACCAGGCAGTGCTCCATTCATTGCAATGCAATTCAGCCAATGCAACGTCCTTGACTAAGGACTGTAAACAACAACAACAACAACAACAACAATCCTACAGTGCAGTTAAGCCATATAGAACGGTTGAACTTTCTTACAGTACATGCAGCAATATTTACTGCAAACTCTATAGATGTATCCAATAATGCAAAGAGATACATCACAAACCATTTTGAGGCCTTTTTCGGCGTCAAAAAACTATCCATCGCGGGCCGAGGAATTCAAGACCATTCTGGAGAACCTAGAGAATCTTAAGGGACACTACTCTGTTTGGTTAAACACCAGCGTCATACCAATGCATTGTCACTCACTACCCAACAAACTCTCCATTCGCCTCTTTACCTCAAAGAGACAAGAAAGAAACACACGGCTCATCTTTTGGCGCGTGTGTCGGAAGCTGAAAGCCTGCAAAGCAAAGTGTGGGTGAAGGATGACTGAAGACTTGCTGTCACCTGCAAAAGCCGTCGCGTCGGCTCATGCTCTCACCATGAATGAATACGAGCCCTGCAGCAATGGATGGAACACACCCCGGTCCTCCCCGTCCATCCCCATATTGGAGATGCCGGAGCGGTAGCGTCCATATGCCTCTTGTTATTAGGGGCCTCTGCGCTGTAGCCTGCCACTGGACGGCTATTGTAACCTGGACCAGGCAGGGGCTTGGCCTCCCGGCACCGGCGCTGTGACCTGAAAATGGTCATTCGAGCCAGGTCCAGGGCCAAGACCAAGAAAAAAGATGCTGTTTTCTCATCAAACAAGACAGCATAAGTTAATTAATATTATCCACCTATTCTACTCTACGATCGAGACGCTCTGGCTCTTCCAAGGTCTTTGTCTACCAATTAGGTAGGTGTTTATATCTCAAACTTTGAGTCATCAAGATATGAGATGAACCCTTGAGTTAATGCATTGACCCGTTGCCCCGTTGTTTAAACGAACGGAGTATCCGTCTCTCTTCCTAGTAATAGTAATAGTAGTAACAGACGATGGAAGCTTCATGGGACAAGGACAAAAGTGAGTCGCTGACCTCTGGACCGTTCTCGGCTGTTCCGTCCCCGTACCTATTCATAGCTCGCTTGCCACCAAAACGACAGACGCAATACAACATCAGATCCAAGCATCAACGCCGATGGCCTGTTACTCCCTTGGACGCATAGAATCGAGATGACAAGAAGAAAAATCTGTCTCATGGATGTACAATGCTGTGTTTCGTGGACAAACAACGAAATGGACAAAAGGAAATAATATCAGCCACCGTTTTCAAGCTACTGTTTCCAATTCTTCATTGGACTGTCTTGAAATCCAACAGCCGTAACTTCTAAAATCCCCCAAATGGATAATTTCTCGTCTTCAATTGGACGGATTCTCTCATCTTCAGAGAAACGGTGACGCTTGTGATGGCACAGGGCACCAACTGAGCTGGACTGCTTTTGATTTCCAGCCACTAAGAAGCTCTAAAACTCTGGGCTCAAGCAGTTGCGGCGTCGGGCTAAGATTGGATCCAGAATGGATACATACGTCTACAGATACCAGGATCGAAAATCTAGGTACTGCTTTGACCGTGATATCATCTCATTTCCCAGTGCATCACAAGCTGTTATACTCAGACCGCCACAGCCGCTGTCGCTGCCACTGCCACTTCCGACTTCCGACGGCTGCTCCGTTCTCTGACTAAAAGATCCTCCTAAGAAAAGATGGCAGCTGAACAACAGCGCCAAACTGGCGATGCCCTCATCACTTCAGAGGACCCTAACCACCCCGCCAACCTGATCCCTTCGCTATGCGCAAAGTTCTGGACTCTGGGCTGGGTCACGGGTACTGGAGGTGGCTGCTCTATTCGAGATGAGTATGTCCATGTCCATGTCTATGTCACTTGAAATTTCATCATTTTTGTCCCATCACTTTACCCCGCGACCCCGCGGTCATGAGTTGGAGGAGGCGTAGATGTTTTTTCTCTCATGAGGCTCAAGTGAACATCACCATGCTGTCTTTTCAAGTGAAAAGAATTCCTGGATTATTTTTCCATGAGTCTCTACTTCATCGATACGTGTGATGCTTACACCATGGCCATAGTGATCTCGTATACACCGCCCCCTCAGGCGTCCAAAAAGAGCTTATGAAAAACACCGACATCTATGTCATGGCACTCTCCGAGCAGGACCCCAACCATAACAAGATCAACCAGCGTACATACCTGCGCTCGCCTCCCTGCTACAAGCCTTCTCAGTGCACTCCCCTGTTCCTCGCTGCCTTCACCCGCCGAGGAGCTGGCTGCTGCATCCACACTCATTCACAATGGGCTGTCCTTGTTACTCTCCTGCTTGAATCTCAAGGCCCTGGAAAGGACCGTGTTTTTGAGATCAACAACATCGAACAGATCAAGGGCTTTGGTCGTGGTATGAACAAGACTGGCAACTTGGGATATCATGACACTCTTCGCATTCCCGTCATTGAGAACACTCCCCACGAAGAGGATTTGACTGAGTATCTTGAGGAGGCTATGGAGAAGTACCCCGACACATATGCTGTGCTCGTGCGTCGTCATGGTGTCTATGTCTGGGGCGACAATGTCCACAAGGCCAAGACCCAATGTGAGAGGTAAGGAAACAGGATCAAACCAGTTCCACACAGACAGTGATACTGACACGCGGCAGTCTTGATTACCTGTTTCAACTTGCTGTTGAAATGAAGAAGCTTGGCCTTCCTTGGATCAGCGAAGTCGAACAGATCGCCCCTCAGCGAACATAAGCAAGAAAGTTGTACTTCAATGAATGACACAGATTCGATAGACAGCTTGGAAGTGGGAAATGTCTGGTGTAGATGGGGTAGCATTTGAAAATGAAAAGTTAGGCGTAGAAAAGGATACCAAAGTTTCAAAAGGTAAACATACAAGTTGACGGTCTGATGCTTATGACGGTCATACACAATACATATGGAGGGGCATAGATGAGTTTCTAGGAATTCAATCCGCCCCTGATGTGAATTTTAGAACAGTAGAATTACGCAAATCAGGGAATCCTTCATTTCATTACCATGAAACCGAATGACTATCATTCTATAGCTCATCCCTAGCCCGTTCCTGCTCAACAACCTCAGGCTCCTCCCACATCCTCTTCTTTGGGTTAGGAATATTATTATCCTCACTCTCAGGAATATTTCCAAGCTCATCCGCATCCCTGACAACATTCACAATCTTATCCACCTCCTCCAGAATCTCAGCTTCTTTACCAGTGTCAACCTGAATAGTAGGCAAATCATCGCCAGGCAGACCATCAACTGGAACACCCTTGCTCGGCTCCCCTGCCTCTTCAATCTTGCCTAATCCAGACCCTGCGTGCATCACGGCGCTACCAGCCGAAGTCCCCAAACCAAAAACTAACTTCAGGGGTAGCCAGACAAGCCACCACATAGGTCCGTATAACAGTCGTCTAAAGAGTAGCCAGCCGAGTGTCACACCCAGCATATAAAATGCCGTCTGGAGATACCACGTATCGCTCTTCTGCGATCGCAGCAAAGTTCCCAGTAAATCCTTCGAGCTCGCCAGCATCGAGTCAAGATCCGTATACGACTCGTTCAGCTGCTTCAGCGCAGCAGAAGACTCAGTCAGTGTCTCGTGCGCAAACTCGCTGCGTGCCAGCTCTGCCTGAATAAGATCGTGCGTACGTCGTAGAGCATTAGTAACGTTGGCGCTAGCTCCGACAGTCTGCTGGTCCTCTTCGGTAAGGCTCGATTGCTGCTGCTGAGGGTGGTGATGGTGGCGTTGGGGACGGGTGGTCTTTTCGTCGTCGGGGTAGAGGGAGTTGTTCTCGGATGCTGGCTGCGAAAATGATGTAAGGAGTAGTTCTCGTTCTCGCCTTTGCGCCAGGGCAAGGTTTTGTTTCGCCGCCAATCGTGCTTTTCGGAAGGATAGACGACATCTGCGTAGTATTAGAAATAGTTTTGGGTGAATTTCCAGCACAAGTCGTACCCGTCAAGCTCCTTTCCAATCTTTTCAACGCCCTCTTTCAGCCTGGCCTTATCATGCTCCGCGCCGCGCAAGAACTCCACCTCTTCCTGTAGAAGTTCGTGTTCTTCCTCTCCATCTCTTAAAGTGCTCGTGATTTCAGCGCTGAGCTCGCCACTTTCACTGTTGTCCTCGTCTGTCGTCAGGGGCACGGAGCCAGGTTGGAATTTCAGTGTTCCGAGTCGATCGATGAGCTCCTTAAGCTGTATCGTAGTTTCTTGCAGAGCTGTCAAGCGCTCTTGTAAGCCCTCAAAAGACATGACAGGCTTATTAGAATCGTGAAATTATGTCGAGGGAGAAAATTGACAAATATGTACGTGCTGTGTAAGTCGATCTCGAAACGTGGTCCATTAGCACCATGACGTTGCAGGGTCGAGCGCCGCCCCTTTAGGACAATATGCATCTACCGAGGTACATCTCCGACCTCGAAATTTCAGCATCGTGAAGCTTGAATAACAGCTGATTAGGTGTATTAACGACCACGCCCAACACCCTCGCTTCGTCAAATTCACCGAGTCGCTGCACGCCGCGATACCGCCGTTGAGATGATCACAAAATTCATGACCGAGGTCTCGGCCAAGTTCAACCCGTTCTCGACCTGCGCAAAGCCCGCTCGACTGTTCCTCACATTTCTACCTCCGAACGCCCGAGCCAATGGAACAAACATCACATCTACTATTCTACCCCGAACTTCGAAAGAGCCTAGCTCTCTACGGGTGAAGTTCAGTATGTTGCCTTAAATAACTATATTGGAGGGGCCAATGGCTGACCAGGCGCAGAGGATGGCAAAGAGCTCACTTTTGACTGCCAGAAGATCAACATCAAGGGACTTGTTGAGGAGGTGGACCGACACTCACGTCAATTGCAGAAGGCAGCCGATTTGACCGATTAAAATACCACTTTACTGTATCATTATCATGCATTGACGGCGTTGAGGAAACGACTCATGTACATCACGAATCCCAGCGGGACAACACACGAGTCTTGTATAATATTACGACAATTGGCATCATTTTTTATATTGTTCTGAATATCTTATGTGCTCGACTTTTGTGAAGACTACCTGTCTACCAGACATGATCCTTTTATGCAAGATGGTCTAAAAACACTTAAGCAGAGGCACCGCTGATGAAGAACCACTTGTCAATGGAAGCATCGATCTTCTCAGCGGGAAGCTCCTCGTGAGAGGGCAGGGGAGGAAGCTGGTCAGGGCTGACGCGAGAAGGAGAGTTCTGGACAGTGACGTTGGTGCTATGAAAGAATTAGGATGGACCTTGTAACTTATCATGATGAGAAACTTACGTGGAAACACCGCCAGCGGGGGTCTTGCCAGTGACGAGACGCTCCCAGGCCTCGGCGCACTCGCGAACAACATCAAGAGCGTAGCTGGAAAAAGTTGTCAGTTTTGAATTGGCCAAGTCGAAGACTAAACTCACCTCTTGTTCTTGCACTCGCCAGTGAAAGCGAACTGGTTCTCGGGCTTGCCATCGGGAATCTTGTAGATACGGAACCACTCGTTGGTGGCACGGAGAAGACCGGGCAGGTGTCGCTCGACATCCTCGACATCGTTCAGCTTGGAGGCGAGAGGGTCGTTGACATCAATGACAATGACCTTCCAGTCAGTCTCCTCCTCGTCGAGGAGAGCCATGACACCGAGAACCTTGACCTGCTTGACCTGGCCAGGGTAACCAACGAGCTCACCGATCTCGCAGACATCGAGAGGGTCGTTGTCACCCTTGGCCTTGGTCTCAGGGTGGACGGAGTTGGGGTCCTCCCAGGTCTGATGAGAAAGTTAGCGATGTACTTGGAGTCCACGTCAGATTGGGGTAACAACATACCTGGGGGAAGGCACCGTAGTTCCAGAGGTAACCCTTGTGGGGGAAGCAGTTACGGACGTATCGAAGCTTGCCCTTCTTGATGTCCTGCTTGATGGGGTTAAGGAGCTCCTCCTTGGAGATCTAGAGAGGGATTTTGTTAGCATCACTTTCTGTTTTGTTGGTCTGGGCAGCGATTGCGCCATGGAGGAGGGGTAAATGTTGGGGCACACGACAGCTTTAGATGAGAAGAAACAAGCATTGTGAAGAGGATATGAGGGCAAAATAGCAACAATTGACAAAGTAAAACATACCTCAAGCTTAGCGTTGGTCCATCGAGGAATCTCGACGATCATGTTCAGGATGTTCTGCTCCTGGTTGGCGTAGAGAGGAATATCGTGGAAAGGAGAGACGGGCTGGCCATCCTTCTCGATGTAGACGCGGTGCTCGAGGGTGTTGGGAGCCGCAACCTTGCGGACGGTGTAGTTGGAGGCCATGTCGGGCTGTTGCTTTGAGACTGGTCCGGTGGGTGAAGAGGAGGAAAAGTGTCGAGCAATCTGAGCTGTCCGACGGGAAGAGATTTTGGAGGTTGACGTAGCAGAGGGAAGGGGAGAGGATGGAGGGGGCGGGGCACTGTTTCTCCCGCCCGAGCCTGAGCCTGTAGCAGCGACAGGGCTGCGTGCTGTGGAGGAAGACATGTAATTGGCCCGTCCAGGTAGGTGAGATGGTAACAGTGGTAACGGCGCTGCGGAAGGCCTATTCAGCGGTGTCGTAGTGCCTGTAGTACGTAGCGACCTCTGTAGCAGAAGCCGTGGACCTTGAGACCGGAGCATCAACAGCAAGCGTCTTTGAGGGGCCGCCTGGAGTGGAGCTGCCCCGGAGAGAAGGAATAGAAGAGAGGGATGAGAGGCCAAGAAGGTTATATTAAGAAGCAGACACCTAGGTATACGGTGAGCACAGTGCAATGCACGGGATATTGCCGTGTCTGGTTGGGTATATTTTTGACTTACACCGCGGTCGTCGGCTGTTGTGTGTCAAAAGAGACCGAGGTCTTTATTTTTTGCATGGTCAAGGTCAAGCGGGAATTGGAATCGGTCAGCGGAAGATATTGACCGAGGCCTAACTCATCTTGGATGTCATGATGGGTCTCGGTAGTGCTAAATTGGCCTGTCTTCTTTACCGTATCATATACAGCGCAACCCATGGACCAAAGAATCAAGGGTCATGACTGATAAGTCTAGCATCAATCTCATCTATAAACATGTAGTAGCTTGGAGGATTAAGAACATCATATGATAACTAGTCATTCAACCATACAAAGATCACAATTGGTCCTGGCAGGATCACACATGATCGCATTCAATGTTTCATGAGAAACTGCCTTGCTCCGATCACGGAGCCACTTATAGTATCTATCAGCCAACGCATCCAATCACGCCATAGGCATAAGTAGAGGTTTTAGAAAACCTCCATTAGATGTTCATTAGAGTTAAGTTGCTGTGGGTGACTTCTTCTGCGATGACCTATGGCAAAAGAAATAAAACAATCATTTGACTAGCCGAAGATTAAATTTGCTGCAATGAATGATATCTTGCCTTGATATATATGCGTAGAAGGCCATGTTCTACTCGCAATCATGATTGTCTAATATAGGTTAGTACTAAGGTAGGTCCAAGTTCTCAAACCAGAAGTTATTTTGAAGCTTTGTTGGCTCCACGACTGAATTGAATCATGGGAGGTCAACACTCTCATGGGTCTTGACAAGACTAACAAAATCGATATGATTCAACTAACAAGAAAAGCCAAGCAGTACTTGTAGGATATAAACATACAATACCTCAAAGCAACCCATCAGTACACCAAGCAAACAAAAGCCGGAAACTTGTGATAAGCCAACCAAGCAAACTTAACAACAGCAAGCAAGGTTCCCCTCTTGCTTAACAAACAAACAAAGTCCGCAGAAGTCCCTGCGGCAATAATGAGAAACCAACTTTAGACTGCATATTCTGTAATCAACCACTTAGCCAGCGACTTCATCGTAAACAGAAGACTTAGTACCCCTTTGCTCCCGAGGTGAAGCATCGGACTCCACCGTGGCGGCTTCAGACTGTACAGGAGACATGCGATCGTTGGTGGTCTGCGGCTCCTTGCCCTTTCCTCCTCCAAGAGTTGGGGATCGGCTCTGAACGGGGGTGGAGAAACCCTCAGGCTCGGGTCGCCAATCTCGAAGATCGTCTTCGGCGTCGTTCAGGATCTGTCGAGCCTGTGAAGAGTGTTGGTAGGAGCCTCGAGTATCACCAGGCACAACGGGCGAGTCGTCGAGGAGCTCCAAAAGACGACGTCCATGCTTGGCTAGGATAATCTGCTTCTCCGCGCGTTCAATAGTGGCAGCAAATTCAGCAGCGTAAGCCTCCTTGAGCTTCTGTCGGGTCTAGAAATCGCATCAGTACTGGCCAGGGAGCTGGTGTAAGTCGCAACATACAATGTTTGTCAACTGAGCCTCTGCGACAAGATTCTCAGCCTCAGCTCGCACCAATTCCTGTTCAAGAACAGGCAATCTTGTGCTGCCAGGCTCTTTCAACTTCAGTTTTCCAATTTCGTCGGCAATCTTATCCTTATTCTCTCGGCTGGGCTGCACACTCTTCTCAGTGTTGCGAATGGCCTTGAGGTATGCTCGAGAATCATCGAGGGCATGAGCGTATGCATCTTCCTGCTCACCCATCTCACTCAAGACAACTCCAACCTTGTCTGAGATGTCACTGATGCTGTCATCGCCGGTGTGCTCACCCCATTCTGACAGCTGAGTAGCAATGGAGACTCGTTCACGACCGGCCGTCTCGTGAGCGCCGATGAGGTTGTTCTCGGATTTGATGAGACGAAAGAGCTTACGGGATAACTCAGGCTGAACCTGTCCACGAAGTGAGTTGAAGGAGAAGCCCCCCTTCTTACTACCAGCAGCAGCGCCGGAGTTCTTGGATTTGTTGGAGCGGATCGAAAGTGCGCGATTCCTGTGAAAGGGTGGTACGTCAACTGGGGATTCTATTGAAAACGATCCATTGCGAGAGGCAGATGCATCGAAGCTAAACCGTGACATTGTTTTTAGGTATCCGGTAAATCCGGGTGAATGCGCAGTAGCAGATGAAGGTATGGTGATGGATGTAAATGTTGAGCTTACATGTTGACGGTGAGGTAGGTTGTCTGCGATTTCTGTATACGATTACTTGAAGTGAGGGAAGGAGCTGCTTGAGCTTGGATCGAATGCGCCTTCATTTATAGAGTCAGTTCTGGCATCTCATAACGTTGGCCCCTCTTGCCCGCCATGATGAGACAGGTTACAAGGCAGCAACACCATCACTTCACGCGCGCAAGTGATAAGCTTACAGAATGAAATAAGGCGACTCAGGAATTCAGCTGAAGAACCACTTTGAAAGGTAGATCAATGTAAATCGTCTGGGTCTGGGGCTTGGTTCCGAAGTTACAAGGGGGATGGATGTAAGAGATCTCCAGAATGTTCAGGCTGCCAATCCAAGGGCAGGGGTTGTCCAGGCTTTAAACAAGTTGGAGAAACCTATTAAACTGACGTTGACGACAGTATTTTCCCTGCTTTCAGCAACACAAGCACGAGTACATGCTTTCGGCTGCGATTAGACTTACATTTGGAGTAACGCGCTGTCTTAGAGAGCTTCTTTGGTTCAGTGGCGGAATGCGAAGTGATGTCATCACCACTCTAGCGACGATCCAGCCCTGCGTAGCGGGACACTCCGCACCCCGCTCCAGCGATATTAGACCTACGTCAACCAACAGGCTTCTTCCATTTTATAGTAGCCCAGAAGCTGCCCAGGTATCAGCAGAGGAATAAAGCACAGGAAGAGCTCAGCTCAGCTCAGACTTGGGACGAAGTGAACCCTCAAAGATCCGTAGCTCCCGAGAATATTGGTCGAATAGGCGTGTCCATGTCTCATTCTCATGTTGAGTCTGCTTTTCGCTGTGATAAGTATCATCAATTGATTTGATGTCTAGCCTATTTCACCTCATTTCCTCGGCAATGCCTAAATCTTGTCCTACAAAAACGCCCTACTGTATCCATATATCTTTAACAAGACAATCATCCTTCATCATAGTCATACGTTCCCGCATCAATACATAAAACCCATTGCCAATGCCGCTAAACACAGCCCGCCAAGTACCCCTTCGCTCTGTAAAACGTCATCGTCTCTGTAATTACGTCCACAATTCAACGTTGCTCCTCTTTAAACAATCAATAGCGCTCGTAGACAACACGATCGCTGGTGCGTGGGCTGTGGCTGTATGATCGTCTTGATACGCTGGTGTAGCTGGCTCGAGGAGAGCGCGATGAGTGATGGTGATGATGGTGGTGGTGATGGTGACCGGTGTATCGCCGAGAAGGCGTGATCTCCTCGTGGTAGTAGTACTTGGTCTTGGGCTTGGGATCACTGAAACACATGTTGGTGGTTGTTGAAGGTCTGTTCTGTTACGCGAACAGTATATTTGTTGTAAGAGGGTGAGGTGAGATTATTGATGCTGAGTTGTATACGTCAGAATGCGATTTGGAATGATTAGAAAACCCCAAAATGCAAGATATAGATAGATATATGATAAAGGCAAAAAGAATGTGTGAGCGAATCCTCGAGGAGGGTTCTTTTGTTTGATCTTATACCAAAAATGCCCAATGCCCTGGCGTCTTTTGCCCGGTTTCTTTCTGACCAACCCATGCTGTCACAACCTGGCGCAAGCAAGGAGAGGGGTCCTTGACCAAGGATGACCATTCGGAACCTGCCTCGCCCACCCATTTCGACTAAAAACAAAGTGCCTCCACACTCTTTCGCGGCCTAGAGCCAAGTAACTTAGAGTTTGCTATTAAAAGAGGCTGGACCTAGGCTTACGAACCTGCCCACCTCTACAGATAACGGCTTGGGCCCTGACTTTTGGTGGTGGCTTTGCTGACTCAAAGCCTCGTTTTGGTTAAAACATGACCCAAGCCAAGCGAGCATTCAATAGTCATATGACGCTTCCTCATTTTTCAAACTGGAAATTTGATTCATTATAGCATCTCCATCTATATTACACTTTTACGACTTATCGCGAGAATTATCTTCGCGGCTGTTGCAAACATGATGGCTCCTTAGCCAAAAGACATACCCCGTTTCTATTCGAACGTCTATTTCTTCTGCTTAAATTCCACCTGCAGTGTACCCAGCGCCCAGGTGGTCACGAAGACCGCCATTGCGCTGACAAAGACAATGAGAGGTTTTCGGATAGTGCCCGACATAGGAACATCGTAGGAGATGATGAGATGTCGGTCTCGGAACTCGTCAACCAAATTTCTCGCCTTGACGGCGACATGCGTTCTACCGATGGTGTCGAGGTAGGTTCGTGTGCGGTCAACCGTGGTCGACACGATGGACGACTCCGGGACGTTGGTGTAGAACTGAACATTCCTGTTTGATGGTTAGATAGGTTGAGAACATGGCTCAGCGTAGACTTACTCAGCACCCTCAGGAAGAAGAACATTGAGGTTGACTTGCTCATACTCAACACCCTCAAGCTGCTTGGGTCCCTCAATGAAAGGAACTCGAAGAACATAGCCTCCGGTAGGGGTCTTGCGCACAAAGTTGGAAGCATCCGAGTTCCACCCAATGGTGAAAGGGGCCTTCCAGCCGCCAAACAGAGGGTATCGGAGCTTCAGCTCAAGAAGAGCCTCTCGTTTGTTGGTTCGGAATCGGGATGTCGAAATGTTGCCAATAACATCAACGTAGTAGGCATCCACACTTCCAACCTGGAGAGGAACTCGCATGTCGGAGAGCGCATGGCTGGGTCGGTTGCCTTGGATCAGATCTTTAGTAAAGTCACCTCGGCTGAAGGATCCAGATAGGTTGGCGCCGCGGTAGTGGAGATCGTAGTACTCCTCGAAAGCGACGTTACCACCCCAGTGGCTGACCTCGATATCACGGTCAAGCTCCTTGACGTGGGTGACAGGCTTCTGGAACTCGAAGCGAACACGCGCGGGAGAAACAGCACCGGCGGGCTTCTCATCGAAAGGTCCATATACGAGCTTGGAGCCCTGCTTGACAGGGAACTCCTTGACATCGCCGCTTCCAGGGAGCTTTGTGTAATCGGGAATGTTGGAAGTACCAGCCTTGATCTCGGTCTTCTGCTTCTTCGTGGTGTAGGCGGAAGGTACGTAGACGGAGAAGTCGTAAGCGAGGAACTGCTTGGCCCTCTGAGAAATGGACGCAGGAAGAGGAGTGTAAGCCTTGAGATAGTAGTAGGTGATGCCGAGGGTTTGTTGAGCACCGGGCTTGAGCGGCGTGGGCAATTGAATACGATAGTACTGAACATCACTAATGTCAAGTTAGCATTTTGCTGTCTCGGTCGGAAGCCCAAAGAACTTTACCTGTTGGTGTCGTATTCGACAGTCTCGACCACAAACGGTCCGGCGTTCGCGTCCTTTCGATCCTTGACCTCGAAACCTCCTACACGAGGTAGCTGTTCAGTGGTAAATGGCACATAGTACTCTGTCTGTGGCTCCTTCGCGACGTTCTCAACGAGGACATTAATCTGTTCTTTGACGTAATTCTTCTCGAGGGAGATGACGTGCACCAAATTGGCGTTCTTGAAGACCTGGGGAGGCTTGAAGTCGGCAGGAAGGATGACTTTTGATGTCTTGGACTCGGTGCTTGCGCCTGCGAGTGCTACGGAGACCAAGCTAAAAAGCGCCGTGGTGATGGCGAACGGCTTCATGATGACGGCTCAGTTAGCGATTTACTCATCGGTTGAGCAGATCCAAAGCTGTCGGGTATGAAGAAAATTTAGGGCCGTGTGCCGAGGAAGATTGTGGTCAAACTTTGGTTGGTTGATGCAAGCTCACAACTCCTCAAGACACCTCAGCTTCTCAGTGCTCCTGAGACAGCTCCCCAAAAAGCATACGTTGCCCATTTGGCACGTCAGCGGTAACTTCAGGGTAGCTCAGTCGCTCAGCCAATGAAAACGTGGCTCGATTGGTCTGGCGGGAGAATCGTAGCGCCGGATCCGGGCCGGGTACCTTAGCTAAAGATTGGATCCATTAAATTGTTACCAGATCAATGGGGCCAGATGGGACTGGTCAGTCAAAATTGCATGCCCGCTCAAGCTCAAAGTGCCAGCGAGCTTAAAGGTACCTGTCCGGCAGAAGAGTCAAGTACCTTGCCTTGAAAGACCCCCCACGAAAGTGGCTTACTGGAGACTTGACATCATGTTACCAAGCTCAAGCTATCATCTCAACGCGGCCGACCCCCCATGTTACCCCAGGACTTGAAGGTTGAGAGCAGCGAACCTTGCCCATAGTCGGTGTATCAGGACTTGAACCTTTTTTTTGTAATTGAGATATTTTTCAAAGGTAAAAATAGCCCCTTCAATAATGCAGTTGAGGTCTGTTCATGTTGCGTGACTATCAACTAACCACTAAACTACCCCCTCCGCCAACGGCCCGACAAGAGCTCAACACCAGGGCTATAGTCGAGGGGAAAGAAACCTCAACCCACTCACTCAGACCACGCCGGCGCTTTAAGCGTAAGGCAACTAAATTTAAAAACAACTCATCCTTGTGATTGAAAGCGTCTTCTTTGCTTATTTTGCTTTGCAATGAAGCGGTCAATGTGTAGATGGTGCACTGAGTGATTCGCGGAGGCAGCTAGAAGCAGCTACACGCATTAATTACGTAGGTACATGTTGTATGTAGGATGTGAGATAGTTGGGAGTCGAGAATCCAAAGACGAGAGACATCAGGCGGATACCTGGGATGATCTGTTTGCCAATTGGTCATGGGATCTGAAAATAAAGTACATGCCAACATCTCTATGCAGGTAGATGTACTTTGATCCTGGTCCGATAGATGACCTGAGACTCCCTGCGCATCTCCCGCTCAACACTTCAACTCCAATGAGTGGTAAGAATTGGAGGCAGTCAACGTTAAGTTAGCCCAGTCCGTACCTACCTCTGCAGCAGCAGCAGCAGCTACGTAAGGTGTCTTTTGCTCCACCTCCCTCCCTCCATCCTGTCCTGTCCTGTCCTATCCTGTCCCATAACTTATCTGGGCTGGTCTGAACTGGTCTACTTTAAAAACCCTTTGCCTCCCCCTACTTCAACCTACTGTTATCAATTGTTCTACTCCTATACGAATTTCTCTTGTTTTCTGTTTCGTTCCTAATTATTCTACCAACCTACAGAGCTCCTGCTCAGCTTCAACAAGACATTACCCCGCCAAATCCGAACCCCGCCAAACCAGACATACCTCAGCAAAATGGTCGGCCTCGGTCCTCGTCGTCCTCCCTCCCGAAAGGGTACGTATGCCCAATTGATTGTTCCGCGCCGTCTTCTGTATTTCCCGGCTGTCACAATGTCTTGCGATTTTGATGCATCGATTGTACTTATGCCAGCTGCTGCTACTGGCATGGTGGGGCAGAACCAAGCAAAAATACGCTGCAATGACGATGTTGGCTCCATCTTCAACCAGACCGTGGGGACAGACGTCAGAAGCAAGAGAAGTGTTTTATGAAGGCCGAGGCGATGAAAGAGCCGGCAGCACAAGATCACGAGCCAGTCTCATTGACTTTGTGGGCGTGTGCAAATGCCGGTTTCTACTAGAGACATTCAGCTCGTGGAACCGTGACGTCCAAATTTGAAGAAAGAGTCGTCCGAGAGATGGTGTATTACGTGAGGCCCACCTTCATATCACCTAGGCATCTTGGTCTGCCAGCTGGCAAGCACTGTCCTACGGTCACGGTAAAGATGCAGTGCTTGGCAGTGCCGCTGCAGCGCTGAAGCCAAAATGCCTTGAGATTCTGTTGACAGCCTCCCATGCGCCAAACCTTTTTCTTAGTTTCCTCGTAGACGCACTTCAACGGAACAACAACACCACAACAACACCGAAATTTGGCTAACAGAAATCATGACAGGATCCATGGCTGATGTCCCCAAGGATCTCGCTGAAGAGATTCACAAGCTTGAGCAGCTCTTCACAGTAGAGCCCAGCAAGCTCAAGGAGATCACCAATCACTTTGTCTCTGAACTCGCCAAGGGTATGTTGCGCATGCAGATCTATCCTGGAGTATCGACTAACATTAAGCAGGTCTCAGTGTTGAGGGTGGAAGCATTGTGAGTCCGCTATATTGCACCTTAGATCTTGTTCCTAACCCAGCATCTAGCCCATGAACCCTACCTGGGTCATGTCATACCCCGATGGTTACGAGACCGGCACCTATCTGGCCCTCGATATGGGCGGCACAAACTTGCGAGTCTGCCAAATCACACTCACTGACGAGAAGTCCGAGTTCGATATCATTCAGTCCAAGTACCGCATGCCCGAGGAGCTCAAGTCTGGCACTTCTGAGGAGCTTTGGGAGTACATCGCAGAATGTCTCTACCAGTTTCTTGAGACACACCACGGAGACTGCAGCAAGCTGGAGAAGATTCCCCTGGGTTTCACATTCTCGTACCCCGCCACCCAGAACTATATCGACGAGGGTATTCTCCAGCGATGGACCAAGGGTTTCGACATTGACGGTGTCGAGGGCAAGAATATTGTCCCCATGTTTGAGGAGGCTTTGAAGGCTCGAGTACGTTGGATTGATTTTCATGGTGAACCTTACTGACAACGGCATACAGGGAGTTCCCATCAAGCTTGCGGCTATCATCAATGACACTACAGGTACATTGATTGCCTCCGCCTACACCGATACTAAGATGAAGATCGGTTGCATTTTCGGAACAGGCTGCAACGCCGCATACATGGAAGACTGCGGTTCTATTCCCAAGATTGCTGATCTGAACCTGCCTGCCGATCTGCCTATGGCTATCAACTGCGAGTGGGGAGCTTTCGATAACGAGCACAAGGTTCTTCCCCGAACTCCCTATGATATCATCATTGATAAGGAGTCTCCTCGCCCTGGTCAGCAAGCTTTCGAGAAGATGATCGCTGGTCTCTACCTTGGAGAGATCTTCCGACTCATCCTCGTCGATCTCCACGACACCAAGTCCATCCACATCTTCGAGAACCAAGACATTGCTCTTCTCCGCAAGCCTTACTCTCTGGATGCCTCCTTCCTATCTGCTATCGAGGAGTATGTTTGGCCCTTTTCGAGACTACGAGCATAACTAACTTACTGTTCTTAGGGACCCTTGGGAGAACCTGTCCGAGACACACGATCTTTTCACCAAGAAGCTGAACTTGAAGTGCACACAGCCCGAGCTTGAGCTCATCCGTCGAACTGCTGAGCTCATTGGTACACGAGCTGCCCGTCTTTCGGCTTGCGGTGTTGCTGCCATTTGCAAAAAGAAGAACTACGAGTCTTGCCACGTTGGTGCTGATGGTTCCGTGTTCAACAAGTACCCTCACTTCAAGGAACGTGGTGCTAAGGCTCTGCGTGAGATCCTTGATTGGCCTGAGAAGACCAACAAGAAGGACGAGGATCCTGTTGAGGTTCTCACCGCTGAGGACGGTAGCGGTGTCGGCGCCGCTCTGATTGCTGCCTTGACGCTCAAGCGAATCAACGAGGGCAACATGGCGGGTATCCTCCACCCCGAGAACTTCAAATAAAGTGAGAGCGGAATCGATTTAGCCAGGGCGCGTGGTAAGCATCAAAATTTAATGGGTGGATGGGAAAATGGAGATAGATGTGTACTTGAAGCACGGATAGAGACGGGGGGCTGCTTAAGGAATACCAAAAAGAGGGCAAGACAAGCCCCTGATTCTTGTTGATGGATATATACGCTTAACCCATGAATGTGCAGATAGGCAATCGATATTCTGTAAGATATGTTAGCTTGGCGTATCAGTGAAGAATAATTGCGCGGGATGTCTTACTGTCCAGGGTCCAGTAACGCCTTCGTACACCCTCCCATTCTCCTTCACCGGCCTTGTCCAGGCCAGACATATCGACGTCGCTCTCTTCCCATTCAACATCAAGACCGGCATCAGCACACTGCATCTCGACTACCTTGGTGTAGACATCGTAGCAGATCTTTCTGTCAGCACCAAGTCCGTTGAAGAAGCTGAATTTGCCCTCCTGGTCCATGATACCGATGATGACTTCGGAGAAGAAGTGACGCAGCTGAGAGTAGTCTTCGCCAAAGGTGTCAAAGTAGATGGCATCGTAAACCTCGCCATCCTCGATTAGCTTTGGTACAATGTCCTGCCACTTGCCCTTGTGCACTTTGAAAGCCCCCTCTTCAGGTCCGCTCTTCTCCCAGCTGGGGCCGAACTTAGATTCGTCCTTGGAAAGGTGCTCGACAACACTGGGGTGCGCTTCGATGATGTGGTGGCGTGAGGGCTTGAGGTCTGCGAACATGCCATCGATAATACCCATACCGAAACCAATGTTAAGGATACGCTTGCCTGAGGCTGAGTCGGGAATAAGTGCAGCAACGGAACGGCGCATGATGTCCGTTTCCCAGGCCATCATGACACCGTTGAGGTCAGAATCCACGAGCTTAGCATCGTCATATACTAGTTTCGAATTGAGGTACTCTTCGCTTGTGACCTGCTTCTCCTTGGCATCGGGGGGAATGAACTTGGGCTCTTCTACTATAGGAGCAACATCCTCAGTGGAAACCAGCTGAGGCGCCTCATCATCGTTCTCCTCGACCTCCATCTCATCGCCATCCTCTGAACCAGATGAGAGTTCTTCATAATCTCCCATAAGAGCGAACAGAAGCTCTGCTCGCACTCCAGCCTCAACACAGAGTTGGTAAAGAGGCTTGCGGCCTAGTCTGAGGGCGAGACATCCGGGTGTCTCATTATTGCTGTCAACATCGTTCCAGATGGCGCCTTGAAGGAAAAGATCATGGACAATCTCCTTGGCCTCCTCGACAGAACCATCCTCTTCTTGATCATCATCCTCAGGAGAAGCAGGCCCGCAGGCACGGATGGCTGCATGCAAGGGTGTCTCTCCAGTCTTGGGGTCCTGGGCATTGGCCTTGCCGGTGGTTTTGAGCAGCTGTTTCAAGCCACTCCTGTCATGACCCCAAGCATGGTAGAGAACTTCTCGAATTTCCTCAGGGCAGTCTGATGATATGCGCGCAGGCATAGAATCATCGATTTTGGCGACCATGGTGACTGTCCTATGGAGGGGCAGCTATCAAAAATAAAAAATTGTGTCGCGGGGTCTTTGGAGGGGCAGACGAGGTTTGGTACGCAACAAGGATAGATGAACGGTTACACCCGTCTAGGCGTTTACCTGCGAATGGATACAGCGAGATTAGAGCCGATTTTCCGAATACTGAGGTTCAATCCTGCCAGATTCGTGCAAGTTGACGGGGCAGAGACTTGCAGACACGGGCTTAACTGTCGAATTTGACACCGAGCCTCATCTAGACTATGCTCCACTGGGTAACCCCAGTCCAATCGATCCGTCAACTCCACTGTAGCAGGGCATCGGACAGCCTAACAGTCCAGGTCGATGCAAGCTGTGGGCATGTTATTCTGATGCACTTGGACTTGCACGTGCATAAAAAGATGAGCGATGATGCACCACCTTTAAGTTCTGACTGGTTACAAGTGGCGCGTTACAGCATACATCAACCAGTAATCCATGCTTGCATGTCGTTCGTTTTATCATTTGCAGTGTACCTGAGAAAATGACGCTGGCGCATTTACAGAGAAGACCTTTGATGGAGATAGAAGAACGGCCGCTAAAAACTCAGCGGACCCATCTCTTCTACAGCGCCAGTTTTTTACCTTGTCCCCCTGGCTCTCGCCATCGCATCGCCCATTGACTCGTCTGTAGTGACGTGCACGTTGTTACAGGCCAAAACATGATTCGTCAATGCCCTGATACTCAAAGCTGTCTCGAACCTGAGCTTGAACCCGGGACAACGCCAACTAAGCCAGGATAGGCCTATTGCTCCACATAACGCGCGACCTAGAGTCTGTTGCTCGACGCCGACGACAACAAGCGACCAAGAATCAGTCCGAGGCAGGGAAACCTTGACATTTTTCGTACCGTAACCTAAAAGTGTCGCCTTACATCCATCGAAGCGCATAGGTATTGGTTCCTCCTGCCGTCTTCCGTCTTCTCGCCAGCCCCGGCCTCTCCTTCTTAACCTTGATTATTACACCAAAACATTGTCTCGCCCTCTTACTCTTGTTATTCTCTCCAGGTAAGCAACCATAACGAGACCTGCATCGCACAAGCAGAGCGCAGTACCACCAGCATCTATCCATTGATTGCTTCGTCTACTGCACTGGTTGCCTTTCAGTAATCAACCACCTCTCTTGCTCTCCCATCCAACCGTTCCCGTTGAAACCCAATTCCACGGATGTCGCATCCTGTTTTCTTAATGCGCACATGCTGATCGTACAAGACCTCAAGACCCATTCCAAAACTTGGCTTAGCACCCGCTCGGGCAAGAATCCCTCTGTTCGACCCGGCGTCGTCGTCATGAAGTTCGGAGAGCAGCTTCGCTCCAGCGTTATCCACGAGTATCAGTGGTATTATATCGATTACGATGGTCTAAAGGATGAGCTCAAGAAGGCGACCGGCCCTATCAAGACCTTAGGAAAGGGACCTGAATGGACCGAAGATGACGAGACACGCTTCGTCGCCAAGCTCGAGGTCGAGCTGGAGAAGGTTCACACAAAACAGAAGGTGAAGGCTATGGAGATTTCCCGTCGCATTGCTGTGAGCGAGCGCGAAGTTAAAGAAGTGGTTAACCGCCTTAACGAGCGCGGTCTCGGCGAGAATGGCCCTACCGAGGAAGAATTTATGCTGCTTGAGGAGGATCTCAGCGATATTATTGCTGATGTCCACGACCTCGCCAAGTTCGTTCAGCTTAACTATACCGGATTTTACAAGATTATTAAGAAGCACGATGTAAGTCGCCGCCCATTGCGGATTTGGCACAGCAATTGTCTAACACGAGGCCCAGAAAATGACCGGATGGCACCTCAAGCCCGTATTCGATAGCCGACTCAAAGCCAAACCTTTCTACAAGGAAAACTACGACGCGTCAGTTATTGAGCTGTCCAAGCTTTACGATCTCGTCCGAACTCGTGGAAATCCTGTCAAGGGTGACAGTGCTGCTGGTGGAGGCCAGGCCAGTTTCATCCGGCAAACGACCAAATATTGGGTCCACCCCGATAATGTGACAGAACTGAAGCTTATCATTCTGAAGCACTTGCCCGTTCTGGTCTTCAATGCCAACAAGGATTTCGACCCAGAGGATTCAGCCATCACATCGATCTACTACGATAACCCTGAGAAATGGGACTTGTACGAGGGCCGACTGAAGAAGACCGAAGGTGCCGAGGCTATTAGATTACGATGGTACGGAGGCATGAAGACTGAGACGATTTTCGTTGAGCGCAAAACACATCGTGAGGACTGGACTGGCGAGAAGTCTGTGAAGGCTCGATTTGCCACGAAGGAGAAGAATATCAACGCATACATGAAGGGAGAACTTCTGCCCGCTGCGATGTTCGAGAAGGCACGAAAGGAGGGCAAGAAGCCTGAGAAGGCCATTGCTGAGGACGAGCGATTGGCATCCGAGATTCAGTACTCGGTGCTGAAGAAGGGTTACAAGCCCGTGTGCCGATCCTTCTATAACCGTACCGCATTCCAGCTTCCTGCCGATGCCCGAGTGCGAATTTCACTCGACACTGAGCTCACCATGGTGAGAGAAGACAACCTGGATGGCCGTGCTCGCTCTGGAGACAACTGGAGACGTATGGACATCGGTATCGATTACCCCTTCTCGCAACTGCCTGCTGAAGACGTTGAGCGATTTCCCTACGCCATTCTGGAGGTTAAGCTCCAGACTCAAGCCGGACAGGAGCCCCCCGAGTGGGTTCGACAGTTGATCTCATCTCACCTGGTTGAGGCTGTGCCTAAGTTCTCCAAGTTCATCCATGGTACGGCGACTTTGTTTCCCGATAAGATCGACTTGCTGCCTTTCTGGATGCCGCAAATGGATGTCGATATCCGCAAGCCTGTTACTCACGACTTCGGTATTCGACGACCTGGCTTGTCAGGAACAACAAACACATCTGATGACGAGGATGATTTGGACTCTGATGACGAGGAAGCTGCGCCTTCTGGTCGCAATGGTACTAATGGTACCAATGGAGAATCGAGCGCGCAAGGCGCCAGCCGTCGTCGAGGACTCCCTGCTACTGATGTTGAGGGCCAAATAACAGACCTGCCTGAAGTGAACGAGGATTGTCTTTACGATTCCGATGACGAGTACGACGAGAACTATGAACTGGAGCTCGCCAGACGAGAAGGTGGATGGCGGTACTATTCAACTCTGTTTTCCACCAAAGGCCGACGCTTTGGACAAGCCTTGGGGCAGCATGCGGTTTCTGCTTTGAAGGCAGCCGCCCCTGTACCTCGCAGTACACAAGTGCCGCGTAGCGACCGATTGCAAGCTTTGTTTGGACAAGCCCCTATTCAGACCAAAAAGTTCAAGGCACCTCCTGGCAAGAAGATCTATGTACCTGTACGAGTCGAACCCAAGGTCTATTTTGCGGCGGAGAGAACGTTTTTGGGATGGGTAAGTCAAACCCGGTTATTGTTGCAAACCTGTGGCTAACATGATACTACAGCTCGAATTCTCTATCTATATCGGCACCATTGCTGTAACACTACTCAACTTCGGCAGCCATCCTACACCAGCCCACTTCTGGGTAGCGGGCGCCTTTACACTGCTCGCCATTCTTAGTCTCTGCTATTCTGTTTTCACATACCTCTACCGAAGCCAAGGTATTCGATCTCGCAAGGTTGTCAAGTTTTACGACCGCTGGGGTCCCACTGCACTGTGCGTGTCTCTCTTCATTGGAGTGGCTCTCAACTTCGCATTCGAGGGTAGAGAGAGAGATCTCTGGTAGAGGTTAGGAGTTATTGTTTAGCTGGGCATTGTATATTGGGTCGTTTGAAGCGGTTAATGAGCAGTGTGTAAGAAGTAAGTGCAGGGGGCAGCCTTCATCAGGTATTTTCTTAGTGTCCTTAGTAGCAAAGAGGTGGAGAAAAGGTCATAGGGTTGGACGACACTCAAAATAAAAGTATTTGTACAACCATCGTTGATCTGTTAGGTGTTTGACTGTATGCTAGAATCTCCGCACCGACACGGAACTGGAACCTTATTCCTTACACTTCAAGCTCAACATGGCTTCACACACGATTGACGCTAAACGAACTCGACGCCAAGGCAGTCAAGCTCCAATCTGCCATGTGTTCTAGGCCACGGTCTCTGAGCCAGCTCCAAGGATTTAGTTGACGCCGCCGGCGCCTTTGAGATTGGCATGACAGCACGGAGACTCGTAAGGATGGAGAATTCCGTTAAAGCCTGGAAGAGGCTTAGATATATTGAAGACAAATACGTTGCTATGACATGGCACGATGAAATGCCGGGCTCTGTGATACAGTATAAAGTCAAGAGAGGGGAAGGCGTCGTACCATGGTGGTTTATGTGACCATCAAGATATCCCCTCTCGCCGTGAACCTTCTATCTATCAACATTGAACACCCATCATGACTGTTCTTCAAACTCAGTCCGAATTCGGGCATGCACCGCCACCGCAGACTCCCTATAGTGTTATCACAAATCTTCCTGGGTGGGACGTTGCTAGGGCTATTCGTGATGGCGATCCAACTCCTATGAAGAGGATAGTTCACATTTACCCTCGCTTTTTACCTACACACCATGCTACCCAGGTAAGCCAACTGTGTATGTTCCTGTCACAGGGACTTGCTAACAAGTATAGCTGGGCCATGAGATTGCAAAACATGTCGGCCATGGCGACAAGGCTGCTCTGGTCTATCTTGACCCGGCGATATGGCCATACACTCTTCACCATATCACCCACGAGAATCGCGGTGAGAGACGTATAGACCCAAAAGACGTGACTCTTAAGTGTGTCGAGATATATGGTCATCGGCTATACGTCGTTCTCGTCAGTCCCATGGCTATGCCCGTCATGATGCTCACTTGGCAGAATCCTGGTCTAGGGATTTCTCTTCGCGGAGCCGACCATCTTCTCAAGGGCATAGATACTATCAAGGACATACCCTTTGAAGCTGGTGCAGAAACTCTGCCCTTACCAAGTGGGACTCCTGAGAGCCAAGTTCATGGTGCTCTTCGAGAGAGAATCGTTGAGCTTCTCCATCGTTCCCCGATAGATAATGTGAAGTGCACACCAAGAGATGTTTTCCTGTACCCAACAGGGATGGCAGCTATCTTCCACTCAAGCACTCTCTTGACAAAACATCGTCCCGGCACTATCGTCTTGTTGGGTGTCGTTTTTCATAATACTTATCACCATCTCATCGAGGAATGTCCACAGGGGATGAAACACTTCGGAAGAACTGACTCAGAGGGGCTTTCCGTCTTTGAAGAGTGGTTGAAAAAGGAGAACGAAGAGGGTCGGTCTCCGAGTTATGTCTTTGTTGAAGTACCTGGAAACCCTACGTTGGAGACCCCTGATATGGGTCATCTGAAGAAACTCGTAAGTAGTTGGGTAGTATCTACCGAGGAAGTTGAGGCTAGACTAATTTCTCACAGTCAGAAGAATACGGCCTCATCCTCATCATCGACGATACAATCGGTGGATTTGCCAACATAGATGTCCTCTCCCACGCAGACATTCTCTTGACTTCTCTCACAAAGTCCTTCAGCGGTTATGCCAACGTCATGGGCGGTTCAATCGTTCTCAACCCCCTATCGTCTCACTATCAAGCTCTCTGGTCTCTCTTTAAAGAGTCTCGCCACAACGAACTCTTCGTATCAGACGCAGAAGTTTTACTATCCAATTCGATGGACTTTCTTGAGCGAACACATATTCTTAACCGAAATGCCCTCGCTATCGCAAACTTTCTGCATGGTGCTATTTCTTTTCCCAGCTCTCCTATTGCCAATGTGCAGTATCCAAGCCTCTTGACTAGCAAGACAAACTACGACGAGGTTATGCGCCAACCGACGCCAGAGCTTCCACAGCCAGGATACGGATGTCTTCTGACGGTCGAGTTCTGTAACGTGGAAAGTGCTACAGCTTTCTATAACAAAGCCGGCTTCTATCCAAGTCCTCACCTTGGCGGCCATGTGACAATCATGTTTCCGTATAATATGGTCGTCTTCGGCAAGAAACCTGAAGAGAAAGCATATATGGAGGACTTTGGTGTCAGAGAGGCGAGTGTGCGCATCTCAGCTGGTTTAGAGAGTGAAGAGGATCTGATCGACACTTTAAGAGACGCTCTCCAAGCTGCAACAGAGGCCAACAAATGTTTTGTGAAGGGAGTGGCAAACGGCTGCTAAATTAATGAGTCTACAGTTTGCAACAATAACAGAATTAATTGGATTAAACATCTCAACAGCTATCTATCCCACATATGTATGCCCAACGCCTGACCCAGCCAGGATGTTCGTCCGTAATGCAACTCTAACCCTAAAGTGACACTCATCATCTTTTCTACATGGTATATCATTCAACATCGTGAAACCCCCCTTAACTTTCTTGCTATCTTTATGCGACAGAGGTCACCCTGCGGATGGTCCTTCTCGCGCCTTCACCCATGATCACAACAGCATTCTCGGTCTCCAGAGCCTTCATCACCGCGGTGAACTCGGATTGTTCAACAGGAATACTGGAACCCTCGCCCAGTCGGCGAGCAACATCACTCCATCGAACTGTGTTGCCTCCAGCTGTCATGTCATCCAAGAGATGTAGAAGAGCGGTGCGAAGCTCGTCGCGACGCTTGCGATCAGCCGCACTAGTTCCCTCGGTGAGAAGACTCATGTCAATACGACCGTTCGCATCTGTGGCGGCTGTCTTCAAAGCGCTCTGAATAAGTCGGTTGGCTTCGCGGACATCGTCACGAGTGACTGTCTCAGCGAGGCGCATCTTGGCGTGGGCTTCAGACAGACGAATCATACTCTCGAGTTGACGGGTTGTGGCAGTGATACGCTTGTCAGCAGCGCGAACGTCCTGTCCGAGAGCGCGCATGGCGACATAGCAATCGACCAGCTCCTGAGCAGCCTCCTGGGAGATGACAGGTTGGATCTTGGAGCGTGCGTAAGAAATGTAAAGGGTCAAGAACTCGACAGGGAGAATATCGTTGTCGGTAGGAGCCGACTGAGGCTTGTCCTCAAGGTAAAGAGACAGAAGATGCTTGGCCAGGCGACGATCGTTCTTCTCATCAGCATTGTCCAGTATGAGGTAGACCAGATCAAAACGAGAGAGGAGTGTGGGAGGAAGGTCGATATTCTGAGGAACGGGGAGATCAGGGTTGTAACGACTGCCGATAGGGTTGGCTGAGGCAAGAATACTGGTTCGCGCGTTGAGAGTTGTAATGATACCAGCCTTGGCAACTGACACAGTCTGCTGTTCCATCACTTCGTGAAGTACGGAACGTGTGGCATCTGACATCTTGTCGAACTCGTCGATACAGCAGACACCACCATCCGACAAAACCAGAGCTCCAGACTCGAGGACGAGCTGTCTTGTCTCTGGATCTCGGGTAACGTAGGCGGTCAAACCGACAGCGGATGATCCCTTACCACTGGTGTAAACACCGCGAGGAGCAATCTTGTGAATGTAAGAGAGCATTTGCGACTTAGCCGTCGAAGGGTCACCACAGAGAAGGACATTAATGTCACCTCGGTACTTGGGACTGCCACCCTTTTGGAACGTCTTGTTGGTACCACCGAAGAGTTGCAGCAGGATACCCTTCTTGACGTCGTCCATTTCGTAGATCGAAGGGGCCAAGGAACGAGAGAGAAGATCGTAAATATCATCACGGGCGGCTGTCTCCCGGATCTTTTCCTCATCCTCAGGGGTAATCTTTCGTGTCTCTTCGATGCCATTCTCGCCACCTTCGGCTTCCTCCTCACCAGCGATTCCAAGGGTTGACGGGTCAGCGCCCATGCGCCTCTTGTCGACCTTCTGAATGTGCAAAACGTCAACATAGGTTTTATGCACACTCTTGAGAGCACGCTGACGAGGGTTGACTCGAACGGGGCTGACACGGAAAATACCAGTCAGTTCAACACGGTCACCAGCCTTACAGAAATCAACAAGTTCGTTGTACACGCAGACTGAGACTGAGTGAGGTGTCTGACCAGCAGGTACCGCATCGGGTGTCTCTTGAAGCTTGATGACTTGTTTGTCCTCAAAAGAGCATCGGTTGTGGACGATCTGCATGGAATTCTTGGACTTGCAAATTTCGCGAGGGCACTCAGTAGGCTCACGAATCTTGCCACGATCCAACCCGACGTTGACAGAGTGGAAACAGACGTTGCAACGGAAGAAAGCATCCTTCATATCGGGAATGACAGGAGTGGTACGGATGACCAGACCCTTGATGCAGATAAGGCGATCCATGTCTGATTATGTTAGTTTCGTACAAAGTACATGCATAGACAATAGCTTACCAGAAGGATTCAAGTCTCTCAGGTTTGTAGTCTTGTCCAATCCAAAAGGTCGGAGGACGTAAATGGAGGAAGCCACCTGGTCCTCAAGCGAAGCCTGCTGCTGATCATGTTGTGCTCGAGGTGTAGGTGCCTCCTCGGGTCTATCTGAGCTAGGGAAAGCATAGTCGGAGCTCTGTGTGTTCTGCTGCGAAGCCTGGTGACCAGCACTGCTCTGAGAACGGTTTCTCATAGTCTCTGCCCGGGCAATCTCAACCATCATATCATGAACGGACTGATCCATAACAGGCACAATTTCTTGAGGATACGCTTGGATTTGATGCCACAGCTTTCGTGTGGGTGGGTAGAGGTTCAGGTCGGAAATATCGAGGTAAAGTCTTGTCGCACCCAGAAGCAACATATTTTCCAGAGCCTCCCAATAGGGCTTCGATTCCGCATCAGGGGCATTCTGAACGTCTTCGTCGGACGCACCATCGCGATACATACGGTATTTCTGGGTGAAGTTGCGGAGGAAATCCTTGAACGAGGCGAATGTATCATCGATAGAAACGGTCGTACCCCAGATAAGACTTTGCCCTGCTCCGCCAAGAGCATCAGCCTCGGAGGTGTTGGGGTCTCTGTTTGCGAATGAAGCAGCATCAGATCCTTCAGCTGGGCTCTCACGAATGACACGACCAGCATCGTCAAGAATAACTCGACGAACGGCGCGGGGTGTTCGTGCTGCGTCAGAGTTAATATCACCTCGGCGGTGAGGCGCAGGTGTGCCGATTTGAGAGCCTAAGAATAGTCCACTGCCTTCACTTCGAAGCTCCGACTGCTGTCGTCGTGATCTTCCGGGGCTTGAGCTTTGATAGAATATGGGTGAAGATCCTATACTAGTCAGTCTCGTAACACTTGGGTTGAAACTTCCCGTTGCTCACCTCCATTGTAGGCTGGGGTTGTTGGGTTGGCTCGGGGTGTTCTTTGGGGATCGACGTCGCTTTGGGTATCTCTCATCTGATCAAAAGGCGAGCTAGGGATATCGCTGCGACCGCGGGTGCTCTGACTGTTTGTCATCTGCGCGAATGGCGAGGATACATCTCCAGGGATATCATTTTGACCACTGGGTCCTGGTGAAGAGGATTGGTATTGCAAAGGACTCGAGGGAACCTGCTGCTGGGAATTTTCTGGCTGAGCAGAACCACGGGGAGTCGCTGAGCTGCGTGTCGATCTTTTCGTGGGCGATGACATGATCAATTATGTTGTGTTTTGCGGTTTGTACAAAGTGAAGCTGGAAAATGCAACTTGGCTTGACCCTTGTCTACCGCTACTGTTGACGTTAGGAAATTGGTAGTCAAAACGAGGGGGAGGGGATTGGCTGGGTGACGGGTCGCGTCTCCTATCTCCCACACGCGTTAAGTGCTTTACGCGAAACGTGCCTGCCAATTAATTCGAGGTCAGGGGTCAAGGGATATCTGATAAGATAAGAAGCTGCGGAGCGGTCAAACGTTGATTCCGACATCCCTCGTTCGCAGTGTGGCATCGCTGGCATCTGTATCTGGAGGGGCCACCGTTTAGAGTAGGAAGCACTTACAAGCTACCGTACAACACAACAAACCGCCATCATGTCTCCTGGAATGACCCTTTTCTCGGTTCAGGCCGTCCTGATCCTCAGCACCGAGGACGGCTCAAGAATATTCGCAAAGTACTTCCAGCCGCCTCACTCAGCTCCCAATGGTACATCAATCCTCTCCTGAGCTTCCCCAGCTGTAATACCACTGGGCGCAACGACAGCTGACAACTGTTCTAAACAGCTCCTGCCAGCGCTTCCGCCAACCCCTACTCCGATGTCAAGGCGCAAAAGGCTTTCGAGAAGGGTCTCATTGAGAAGACCGCCAAGCAGACCGGCGACATTATTCTCTACGACAACCGAATTGTTCTGTACAAGATGGAGTCGGATGTCATGATGTACGTTGTTGGCAGTGTCGACGAGAACGAGATTCTTCTGTACAACACCATTTTGGCTCTGCGAGACTCCCTTCACCTGCTCTTCAAGTAAGACCCCATTATACAAGCTTGCGCATTGCTTCGTGGCATGCACTAACATGGTCGCTGTAGGCAATCCGTTGATAAGAGAACAATTGTTGAGAACTACGACCTCGTTTCGCTCGCCATTGATGAGATCGTCGACGACGGTATCATTCTCGAGACTGACCCCACCATCATCGTCCAGCGTGTCAGCCGAGCACCCACACAGGACATGCCCGTCGGCCGTATCGACCTCAGCGAACAGGGCGTCAACAACCTGGCGCAGCTAGGAAAGTCGAAATTGGCGGACTGGCTTCGACAGGGTCTGTAATGGGTATGAAAGGGTTACGTCTAGATATTCAGGAGTTTTTTCGTTATACTAGCGCCGCATGCAAACCAAAATTCAAAAGAGGAAGACTTCACGCTAATGGCCTGGTCTGGCTTGGTTGATATAGGGTCAAGGAAGGGCTTTTCTATTATCAAGGGTGCTGGTGTTCTAATCGATATGATCATTCATGCTCTAGTCTCTGACGCCGCTTTGCGCAGTCGGTTCATGACCGCTGCAGCAATGTCGCTTTTATCTTCTATGCCATCAACAAAAATGGTGTCTGCGCCTCGTCGATCAAACTCCCTCAGCGCTGCAAAAAGACCTCGCGCGATCCCTTCAGTGCCTTGGCCCAAATCAATATCCAGGATTGTTCCTATGGGTTGCTCCTTGTCGTCCAATAGATCGCCCTCGTATACTTGGAATGGCGAATCATCCTGCTCATCGGCAGCCTTCACGTTGGTGAGGTGGTGGAAGTTGGCGCATCGCAGTCCAGCCCCTGACTTCCATCGCTGGGTGCGAATGACACCGATTCTTCTCTTCTTTCGATCGCCATTTGTAGCATGGCCGTTGACTGCCTCATTAGCGGCCTCAAAGTCGGATAGGGAGATCCCATCACCTCCCTTTTTGAAACTCGACTCATAAAGCACCACTGTGGCCTTGGGGCTGTAATGCTTGTACTTCATTCCCGGCGCCCGTGGTGCTGCTTTTCCCTCTTCGCTCTTGTCTTTGTAGGCTATCGTTACATTTTCCCAGCCAGGGCAAGTTCGTAGCTCGTCCATTCCAATGCCTCCAGGTCGCAGCACAACGGGAGGATCACACAATCCGTCCACTACAGTGCTTTCCACGCCGACATGGCAGTGTCCACCGTCTAGAATAAGTTCGATTCTTCCATCGAGGTCATCCTTTACATGCTGGGCTGCTGTAGGTGAAGGCTTAGTAGAGGCGTTGGCGGAGGGCGCTGCCAGGGGAACACCAGCAAGCTTGATGAGGGAGAGAGCAAGGGGTGAAGAAGGCATTCGCATGCCAAAGGTCTTCAGCCCTGCAGTAACTTCAGGCGCCAGCTTTGATGGTACAGGGTTAGGAAGTAAAATAGTCAGAGGTCCAGGCCAGAAGCGCTCTATTAAAGCCCTGTATCGCTCTGGTATAGGGTCTTGAGTTTCGTCTGTGTAGCCAATGTACTGTCGCAACATCTCCAGATCGCAAACGTGAGAGATAAGAGGGTTGTCTGAAGGTCTTCCCTTTGCAGAATAGATGCCCTTGACTGAAGGTGTTCGAGTCGCATCTGCGCCCAGGCCATAAACAGTCTCAGTAGGGAAAGCGACAGGCGTATCCTTGGTCCGTAACTCGTGGGCAGCATGTTCTAGAGCCTCGAGAGCTGTCTTGTTCTCACAGTAAACTTCCCAGTGATCCAGCTTAGCGAGACCATCACCAGGTCGAAACTGTCCCAGGGACCCCTTGCTGGGGACTTTCACTATCCTCGTCTCCATTGTGGGTGTAGCTTGAGAAATTAATCTCTGTGATATAAGTGGTTTTCTCAGGCCTGACGATAATGATGGGTTTATGTACGAAGAATGAGTCGAAAAATAGAAAGCACTATTTTTCAAGAGTGAGAGAGTTTGTAAATGCCCTCGCAAACTATAATATCGTCGTCTGTGGCTAAAGGTTCGTGATAGTTGAGCGATGGAAAAATTCATCACACTGGGCCTCATGCTCACTCATCATGACGAGCTAAAATGGAGCCTCTGGCTTGACTTTGATGGTTGAGAGTGACTCAGAGGGGGATGCCCAATCGAAAATTGCTGTCTTTAGGCTCTGAACCTGCCTGAGGTGCCACTAAAAAAAAGCATTCATTCAGCAGCTAACTACTAACTTTCGTAGCTTCAGACGGATAGCCAACGTCAACCTCAGATTTGGAGTGTGCAAAATGTATATAAGATCCAAAACAGAGAGCTACATACAGCAGTGGATAATTGTATGTCTCTGCACAAGCTGAATCACTATTCTTTGAAAAAGGGGTTTCTGTCACTCTATATGTTTATTCAACTGTCTTTCGTCAACTCCTATAGTCGATCAATCCGAACTTAATTCTCTCAACCAGCAATTGCCAACAAATTCTCGCCTCGCTTGCATCTATTCGCATTTTAAACTCTTTTTTTCTAATCAACGCCGTCTCTCCATATTCGTCGAAACCTTATTAACCACTGTATCAGCCTCTAACCAAGCTTCTTGCCCTCCTCCTCTCTTCTTCAGTCAGAACCCACTCGTAGCCATCATCTTCCCCATCTTGTGCCATGATTTCATCCCATTCATCGTCTTCCATGTTGGCAACCTCTAGAAGTTGCAGGACCTTGGCAAACACTTCTCGTACACCATAGTCTCCACGGGAGACGACATCCACCAATGCAATGAAGTCGCGTTCGAGACGAATTGCGCCAAGGGCATTAGTCCGTCCTGCGTAGCCCATGATCTTCTTCTCCCAAATCTTGGACAGGTAACGCGCGGTAATGTCGAGGAGGGTGTTATATGTTCCAGGTGTCATTAGGCGTGCAATTGGCTTCATGAGTTGATCCCAGCCGTGTTCAAAGAGCCGGGGTACTTGTTCCAAAAGTTCATTCTCATCTTCATCGTTTTGCTGAGCAATATCGGCAATATCGTCTTCAGATAGTGTGTAGTCCGCATCACGGAATGTCTCAGTAAGAACCGGCCGTAAACGAAGCTTGACGACTTGGTTGAAGAGTACTTGAATACCTTCGTTGAGCAGTTCTGTTGACTTGCCGATGAAAGATGTTTGAAGAGTGTGCAAAGCATTCGCCACGAAGATAACGTCTCGCTCAAATGGGAACGAATCTTTGAGGGGTCCATTCTGAGCGTCGCCATTTGAAAACTCACTCGACTCCCCTATGCGACCCGTGATGATTCGAGTCAAGTACTCGTTGGCCATGTCGAGACTGTTGATGAGAACGATGAACTGGATGATCTTATCTTCAGGTGGGAACCCTCCTTGAACGACAGGCCTAGGATATGATTCGTCTCGCATCTTGCGTTGAATCATGCCCACAAAGTCGGAACCAAGAACTCGACCAATGGTGGGCACCACAGAAGCAATGACATCCCTTTGTGATGTGGAGATGGACTTCTGAATGACCGTGTTCACAATGTACATAACATCGTCGACAGCTAATATGATATACGGGGCATTGCCCTCGATATGTTTACTCAAGCTTAATGACAAGCCAGTGGGATACTCGTCTAGCTGGAACGCCTTCTCCACCGAACGGCGGAAGAAAAAGGTGGTCATAACATTGTAAGGAGCTGTGAGTTTCGTAGACACTTTGCGGTACAGGTTAGACTTGACCAACACATCCGGTATGACCAGAGGAGCTTCATCTGATGCATCGGCGTCCTAAAATTGTGTAAGTACAAGCACAGCTCAGGGGCTCGGATGGTCGGTCTTACCTTGCATTTACCAGCGAGAAATCGAGTGTACAGGGACCAACGACCAAGCATGACGGCAATCTCGCTCAGGAGACCATCGACCTCTCTCATGTTTACACCCTCGTCCTCGCTCTCTCGGGGGTTGTTACCTACTCCAATGGCAGGTGAGTTGACTCTTGGCGTGCCACCACGAGGCGGCTGGGGTAAAAAGCTCTGTACAAGGAACGAGAATGGGTAGCTCCTGACATCAGTGAGCTTTCTGTCGATTCCTCTCTCGTCACTCCAGGTGTCAACAACGATGCCACCTTGAACATCCGCTTCCATCTGCAAACGCTCGATCACGCGAACCATCTTGCCGGTGCCATAGTGACGTTCCACGAGTCCACCGTGGCCTTCAACAATCTGTGCGATATGCTCGAATAGCTTTGTCAAAGCATTTGCGTAGAAGAATCCCTCCCTGTGTTGGCCGTTCATGGCATCCTTGAATGTCGCTCGAGCTGTTCCAGCCACACCTTGACACACGTAACGTCCATACACGTCCAGTCCCACGTCTGCCCGGCTGATCAAAGGGAAGAGTTTGAAGAACCGTGTGACCTTGGTTCCGTCGCTTTCTTCTGCCGCCTTTTCGAACTCTCTCAAGAAGAGGCCACATAGACTCTCCTTGGCTTCCTCCAGCGTCACCCATGGTGGGTCAGGTACTTCGACGCTGGGTACTATGCCAACAGCGAATGACCCCTTTGTGATCTCCTCTGGTATTTTGCTGGCTCTTGATATATATCCAGCAGCAGCCTCCCAATCCTGGGGTGCGCCCATAGAACCGACCACGCCATTAACACATGCCTTGAGTTCCGCAACCTGTTCCACTACACCAAGCGTTTCTTCGACTCGGCTCTTCTCCAAATCCAACTCTTTTACTCTGTCGCTCAGTCTACCAGCCGTGTCTGCCGCCGTCGCCAGCATATCATTTCCAATCGATCTTGTGGCGATGACCTGGGCTCCAAGTCCAGCCCGTAGAAGATCCAGTCGGCCCAGGTCACGGGAGAGGTCTGTTTGCGAGGCAACAAGGGCATCGAGTCGAGAAGTTATAGAGGTTTCGCGGGCATGGAGAGCGGCAAGCGCATCGCGAATCTCGGCCTCGGTGGTGGCATTGTCAAGGGACGAGGTAGAGACAGCAATCGAGGGTTCGACGACAGGGTGTTCGTTATGAGAGATGCCGTTTGGAAGGCTTGACATTGTCATTAAGGTGTTCTATTCGTGCGGCGCATTTCTGTTCCGCAACCTCTTTTTGTCTACAGTCAAGACAGTAAAGGAGTGACGTGGAGCTTGTAGCTCACTTGTCGCAGCTTCTGGAGGGCGTTGCTTTAGGTTGATGGTGACACGCAGCCTCCACAGGGAGAGCTCCCCGCAATTGAGTGCCTACAGTACTGCGCTGGAAGTTACCCTGCACCCATCCATATAAAAAACCCATCCTCCATCAATACTTACTACACAGGCATAAAACATTACAGAGATATCTTTCTTATGGCATTTATCTTAATATGTGGTTATTTTAGTAGCCGCCTTTGCTTCAATCGCTATGCAAATCCGCTATGTGGATCATGTTTATGCGTCTTATACTATACAAAAGATGCCTTTTTGAATACACAACCATGGACAATATCAAGCCATTGGTTCCATCATACCGCTTGACTGTATCCGTTCCCAAAACGCCGTTTCCCATACTTGAGATATTTTCGCAACTCATCCGCCCAAAACACCATGCTGCACAGAATAACAAGACGAACAAGATCGAAGAACCCAAGAGCCTCCGTTTGAAAGGCCTCCTGGAGCCAGGGGAAGTAGATCACAAGCAACTGTCCAGCAATACTGAGAGCAACGGCCCAGTTGAACAGGTTGTTGGAAAAGAGTCCAACCTCACCCCGAAGAATCGACTTGGACTCAGATCGGCAACTTAAAGCGTTGAACATGTCAAAGAAGACGAAGCAGGTAAATGTCATGGTTGTGTCTCGTCGAGTCACCTGTCCATCAGCCATCATCTCACGACGGTAGATGAGCATTGTCCCAAAAGTGATAATGGCAGCCGACGTAAGAACGCGTGTAATAAGTGCTCGAGTAAGTACGGGATCTCCTCGTCTTCGTGGGGGCTTGGTCATCACATCAGGGTCGACCTTTTCCACGCCGAGAGATTGAGCTGGAGGGCCATCCATAATGATGTCTGTCGAACAATGATTAACTTATACATCCTTAAAAGAGGAAGATTTCACTTACTGATCCATAGGATCTGCATGGCGTTCAAAGGAGACTTGAAGCCAAAGCAGGTGCAGATAAAAACAAGAGCCAAACTGGCGGCGCTTGTGCTCAGTTGGAAGGTGAGGAAGTTCTGGATGTTGTTGAAGATGCCCTTGCCCTCTTCAATTGCCCGGAGAATCGTAGAAAAGTCATCATCCGTTAGGATCATATCTGCTGCTTCCTTGGCAACGTCAGTTCCGTGACGACCCATGGAAATACCAATATCGGCCTTCTTGAGAGCTGGCGCATCATTGACACCGTCACCAGTCATGGCGACGATATCGCCCCTTGACTGAAGGGCCCGAATGATCTTCAGCTTGTGATCCGGGTTCGTTCGTGCAAATATTGTTGTATGCTGCATGGCCTGTGCTAGATCCGCCTCGGACATCCTGTCAACCTGGTCACCACGTAGAACAGGCTTCACAGTGTTCTGGCTGCCTGTATGTCCGCTGGGGGTCGCAATGGTCATGCCCAATTGCTTTCCAATCGCAAGCGCTGTGGTTTCAGCGTCACCAGTAATCATGATAACCTTGACACCGCCACGCATCAGACGTCTGATTGAACGGCCAACTCCAGGTCGGGGAGGATCACGCATGCCAACAAGACCAGCGAAAGTCAAGTTTTTGTAGATATCCTCCGGGGCATGAGACGATGGACTGTCGCTTCGGTCAAAACCAGGGGTGCTACGTGCGGTAGACTTGCTCCTTGTTGTGCGCGAAACAGAACCACTTGCAAATGCCAATACCCGCAAACCCTGGACAGCCATGGCCTCGGCGGCCTGGAGAGCTTCTTGGCGACGGGATGAATCGAGCACAATTTCCCTTCCATCCTTTTCGAGATAGGTGTCGCAAGCAGCCAAGACCTTTTCGATAGAGCCCTTCATATATGCGTATTCCTTGTCGCCTCTTGTTTCTGAGCCAATGGTGACGCCCATCCACTTTCTTTCTGAACTGAAAGGTGTCTCGCTTACTCGTGGGCCGATGGATTCTCTAACATCGTGCTCCCCGAAGCGATCAAGGAGGTCCAGCATGGCAACATCAGTTGGCTGCCCAACCCAGCGAGTATAAGTAGACACTTGATCGCGACCGAGGGTAGATGAGAGGACAGCTGTGGCAGCCTGACCATGCTCAGTGTACTTTTGTGCGAGTCGCGCATCGTTGGCAATGTTGCCTATACGGAGTACACGTAGGGTGGCTTGGTTGGACTCCATAGTAGATCCCACATCTTCATTGTCAGACTCAACATCAACTGCATCTTGAGTTCCAAAGTACCACATGCGGATTGTTGTCATATGATTTGTAGTAAGAGTGCCTATCAATCTACTGTCAGCTTCTTTCTTATGGCGCGCAAACTTGACATACCTGTTTTGTCAGTGCAAACAACATTCACAGATCCCAGTGTCTCGACCTTGGGCATCCTTCGAACAATCGCATTGTGCCTAGCCATGCGATGCACTCCAAGAGCCAAAGTGACGGTTACAATAATGGGCAGGCCTTCCGGAATGGCAGCAACAGCAAGTGAAATCGAAATTTGAAAGATCTCCAAGATCTTCTTTCCTTGAAGCCAGCCGACAATCGAAATGAGACCAATTACCACGAATGAGGCCTTGCTGAGCTGAGAACCAAGATCGTCCATCGATAATTGAAGTGGAGAACGCGGGCTTTCAGTACCAGAAACGCTCGTAGCGATGGTACCAAAATGAGTGTGTCCGCCAGTCGCAAAGACAACACCCTGACCATGACCTGATTTGATCAATGTTCCCATGTATGCAATATTCTGAACACCATCTCCGTGAGACTCTTCAGCCTCAGCTGGGTCAAGGGTCGCAGGTCTTGGCAGTTGGTTCTTACCAAAACCACCAAACCCACGGCTTCGTGCTTCAGCTGACATCCTGACAGGCTCAGTCTCTCCTGTAAGATTCGATGCGTCAATCGTCAGGTCGGCAGCTTTGGTAATACGGATGTCGGCAGGAATGCGATCGCCGGTGGTGAAGAGAACGAGGTCGCCGGGGACAAGCTGTGAAGCCATGACTTTAGAAGAAGCCGCATCCAAGACGTCGCCAATGGGTGTAACATCGCCAGGGGTAGACATGGAATCGTCACCATCGGCGCGCGGAGGCCATATCGCATTCTTTCCCATCGGTGACACCTTGCCCTGACCTCGAACCAGATGTGCATGGTTTGGTACAAGATGGTTGAGTGCCTCGATGGACTTCTCGGAACGATATTCCTGCACAAATCCAACAGCCACAACAATGGTCACCGCCACAGTAATGCTGATGGCATCATCCGTGTTTCCTAGGAGGAGCGAAGCGCCGGCCGATACGAGGAGAAGCAGAATAAGGGGCTCCTGGAATTGTTTGATGAATCGCAACCACAATGGTTCAGGAGGATCGTGAGGAATTTCGTTGGGACCATATTCGCTAAGTCTAGTCAAGGCTTCGGTTGGGGTGAGGCCAAGAGTGAGAGAGGTCCGTAAGTTCGCTGCAGCTTCGCTTGGGGTCATATAGGAGAAATGATCGGCGACATTCTAGTGGAGTTGTTAGTTGAATCGATACATGCACGTCATGAACGAATTGCGCAGATTCAGGACTAACCCGTGCATCGGCCGAAGTAGTTCGGACATGGCGAGGACGTTGTGGATGTTCGCCGTCCTTGGAGGTGGTGTTGTCTCCTACGATGGATGGGATATTGGATGTCGGCAACAATGTGTCATTTCCCGGACCGTCGCGGCCGCCCCATGGCAGCTGCATATCGACAATAGTAGCGCGTGAGGGTTCGTGTTACAGTTGAAGAGTGAAGGCCGTGGAATGCATTGGTGATCGGGCTTTATTTCGTAGCGAAGGCGAAGGGTTATGAGGGAGGAAGAAAAGGTCCGCTATAGTTGAGTATAAGGGAACGACGTCAAGGCATGGACCAACGTTGCCACGAGGAAGTAAAGCCAACTGGCGATTCGGCTCCCACACTAAAAGAAAATGGACCGGTTCAGGCCTATAGAAGAAAGAACTCAAACATGAACAAACGCGACAGCGCGAGAAGAAGAGTAAAAAGAGGCCAACAAGGACAGAAATATACGTGATGGCACGTTGGAAGGCCCAGAATTAAGTCGACCTGAGATGATGTCCAGGTGTCTTGTCCTTTTGGGAGCGGGTCGGAGCTAGTACTGTTCAAGATCCGGCAAGGCTGCCAGGGGCTTACATCGACTTTAGAGGCTCATTAGCCAGTGGCATGAGCCCAAAGACGAAGTATGGCTTGGCGGACGAGTAAAGATTGGCTGCAAGAATGAGTGTCAGGTCCAAGCCAATGGCTTTTGCTGCAGGTGTTTAGAGGTCTGGAACAGTTTAAGCCACATGGCGAAGATCACGTTTGCAATGTCGGTTATGTCGCAGTTATTTGCGGCAGAACAATTCATTGTGGTTTCTCGTTTTACAGGTGCTAAGGTATAGTACCATTGTAAGGATGTATAGTATAGTATAATTATAGTATAGAGTAGACGTATTGACGGTTGATCTCCATGCCCTTACATCTGTCAAGGACATGGGTATATATCATGTACATTCAGAGTCATATCTGGTTATATCGAGGATTCTAGAGAGGATACAGGATATCTCATTAAAGTTGCCTCATAAGAGAGATTGGATAGGATGCCTATTTTAAAGACCCATTGAATCCCAAACCGTAGGTTTCATTAACGGTATAATGACCTCAGTCCCTATAAAAAAGTTGGATCCAAGCTTTCAATTACACGAGCCGTCATCCACAATTTGGTGGGATGTTGGTCGGGAGACCTGGCTAGCCGATGATCCCATCCCACCAATCAAAAGATGTCATATATCGGATAAACCTCTCTCCGTACTGACGCTAGTCAGTTTTCACCAGGCTTCGTCCTGCCACAGATCAGCCCCCAGCCACGCCATTTACCGTTGGAGTCGACTCAAGGCCTCCCCCCTCTTCAAGGTCCAGGTCCCATTTTCCCTTCTAATAAAATACCTTGACTGCCTTACGTCGCGATAATCCCGCCCGCGCCTACGCCTTACTACCTCAACTTGCTCTCCGAAACCGTCGCTATCGCCTCAAATTGGTCGCTGATTCCTCTTTCTCAATTCGCGCGATACTTTCGCATTGTTTAATGCTTTTGGGGGGCTCGCGACGCTGCTTTTGCGCGTAGAGCTATCCTATCCTGCCACCGAGCTTGTTTACCCGACGCGCCCCGGCCTTGGTGTTCTTACCTAGCTCTATTCTTTTGACCGCACCCACCACATCTACCACAACCTCGACTCTGCCAATCCTCTATATTAGGATCACAACATCTTTTTGGACCCATTGATATTACTGTCGTGATCTATTTTTTTTTGTGCATCGCGTAATCTCGCGACGGCATCATGTTCTATTCAGAGACCTTGCTCCAGAAGAGCGGGCCGCTCGCCCGTGTTTGGCTTTCAGCCAACCTGGAGCGCAAGCTGTCAAAGACTCATATTCTTCAGTCCAATGTCACGGACAGTGTAGAGGCCATCATCATGCCTAACCAGGCCCCGATGGCCCTGCGACTTAGCAGTCAGCTACTTCTTGGTGTTGTGCGAATCTACCAACGAAAGACGCGTTACCTTTTGGATGATTGTAATGAGGCTATGATGAAGATCAAGATGGTCAGTCCTCTATCCTGACGCGTTGTGTAGTCGCGTTTGCTAACTTTTCCAGGCTTTCCGATCTTCTGGAAACAACGATATGGCCGCCAATCTCCAGGTCTCTAACCGAGAAGCTTTGACACTTCCCGACAAGATCACTCCTTACGACAATTTTGAACTACCACCTCCTCCAGACGCGAACTGGCTTTTGTCTCAAGTCGAGGATGTTACTACCGCACCAATTGGCCGCAAAGGTCGCGTTAGCCAGAGAGACATCAACTTGCAAGAAGACTACGATAACAGCCAGTTTCTTGGTGATGGAATGGGAATGGAAGATGATATGATGGCTCCCTTGGGTAACATCGATCTGGAATTGGATTTTGGTCTCGATGATCTCGGCCTTGAAGAGACAGCTCTCGAACCTGAAGGAGGTCGACGGGAAGACCGTACCGCAGCAGGTCCCGATATTAACGATTCGGACCTTGACATTCCCCAGAAGGACAACCAAGACCGTGCTATGTCAATCGACCTTCCTCGGGACGACGTTATTATTCATGATGGTGGCGAGGACGTTGTTATGGAGGGTATGGAACTCGACTTCAACCCAGAAGACGTCTCCCAGATGCCTGGCATCGCGGGTCCTGAATATCCTCCTCCAAGAATTTCCGAATCACCGCTCTCCGATATCGACGAAGACCGGGCCGCACAGCTGGAAGAGGACCACTCGAGATACCAGATGGCCGATTTGTATGAACCCGAAAATGAAGAAGAGCAAATTGTCCGACGACCTGCGCAGCGCGCCAAGAAGCAAAAGATTCTTACTCCCGACGAAGAGATCGCTCTGTCCAGCAACCATATCAAGCAACAACAGGCCAACCGGGACAACATCATCAAGGAGGCTGGATTCCTCCCTCGCGACCCCTTCCTCTTGGCCCTGATGGATATGCAAAAGAGTGGTGGATTTGTCTCCTCCATCATGGGTGACAAGCGAAGCACGAACTGGGCACCCGAACTGCGCGGTATTCTTTCGCTTGATACTGCTCGTGGCATGAACGAGCTTAAGCGCAAGCGAGACAGCGGAATCGCTGACGTTGAGAGCGACCATGGCGCAAACAAATCGCCTCGCATGCTCGACATCGGATCAGACACTGGACTCGGCCTCGATGCTGGTTTCGGTGAAATGAGCCTTCCTCCTGATGAGAGTCGTCATGAAATCCCTGCTGAGGGTGAGATGGAGGACGACGAAGCGCCCACAATGATGCCTGGTTTCGAGGACACCACTATTGCTCTCGTCCACCCTGCAGAGAGTGGCCCTGTTTCGCTGGGTACCAAGCATGTTGTTCACCAGCTCCGAGACCGCTTCGGTGATGATGCGGCCGACAGCCCCAGTAAGCGCACTGACCGAGCAGTTCTCTTCCAGAACCTTTGCCCTCGACAAGAGACCACCAAGGCCGATGCTACCAAGATGTTCTTCGAGTGTCTGGTTCTTGCAACCAAGGATGCTATCAAGGTCGAGCAGGGCTCTGGTTTGGGCGACGACATCCGGATACGAGCCAAGCGTGGACTCTGGGGCGCCTGGGCTGAGAGGGAGGCTGGCGGTGAGATGTCTCAAGACAACGACGTTCTCAATGAGCCTGAGCACGCCGCCGCTGCCACCCCCGCAGTCGCTGTCTCGGCGTGATTCGACACGAGTGTGCATTTCCTACCTGCATCGTTATGAAGACTCGAACGGGTGGGCATGTTTGGTCGTGTAAAGTATTATATTCCAGCATTCTAGGGTAGTCAACTTCAGGGTCACCCAGATGGTGTTGTAGGCGTTTAGGGATATACCATTGCTTGCGGTATTTGGTTGGATGGATCGTCGTTACTATACGGGAAAAGGGCGGAGGTTGATTTGCCTCTGCTTCTGTTTTATGGATGAGTCCTGTTGGACAATGGGATCAGTAGCTAGCTTAAGATAGCTGTTAAAAGAACAATTCAGACTTGCATCTTGATTCCCATTATTGGCAATTTACTGTGTCTATTGTATTGCGTCTCAATGTATCTTGGCCGTGTATATGCGCGTAGGGAGACGATAAGAATGGCCCCGCCATTAGACCCCACGTTGAACATGATCTCATTTGCTCTTCGGTACAGATACTCCAGGCATCAAATAACCAAACAGGCACCCAAATAACGAGACCTGCATTTGTCGCCGCCTTAATAAACCTCTTAACATCCTTAAGAAGACTGCCTGCCCACGAACACCCTATCGATCCATATCAAAGTACACGCTCTATTCCACGATGCCTCCGCCTTCACAGCTCGCCATCGCGACAAGCTCTGTCAACCGACTCCTCAAGGAGGAAGCCTCATACCACAAGGAGCTCGAGCAGGAGGAAGCCAAGGTCCAGGTTCTGAAGGAGAAGATTGACAGCGGTGCCGGCGACGACGACGGTAATGCTTCATTTATGCTTAAGCAGCAGGTTGGTCCACAAGCCATCTTCCACCGCAACCAGACACGCAAGCTAACCATTGGCTACTATAGCAAACCGCCCTCGAACAGACAAAGGCTGTTTTCGGACCCCTGCGAGAAAAGATTGCCGTCGCTATTGAGAGGCTTGAGGAGCAGCTCGCTGTAAGCGATCAGCTCAATGTGCCTGAGGAGCAGGTGCAGCAGGCAAAGGAGACGCTGGCAAAGGCCAAAGCCATCCAGACCGATGCGTAATAGACACGCGAAAAGAAACACGAGGGAAAGAGCTGCTCTACGATACCACTTAGATAAGATTTAATGCAAAAGGAACGCTTCCAGACCTTCATAAAGTTGAGGGTATCTTGATAGTATCATTACAGGAGCCACAAGGGAATGCTAACAGCACCCAATACCAATAACAAAGGCTAATTAATTGTCCACTTCCATCTTGTCCTCGTTTCCTTCAGGCGGTTCAATAGTCACCAGCGGTGTTGCTCCCCCATCGTCATTTGCTCGACTGGCCTCAGAGTCCTCCATGTCAACGTCGTCTCCCGACTCCGCCTTTTCTTTGTCGTTTGGCGGCATGGGTGAAACGTCTCGGCTGGGCGCTTGGCTATCTCCACGAGAGGCAGCACGGTTGTCTTGTGGTTTCAATGTGTCTGGTCCTGGTGTATCTCGCATTGGTGTTCTTCCACCATTGAGAGCTTCCGGGTTTGGTGTGCCGGCATCCCCATCCACCTTCATCTGGCTGTCTCCGTCTGGATGAGGCGTCGCGTTGCCGCTGGGTTCGTTTCTGGGTGTTTGTCCGACCTTATCCGCCTCGACATCATCCTCAGCACCCTCATTCATACCCTCTCTGCGATCGACCTCTTCCTTCTCATCGCGAATCTGTCGTCTCAAAAGCATGCCTTCCTCCATGATCCTGTTGAATTGCTCTCGTCGCTCCTTCCATGTCTCGCTATAAGTTTCGCTTTCTCGCTCGAGCTCTCGGCATTCCTCCTCGAGTTTAGCCAAATTAGTAATTTGGTCTTCGCGCGGCTTGAGCAGGCGATTTGACGTGATCTTCTCTGCTAATTCGTCGAACTTTTTGCGCTGCGCAAGAGTAGCTTGTGCAACCTTGAGCTGTTCTTTGAGTTGGGAGTTGGTTTCTTTGACATTTTTGCCTTCGTTGAGGATGCGATGCTGGTCTTCCTTGTAGCGTTCACGCTCCTGAGCATTGGAATTGTGAATATTTTGCATGCGACTAATGCTGTGGCCGAAAGCAAGCACGTCGATGTTCACTTCCTCCTTAAGCTCCCTAAGTCTGGGCTTCAGATCTTCCGGAGGGTTGGCTGTAGTTTCGGGGGATAACAAGAGTTGTGATATAGTGTTTACACGCTTTTGGATGCGCTTGAAGTGCTTTTCCTCAACATTGAGGAGGCGCGACTTGTGAAGCTCAACCTCTTCTTCGGCTTCCAGAAGAGGCCATGGGGCGGGAGTTCCAGCCATCTCGATTCGAGTCGCGGTCGGCCGATGTGTGTTTGGATCGATGTGTAGTGGGCAATATTATTTGCAAAGAAGATGATGAAATGACTCGATGAAGGCTCTGACGCGTCACGAGTTTTTATTCAAAGTCTATCGTAAAGACGTATTGGAAGAAAGCTTGAAGATGATTAACACAAACAAAGCTTCAGCCTTGCGATGGCATTGAAGGTGTGAAGACGGTAGACCAATCAACTGCGCGAGTGTGGATGACTAATATTATCTTTGTGGTGATTGCATCTTGCCGCCCGCCAACTCAAATCGCAATCGCATTTGTTAACTTACCCTCCCACGTAAATAACCCTACTTCACCTTATATTTGTCCTACAACACAAACGCCCTCGGTTTTCTTTTTCTCAATACAACTTCAGTAATATTGCAGTAAAGATGTCAGAAGAAGAGAGAGAGCTTTTGGCCCGCATCAGCCAGGTCGCAGGTTTGTGCTCTACGTTTAATGATGAAAGACGCTCTACTGACGATTTGAAGGCCAGATCAATCGTCACAAGAACCAGCATTCAAGCCCTAGATTCCCGCCGAACTCGCATCCTGCTCATCATCGCCGTATGTTGCGCTTCAAACCCTAGACCAAGACACTACTAATGCTTATCTAGACAACTCGTATCGACATGCAAGCTCGCCATATCCGGCTCGTAATAATCGAATTGGACGACCGCCCGCAGCGCACCAGCATAGAACCCTCCATTTGAATAACGATAACTCAAATGCATCCCGCTCTGCAAGTAGTGGTGCTGAAACACCACCAGGCTGGGTTTCTCGAACCGATCGCCACCGGCAGCTTATTAACGCGAATGTATACGAAAGAGACACGCAGAACCGAGCGAAAGCTATTGAGCAGACACTCCAGAAAAAGATTAACGGATACCGACAGCGCGAGAAGTCGCAGTTTAATGAGTTCTTGAAACATCAAGCAGCTGCGTCGAGCGCGCAGACTAACCCCGCAGGTCAAAACGAGCTTACAATCCAAGGCGTCCAATTTCGTGTGATGGATGGCGGAAAGAAACTAGTTAAGATTCCTGGTACGTGCGGACTCGAAAACGTCGTCGGCCTTTGTGCCTTACCTGTCGCAGGTGCCGCCAACTCATCCTCTCGAACTCCAAAGACCGCCAGTGTTGCTGGGGTCAAGTTCTTTCGAACAAAGACAGGCAACCTCGTGGCGAGTCGCTTTGTTAATGACCAGCGGTATGTAGCGTCTCCTAGTGAGACAAAGTTGCTGACAGGCTCTAGGCGATCTGGCGCGGTCAAGAAGATTGATCAACTTTGTAAAATCTTCTCAACGACTGGTATTTCCTCTTTCCATGATTGGAGTGGTCCACGCCTCCATCATTCGAACCGGCCCAGTGGCCATGGGATAGAACTAACTTGTCTTTTTAAACAGGCTCATGCACCAAAGGTCCCCGTTGCCGCTACATCCATGATCCCAACAAGGTTGCTCTCTGTAAAGATTTCATGAAAGACGGGCAATGCGTCAACGGCGAGTTTTGTGATCTTTCCCATGACATGACTCCCGAACGCACCCCGAATTGTTTGCATTTCGCCAAGGGCCATTGTGCCAAGGATGATTGTCCCTATACTCACTCCAGAGCTTCTCCTGCCGCCCCAGTATGCCGAAGCTTTGGCTTCAACGGCTACTGCGAGAAGGGGGCAGATTGTACTGAACGCCACGTCTTTGAGTGTCCTGACTTTAGCAATACCGGCCGATGTAAGGTCAAGGGATGTAAACTCCCGCACCGTGAAAGGGCAAGCGTCCTTCGAAACAGGGCCAACGCCGATGGCGAGCCCCTTGGAGATATTTCAAGTGATGACGAAGCTGCTGATTCTGACGATGTTGACTCAGATGAAGTTGCCGAGTTTATCGACGCAGATTCGGACCTTTCCGACTTTGAAGAACAGAAGGATTTCCTGTCGATCTGAAGTCAGTCAAGTTGTTGTGTCTGTTGGTAACAGACGATCAAGCTTGACTTTCAGTATTCTGCTTTATCCGGCGTCTGGAGCCATGGTTGGGATTTGGTAAACACTCGAGATACCCGTGATATATCGGCATCCTAAAGGGTTTTGGCTAAGCCATACCATGAACATAAGGATGATAAAGCAATGGAACCAGAAAGAAGGGAGAAAGAAGAAGTAAAAAAAATGCGATTAAAGAAAAAAAAAGAAAAAAGAAGAAGAAGAATGATAAGAAAAGAAAGAAAGAAAAAGACAGAGAGGAATGGAAGCCTCTACATCGCAAAGCAATTCGTAGATTAGGTATCGAATGAAAGAGTTATGTATTGAGTATCTCTACTTCCAAGACGTGATAGTTCGTGATTAACATGATACTACCTACCTAATGAAGGACCCTAGATCCTTGGCTTTGGCGGGGAATACCACAGATAACCAGCCATGACCAGGTGGACAAAGCGGCTAAGTTACCTATTAAGTGAGATGAGGGGTTGAGGGGCATTGTCAGCTTCCAGGTCGTACTAGATATTGCTTATTCGGACAATACATAGGCTAATATTAGCAACCAAAGGGTTTTGTTACGAGGTCACCGTGATGCCTCCTGATACTACAGTATTATCTTGGATAGTTCCGAACGAGGATATAACCGTGATATCCATGCGCAATGCTGTGACGTTTTACATCATAGATAGAAAGCAAGATCAGCAACTGAAGGTATGGACGCTACCACATTTATTATACTGGATGATGGCCCTATCGTTCCAAACGAGACAGGGGCTGCTGATCTTAGCAGTGGCGCTTACAGTCTGCCTTGAGAAGTAGGTCAGGCCAAGTACCTGCATGTCATATCGTACCTTGAAAAAGAGCGCGCAAAGCCTCGACTCAGCCTCAGCCCGTTTGCGGTTGTCAAGAAGGAATGAAAGAAGCAACGATCTTTTAATGACACGCTTGCGCTTTGGGTTTTGGATTTTATTGAATCTTGGTTACTCTATTCTTGCTGATCATTGTCATTATTCCCTAATTGGGACCAATTCTTTCGCGAATCGCTTGTGTAGATCCTGCCCTGCCCGTGAACGGACCCTTTCATCTCCTGTCAGCTACTCTACAGGACAGTAACTACAGTACCTAATATACAGATTGCAACCCTGTCGATTTCCCTTCAGTAAAGGACAAGTTGCGAAAATGGGCATACGCGATATTCTCAAGAAGAAAGACGATCTTTCAACGGGTCAACCCGCTGAGAGAGAGACCGTCGATCGTTTGGCAGCTCCTGAGTTCACAATCATTCGTTCCGACACCTCAACCCAGGAGCGCATTTACCCACCGTCTATGAAGTCCGTTGACAATCTGCATCTCGCAGTCCAAGAGCCCAAGGAAAGAGAAAAGTCGCGACGATCTCTCGATGTCTTCCGCTCCGGCCGTTCACGATCTAATTCTGAATCGAGTCAGACAAAGGAGAGCGGCGCCCGTCGTTTATCGCACCGTCTGCGCTTAAGCAGAGCGCCTCCATCCTCCGAGAACGTCCCCGAGAACCTACCAGATATCATCACATCGACCGATGGCCAGGATGAGTCTCAATGGGAGAAGCGCGCGACTATGCTAGCGGGTCAGAATAACCGCGCGAGAAGCAACAGCAGGCCGGGGACGCCCTCAGACAGCGGCCAAGGCGCGGTTTCGTCGCAGAAGATCGATGAGGATATTCAAGAGGCTATTCGTCTGCACGAGGCAGGAAATCTGGAGCTGTCGACGCGCATGTTTGGGCGGCTGGCTGATCCTCAGGGAGCCAACAACCCGTTGAGTCAAGTCCTGTATGGTCTTGCTTTAAGGTGAGAACAGTGGTCGAGAAAAAGAATTCCAATGTCTCGGGTAAAGCGCTTCGGTTGATTCACTGCAGGGTTTTGAGTTTGGGGCGTTTCGCAAAACTTCAAACCCTGCAGTGACGAACGCACAGCGACGACCCCCAGACATCGAACCATTATCACACATTGAATGAAGCAGATGCAAATGGTTGTTTCGAATACTAACCCAGGCTGATGTTGTACAGACACGGATGGGGTTGCGCACCAGATCCAGAGGGCGCTGTCAAGTTCCTCTCAGCTGCAGCCTCCAATTCGGCCTCAATTGAGCAAATGGCCCTCCAGGCCGGCATGAAGAAAGGCGGAGCTGCCAAGGGAGAGCTTGTCCTGGCCATCTTTGAGTTGGCAAACTGCTTCAGACATGGTTGGGGTATCAACAAAGACGCCTACGCCGCCAAACAGGTCGGTTTACTGCACTCTGATGGATCACGATAGTGGCATTGGAAGCTAACCACTCGCGATGTAGTATTATGAGACTGCAGCGAATTTAGGAGACACTGGTAAGTTGTGCAGCTATGACACGAGCAAACAAAGCCTAACGCCATGTGATAGATGCCATGAATGAGATTGCCTGGTGTTACGTTGAAGGCTTCGGGTGTAAGAAAGACAAGGTATGTTGCACCGTCAGCCATCTCTTCACCATATCCTGTCTAGTCAGTTCAAGTCGATGTCTGTACATGAGTCGCGCCGAAGCTTTCTGCTCCGAGGAAGACATTCTCGGTGAGCCTGGCTTACTTGATTCGTCCAAGTTACCTCGCTGCCCAATATCTTGCACACAAACTCAGGCATCGACACTTGCTTCAGCAGCTAGAGTCCACCTCTAGGAGCTTTCTTGAACCGACGGAAGCCCTAATCCACCACATACATACATACAAAGTCCGACTTATCACATGAGGCTGATATCCTGTACAGTTCGCTGCAGCCCGGTATTATCGACTGGCCGAGAAGGCCGGCAACAAGACACTAGGGAACTCTTGGTAAGTCCAAAAAGTCCACACGCCTTCAACGGCCTGTCTGCATCTCTTTTTTCTTCAAGACTGGTTTGTGGCGGTCTGCCAGGTCGATAGGCTCTCGTCGACTCCGCGATGCTCAGGGGACCACAGAACCTCGTGCGACGAGTGGCGGTCTATCCATTGGCGTTGAGATCTAAAGCTACCTTATGCAACGTACGATCTGTAAAATGGAGCAAAACACTGATTCATATATTGTGCATTAGGATCTGGAAGGAAAAGTACGACACTCCGGGCGAGGGCAGCCGCAAGTAGTGCAGCAGAGGCCTTGTGCTACTGCATCCAGGAGGTGCATCTCCGTGAGATGATGCCGTGTAAGTCAAATTATCGAGGAAGAGGAGGATTCATCATTGTGATGGGCTGATGGGAGGGGTCTTGTGGCTCGCCACCAGGCGACTAGACATTGTTTTATAGCGTATTGGATATACTGTATCTCGTTCTTGTAAACTATCGAATTACACTCGTATATAGTCTTAGATATGTGTTGCCAAGTCTAAACACGATTGGGCGGGACAACCTGCGGAAACTTGTGTGTGCTTGTGTCTCGTCAAGATGCTATTTATTGAGCAGATATCTAGAGTACAGGGCGCATTTTCCCTCTGTGACTGGGTGTACATGTTGCAGCGCCTTGTCGCATAGTGTGAAGTCTTGTGTTATATGTATCGGTTAATGCGAAACTTGGCATAGACTATCGATAACTTCAAACCTCTCACGATGATGCGTTGTTGTCTCTTGTCTCTTTCTCTCTTTCTCTCTTTCTCTCACACCAAACGCCCTCGTGACGGAGAATCTTACCTGAGCTGCCATTGATGCCCAACTTTACCGAGCAAGCAGCTTTGCCGTCTTATTGGATGTTATTATTGACTTGTGCGGCCTGTAAATGCGGCCGGGTCGGGTCGGGGCCCGCATGATGACGATGAACCGTGCGCATCACATCACAGATGATCAATATCGATTCGTCGCTATTTTATGTTGTACTGTTTGATTATCATTATCAGTCCGAGAATGAGGTCACCAACATGATCTGACAACGTTTCAGAGATATGGAGTCTCGGCCGTTGATGAACCTTAAAGAGAGTTATCATCAAGGCCCCAATTGGGCTCAATAACAGACATTAACAGAACCCGGTGCAAGGTTGGTAGCCGCCATCAAGGTTCAATGGTACAAAATTCACTTGAATGATTGGGCATACCATAGTTTGATATCACATCTCATCTGTGTATTTTTGAGGCCGCGAGATCATTTCTATGATCATCTGCACAAGAAGTGAGGAGGTTAGAGAAGATGACCATATCCTCAGCTTCAGCTCAACGCCCTGCAATGCGATGCGATGCACTGTATTCGAGACTCGATCGATGCAAGGCCAAGGATTCCCCACGGTTATTCAGCCATAGTGGCGCAGCAATGACATATAATCAGATCTACGGATAGAAAGTGTATACACCATCGGCATCAACATGAGGCCTACCACTAGATACTAACTAGATAGTTGACAAACATTGGGATTCTATCAAATCAATACTAGACTAGGACTGCTGTAATCGGGTCATCTTATCACTCTCAAATGCCATATCATATCAAACTCCCAGCCTTTTCCCTCTTCCATCCCTCTTCGCATCCCGTGCCGTCCCAGCGCCGCGCATTGGCAAGACATTGTCTTAGACAAGCCACCATCTCACTGTCCCTCACTCTGACACCCACCACTCACAGCTTCAGCCTATAACCGACCGGTCTGCCACATGTCTCACCTTGTTTTCTTCCAATCCTGGTTTTGAAAAATAGCACCCGCTCTGCTTCCTTCTTTGGCCTTGCATCCTATGTCAGCCTAGCAAGGACTCTACTCTGAGCATCCGACTCGAAATCTTGATCTGATCAGCCATCGCCCTCAAGGCGCAGTTACATGTTATGACATAGTAGCATTATGTTCACGAGGTAGCATCAACACCATCTTTATCAATGTCACAGCCACTGTCACTGTTGGGTTCAAGTATGATTATGCTATAAGAGAAAGCTTCTTAGTTCAATGTTAACTGCATAAACACTATCTCAATATCATCCATGTCATAAATATCGTACACAACTGACCAGACCACCTGGGAATGGAGGTTGCTTCAAAGAATCGAATAAATTTCAAATAAACAAATAAATGATCACCGACGAGCTCGTTTCTTCGTCATCATTGACCATTTCAGTCATTGTCGCCTTTCGACGTATGCCAATTTCCATCTTCGTGACAAAAGAAAAATCATCCTGTGCCTCCATATTCTCTTCCATGCACCGCGATAATATACAGACTCTGATGGACTGGGCCCTCATAGAGTCTGCTTGCTTTCTGCTGGCTTCTGTTTCGCCGCTGCTTCGACCCCCAAGTACCACATCCACCATCAACAACACACACCACCCATTCGCCATTATCCAAAGAAAAAAGAGGTATCCAATTTCGAGACAAGTCAAATTCACACAAAACAAATCAATGCACGCTCGCTTGCTAGATCCATAGGAAATCAAAAACGACTCCGAAATAGGAAAAGCCACAAGAAACGACAAATGGAAGACAAAAAACCATCCGTTTGGGTGCGTGAGCAACATGTCTGAAGTGCGCGAGAGCGACATCGAGTATATGGCAGCTCATCCCCGTAAAGAGGAAGGAAAATAGCCGACTTCAAGGAAAAAGTTGGACAAAAGAAATAAATAGTAGAAAGGAAAAGTGTGTAGTCTCAGTGGGGGCTGCGAGAGCCGTGAATTCGTCATCGTGACATTTTTAATCTTTGATTCGTGTCTTCGTTCATGTTCTCATTTCGTTGCATTGCTGCTCACTCATTCTGCGTTGTTGCACTCGGACACCATTTTCGCGAAGTTGCGCACGACATCGTTGGGGATCTGGTCCCAAAGGAGAGAGCGTGTGTAAACATCGGCTGCATCGTTTTGTTTGTTGGATCGCATCGCTGAAAGTGCTTCGGCCAGGTTTCGACGTCCTTGGCTGGGTGAAGACTTCTCAGGGGCGTTTTGGAGGAAATCTTGAGAGTTGACACCGTTGTATTGGGCGGCCGACAAAGAGAAGATCTGCTCGTTGGTCTGCTCCTGGCTTGGCTGAGTCAATGTGTCACCAAGCTCAGAAAGCATCGAAGGTGCAACGCCGTCCATCATCATGTCATTCATGGGGATGGGGTTGCCCCAGTTAGCAGCACCTGATGGCTGAGGAGGTGCCTGCAGAGTAGCCGACTGAGAGTTGACGCCAGCATCCTTGAGAACGCTGTCGAGAATGTTGGCCGAGGCGACCCTGACGTCCTCGGAAACGCGAGGGATGGCCGGGGTGGAGCGGCTCGAGAGAACGAAAGCGCCGACGAGGAAGAGCATGAACAGAAGACCACCCTGGGCGGGCTTGTCGCTCTCGGCAAAGGGGTTCTCGTTCTTCTTGACAGGGGCAATAGCCATCTCTTGCTTGACCTCAGGCTCGACGGGGTACTCGTTGAGGAAGTTGGATGCGTCCCAGGCGCCAGGCATACCCATACCGTCCATGTCGTCGAAACCGGATGAGAAACCGTTGTCGGCGGCCGACGGAGCGGCATTCTCGAGTCGCTGGACGTGTTCGGTCAGAACACCGACCTTCTTCCTGAGCTCGCCAGTCTCGATGGTATGAGTGCGGATCATCTCCTCCTTCTCGAGGTTGAGGTTCTCGATGTAGTTGGTGTATGTCTGCTTCTCAAGGAGCATCTGCTCAAGCTTGGCGCGGAGATCAGCCACCTCTTCCTCCATCTCGTTGATGACAGCGGTGTACTGCTTCTTCTCATCCTCCAAACGCTCAGTGTGTTGCTTCTTGCGTTGCCTTGAGTCAAGGCTGAAGGCACTTAGTATCAGATCATGTAAATCTCCAATGTTTATTTAGTGGGGCGGTACTTACGCTGCCTGTCGGTTGCGAAGCAGTCGCTTTTGTTGCTTAAGCTCCTTGATCTCTTGCTCATCAGTAGATTGTGAGATGAGATGGTCAATGTTGCTGAGGTTTCGCTCGGCCGGGATATCAAAGCGAGCATTCTTCTTACGAATGCCATCGCCTCGGCGCATCTCGTTGTGTGAGCGGATACCGGGGCTGCTAGGGCGCATCTTGTTCTTGTTGATGGGTTGCTGAGGGGTCATCCACTCTTTCTGGGGAGAAGTGGGGATGGACTGGTTTGCACCGGGGAGCGATGGGAACATGTTGCCAGGGTTTGTGAATGGTGTCGGACCGGTCATGGGTCGCTGTTGGAAGAGAGGAACACCGGCGTCATACTCAGTCATACCGTCAAAAGGATGCAGAGGAGTGCAAGCACCGGAGCTGGGTCCAAAGGCCCAGTTGGCGGTAGCGTAGGCATTGTGTTGAGTTTGGTCGAGGCCGCGCATGAAAGGGTTGTTGCTGTGCTGGTCCAGGAAAGGGTTGTTGGAAGGGACGGACTGCATGTCGACGGAGTGCCAGTCCTCTGTCTTTGGTGAGAACAGAGGATGTTGTCCAACGGCGAAGGAGTCTCTACGGCTGCCGGCCATGGGAGGCGATAGTTCTAAGCCGGAGTCGAGTGTGTTGTGATCAAGAATGCTATCGTCTAGCACACTGTTGTCTTCGTCTTCGAAGTACTTCTGTGCGTGTTGGGTATCCACGGTTAGAGAAGCTGGACGATAAAATGGTTGTTGCATTTGAAATGTTGAAGACATTGTGAAGAGTGAGGGAGTGTGCGGATATGTAAGATAGACGAGGAGGTGGGGAAGTTTTAAAAGAGACGGCGGGAGAAGGCAAGGCTGTAAAGAGAAAATAAAGCCAAGAAGGGAATGATAAGATATGCAATCTTGAAGATGGGAAACACCAAATTCAAATTGCAAAATCGAGATCAAGGTGAAGTTTGAGCACACAGAGGCACAAGAGGGAAGCGAAGAGAGGTTGGGGTTTGAGGGAGGGGCGCGGCAAATAATAAAGTACCCAGAGCGATAGAGAGCGCTACTAAGGTATCATCATATTTTTTTTCTGCTTCCCCTTCCTTGCGCGCGGGAGAGTCAAACAATTGTTTGGTGGGCAGCAGCGCAGCGCAGACTGCAGCAGCGGTGAAGGGCGAAACGGGGACGGGTGTGTATTTTTGGCAGCCTGCCAAGTTTTTCACGCACCCAGCAGTAGCAGCGCTTTCCTCACTTCCTCACTGGAGGGAAGGGAAGGAACTGGGCAGGACAGGACAGGGCAGGGGCGTGTAAGGTAGAGCCTAATGCTAAGGCTAAGGTGAGGTGAGGTCGGGTGCAGGTGGGCTTGAGGGTGAGAGTGAGAGAGAACCTGGAAGGAAGCCAGAAAACCCGACCTTCCGTGCTAGGGGTGGGGTCAAGTGCCATGCCATGCCATGCCAGGCCAGCAGTAGGCCCATTGGAAGGTGCAGTACAGAGTGTGACTCAAAGCTCGGTGCAAGATCGGGGGACAAGGTCGTACCTCCTCAGTATTGGGCAATTCGCGTTGTGACCAAAGAATGGAAGGATGAAGATGAATGATGATGGGAGAAACCGCCTGCTCTCTATTTTGATACACAAGGCGCAGCAAAGGTAAAGATGTGGGCTTTTTCCCCCTTTGGCCCTGAGTTTATTTTGCACACGCTTATTTCGTATTGGAGATTCCAAAAAAAGAATTGACTAAATCCTTTGAATCCAATATGAAGGCGGTAAAAAACCACTCGATAATGGGTATGCGATGATATGACGGGAGGCCGGAAACTTGAGCGGCCAGAGCGGGAAGGGACGGGAATGGCGACAAGCTCATAGGCAGGTACACGACTAGAATACCGCCAAAGCTCGATGGAAATCGACAACAAAAAACAAGAGAAGCGCGCGACTGGAAGCTGGAGCTCTATCTGCAAATGGATGCAGTATAGCGCTGTGCAGCAGACCCAGACCAGACGGCGCGGCGCGGCGCAAAAGGGACGATGAATGACCAAAAAGAGGGCACACTTACAACAGTGGGAGACTTTTGCTGCGGGATGGTGTGGGCTAACCTTTTGGTCTGGTCTAGTAAGGCCGACGATGATGTTGGAGATGGATGATATATATGGTAGATGGGTGCAATTGAAGAAGTGCTCTTGATTCAAGTATGCGACTTGGATGAAGAGGCAGAGATGATCGATATATGATTCTCAATGGAAGTTATCAAGTTAAAAAACAGACTACCACTTTGGGATCAGAGCGAGGACCATCTTCGATTATATGTACTCTTCCGGGGCAAACAATCGGCAATTGCACGCCTGTGGAGCAGGCATCTTGGACAACAACGGCGATAGAAGCACGACCATGACAAGGCATGTACATAGTAAGGCAAGGCAAGGCAAGGCAAGTCTTGGTCTCGTCGACTCGCAGCTCGCAGGGTCGAGCAGGGTATCTCTTAGACGGAGGATCATGAATGGACATGACCCACTAGTGGCCCGGCCCATGGATGGGGCCGTCTCCCTCGATATGGATATTGGAGGGCATCTCCGGATCAATAAGCATCTCAAATTCTAAGCTACATAGATCTAATAGGCGCTCTATAAATCAGGGGCGTAACTGGATCACGGTACGATACAGTGGCTAGATTCTCTCTATCAGACTATACGTGAGAAGAGAGAATGAGGGAGAAATTGTATCAACCGATAAGATAATCAGCCACTCAGTGAGCATCAGAACGAGCATGCGTCCCCATCGATTTAGCCGTTTTACGCAACATCCAATGCCAATATGGGAATAAAACCTCAGCGTCGTAGAAGATCTCTATGGGTGTGGAGGCGTAAGTCAGGCCTGGGGGGCCTCAATCGACCAGGCAAACTTGGGGTCCAACCAGGCTGAGAATTTACTGAGTCTGGCACTAACATAGCTACATACACTACAGTACTGCACATACTTAGACTGCAGAATAGCAGAGGATGAGACGAGAGCGGAATAGATTGATGAATCCTCTTCTCTGTCCATCGCTCGTCTTCCAGGTCAAAGTCCACTTCCAGCTTCCAACACGGCCCGTCATTGGTAGTCAGTCATAATGGCGGTGATGAGTGTCGCAGTGCCCAGCCAAATCTGTAACAACGACTCCATATCAATTATCGTTGTGGTGGAAACCAGAGATACGTAACAGTCGTCGAATGGAGGACAGCATCTCCGCAGAGAAGAGGGAGACTGTGACGGCTACACCACCATGGAAGTCAGATCCCCAGATGCAAACCGGCCTGCCGTTCCCTCCACGGAACGAGGTTAGTCTTACACACCAGGCAGGGGGATATTCCTCATGTGTCATCCGAGCTCGGCCATAGAGAAGGATTGACATGACTACCATTCGTCCCTTCTCGTCAGCCATGGAGCCCGTGTGAACAATGGCAGCGGCGTATGCTACTGTTAGCTTCAGATACGGGCCGTCGTCACTTGACCGCTGCTCCCTAGTTATCCTGTAACATTCCGTATCGTAAAATAAGCTCGGAGTCCTAGGTATTTCCCCTTAGGCCGCCATCGGTTCATGCAATGGGCGGTGCCCTCGAGTGATGAGGCCATCATCGAGCGAGGCTTTGCTATGGCTATCGACTAAGTCTGTGATATTCTTATCCCTTCACATCGCCTAGACTGGCCACCATCCCAGTAACCCCACGCTTCTGGGAGCCAGTGACAATCGCTAAGTGGTGTCATGGCTGTGCGCTGATGCGGGCTTGCAAGGGTTTGACAAGCATGGGGGGGAAGCTGTCAGGGTTGTTTACTACCGGCGCGACAAGCAGAAACAACCAAAGAACGAAAAGAACATGGCTTACAACATGGTATCAAGAGCCGCTGAAGGAAAAAGCAAAATGCCATTACGTCTGGGGGATCTTTCTCAGCACAAACACGGCACAACCCCTGGTAGCAAAAGCGCGATTGGGACTGGATCTAAGTTAGCGACGGGAAGCCATGTGCTAAATTTGATACTCCCCAGGTTGGGTTAAGCGTCTGCCTCAGATATCGACACTTGTGGTACGTACGTAGCAGCGTAGCTCGAGACGGTCAGAGACTCTTACTCAGACTCGCGATACCATCACATCTCATTAAACAGCTTCAACAGCTAAACTTGTCTTGACAATTTGGAACAGGACTAGCCTCGGGCGCTGCTGGGCCGGCCCGGACGCCTTCTGTTGGTTGCAAAAAAAGCTCAGCAACCTAAGACTGGAATTCCAAGACGTTGGGCACCAAAACACGGACGCTAGTCCTCAGATGCTTGGGCTTTAATTCTGCATCGGCCGAGGGCCACTAACAATAATGGCAGGAATCCTATTGCTCAGCTTGGTTACTTGTGGGGTAGGAACGTGTTAACGTGCCTTCCTCAGTACCGGTGGCTGATGGAAGTGGAAGGACCTCGACGGGCTAGATCCGATGCCCTTGCCAAATTCAACGAATTATTTTCCTGTATGCCCGGTTCTCCTTCAGTTTACAAGGCAACGGGACAAAAGACAACACAACACGAAACATCAAGACTTAGACCGCGTTCAACACCGCGTTTTCTACAGCACCTGCTCCATTTTCAGGAGCTACACTACGCCTTCTTTTGTTCTAGCGAAGCAACCGAGACCCTTCGGCCCCAGCTGCGCCAGAGTACACGCCATGGCATTATGGATTCGCCTCACAAATGAGCATCTCGTCTGGCTTCATCCCCGCGCCAGTTGTCCCGTCCACATGTCGAAAATCGCCCGTCATCAGGGAAGCCAGTCCTGGTCCCATTGATCCCTAGCTGGATTCGACAAGCGAATGTATGCAATGCTCGGTGATAGATCTGAGATTTCTCGGACATCAGCTTAACCGAGCTGAGCGCAGCAATTGTCTTGCGCCAAAGCTCTGACTAGAGCAAACTGTTCATCGAGGATCACGGTATAGCATCGAATACCTGGATGCCGTAGGCAAAATATCTGGCTCTGCTACCAAGCTGCTGGACCCTGATCACCATTGGATTTGGCAAGTGCCGTTTGTTGATCATTGCAGACAACACCACAAATCCCATTATCTCGCTGCAAGAATGCCGTGTATCACGTCTCGAGCATATACAATGGTCCGATTCACCTGCGGCATCGCCAATAACTCATCAGCCAAGAGATAGTTCTCTTGATCATGCACTGATGCTCCATCACGGTGGGTGGCTGGAAAGACGATTGCGATCATTAACTTGCAGCTTCCACTCGCTCCCACATGTGTCCGTATGCACGCCCTCTACAGCCAAAGTCAGCCACTAGGCTCTCGAGCCTGAATCACGGATCCACTGTGCTTCATGGTCGCATAATAGGCCGCTCATGGTGTTTCTCTTTTGAGCACTTTGTTTTGTCGGTGTGTTACGCGTGCGCGTCCTTTACCTAGTCGACCAAAAAAAAGTCAGACACCTTGCTATCACGTTCCCTGCTGACTTGATCTTTGGCAGATCCTAGATGCTCTAGCGTCATCGCTTTGGCTGGTGAATGGCCCAAACATCGTGAGCTCGGTCTGCATTCGGATCCATGCCCCCGAACTCATGGACCCTTCACGCGTGAAAGACAATACCACGCGTGCGACCATGAAGTAAATTTATGTTGACGCATCTCTCTGACAGAACGTATCTCATGACGTAGACATGGCATGGTGAGCCTTATCCAACTTTGTCCAAATCTTTCTAACAACGTCTCAGAGCTGAGCTTCGTATAGGACCCAGTATCATCGAGCATGCTTCCTTCGGCATCGTCCATCGTCCCATATCAGCTGTGCAAATGATTTTGTCACAGTCGAGAACTTTCGGGTTATGTTCCGGGAGGGTCAAGTTGGGTCAACGGCCAGCGCCATATAAAACTGCCTAACCTCTCACCATAACCAATCATTTAAACAAGGCGAGAAGTCTTTGCTGCTTCATTCGCCCAAAGGGCTGACCTTGCTTGGCCTGCATCGTCCCTAAACTGCCTGTCCAAGCAACCAAGCTTGCACCCTGTGCATACACTTTGACCGATTTTGGTAATCCATATCTCAAGTGGGCTATGCAACACCCGCAACGACTCGGAACGTCTGAAACCTCGTCTGTGGCTCTTGGGACGTATATCTCGGCCATCACAAGAGCCTCATCAATCTAGTAAACCGACAGGATCAACGAGACAGGGTCCGCTGCGACTCTGAATGACCTTCTCGTCATCGCGCTACGGGTGTTACCCACGGATTCCGGTATGAATCCGAAATGAAAGTCACTTAGAGCCGTTGCTCAAGTGCTTCAACATGTCTATTGGCGAGTATCAGATACCGCTATTATGACTCGAAGGAAACTGCGATGTTCGGACAAACCTTACTGCCCCCCATGCCAACACAGAACCTCGTCAGAATCAGTCGTCGGTTTCAGAAGCACATGTCTTTCTGCTCCTTGTTCCAGCACTGCGACATTAAATCAAGACTTCGTAATTCCCGTGTTATACGCCACCAACTCAACACAACCGAGAGACACCGGTATGCCAATCTAAATGGGATTTTCGTACATGACGCAGCCTTCCAGGGTCTTGACTCTATCAACACAGTCCTATACCCAAGATATTGCTGTTTTTCGGCCCTTGATCCTGGTTACTCGCGAGAATCTCTTCGCCTCGAGTTCACCGAGTGCCAGGGCCATGTTGCGCTGAGACCATCGCTAATAGTCCAACCCATTTATTAAACTACCTAAAAGCAAATAATCGATTTAATTCTCCCGCATGGCAGGCATCCAGCTCGATGGCTAGCGATTTGGTTTTTCTTACACCCCAAGAGGCGAAGCGTGCCTCCCAAACATGCGGTCTAGGCATCCCTGTCCAAAGTTGGGTCCGCGCTCACACATCTCGAAAGTGAAGAGATTTTCTAGTATGGAGATCCACTGAATGGAGATTACCGGTTCCAAGCAGTAACGTTCTGAGCATCCTGTAAGAGTCAGCCTTGACAAATGTTATGCGATCTCACAAGGCTGTGGCTGGACGTTGCTGGAGAAGGAAGTCGGATTAATGATGATACATCGTGCGGGTCTAGATCTACCTATAATCCCCACCACTTATTTTCAACTTCAAAGATCCCGAGAAAGATCTGAATCATAGAGCCTCCGCATTACGATCCATTCGCAAGGGGTCGAGCAATGCTCAAAACGAAGTTTCGCCGATACTACGAATTCTTGGTGACCTGGGAACGTCAGCGTAGGACAGGCATGTTGTAGCCGAAGATCTGTTATGACGCTCACAACATGCTGGAACAAGGAAACATCTCGTTTCCATCTGGAGGACGAAAAACCGATATGTCTGTATGAGGACTAGTCTGGTCTTGCAAGTGCAATTGAGGTCCTAATCAAGTATATTTTGCGAGGTGGGAATACGGATACTGAAATCTTTGAAGTCAAAGTACTATTCTTGAAGCCAGCTGATGCTGAGATACTTCTGATACTTTGCTTTTCCGGCATAGCAACATGGATTCCCCAGTGTGCAGACCAAGTCGGTAAAATGGCTTGCCATGGTATCATCCGAAGATCATTTTGGATCAAGCGATGCCTGCAGGGCGGCAGTTCCTCATATTACTATTTTTAATATGATTTACTGAAAACTGCTAGCATCACGACCGAGGATATTCAGATGTCATACCATTGTTGTCATGAACATCGGTTCACCCCCATCAGCACTTGGGATCATGGCTTGCTAATTGAAATGGCTTGATCTTGATTTCGACTCGATTCATGACGACAATTGCTATCCCTAACGTGCGAAGAATTCAGCGGTGAAGCAAGGTTGTAAGGGTATATGTCGCCACTTATAGATGGACAAAACTTGTCAGCCACTTAACACTATACCGAAAAGTGCTTCTGAAACGAGTGGCTTTGAGCTGACAGCTGGGCGTACGTTGTTTGAGAAGAAGAAGCTGGGGTTAACCTGGCACTGACGGGTTGCACCGGATGAAAGTTCCGAGATCCAATATTGTTTATCGCTCATCAACAGCAGCCTTCCTTGTGTCAAAGGAATATCGATCTGAAAGGTGCAGTTGAGAGGGATTAATCGAGTATATCGGAAGTCACGGGCGAGCGGCACTTTCACTCTTGCTACAGACTCGTGTATTGTCACTTGGTCCCCACGATGGGTGGCGATTCTCACCGTGCAGTCGTATTCTTTGAGCAACTGATACGTCTCGCCCCGTCAAGTATGATATCGACATGGACAATGCTTGCAACGACGCGGCTCAATTGTGGCTATTCGAGCTTTTCGGTGTACATTTTCAGCGCACCTAACACAACGTCAGTCACCATCACGAAACCTGTCGTGAGATGGATAATTGGATCTTGAAGACGAGTAGACTGGTTGCTTGTGTCGTCGGTCATCTCATTAGTAAGCGTAGATATCGATATGGTCGTGGTGATGTGCTGCGAGCTGTTACACTGATAACCGGTGCTTTCAACGTACACTAGTGATACCACTCGTTATCGCGGATCTCATGACCAGCGTGGATAATCTTGGGATGGTCAACACCATGGACTCGGTTTTAATCACGGCCATACCAGCTATGATACCACAACTCCGTTTGACGATGACTTCTGATCGTGCACCATGGAAGAATGAAGATCGTCCCTCTTCAGCAAACCAGTGCACCGCTCAGGACGCTTGTGTTCTTTTGATAGCGGACTCTCTGTGGTATAGTGCCGGACTTTCGTGCTCTGGTTTGCCTTGTGCTTCCAAATATGTCCCTTTTCGTATTCCTCAGGACGTAGTCGCCTGGTTACACAGGGAGCATCTTGTCCTTTGATTGCAAATATGCTTCGGTAGATGCCCCCAACACAAGGAGAACCATACTACAGAATATCTCATGGGTTACGTGCTGGAACTCGTACATAATTCTCTCAGTGTATCTTCATCCGCACAACACCAGTGACTTGGTCACGAAAGTATATAGATATAATGAGACGAGATAAACAGAAGCCACATGTGCCCTTCTCTATACATCTGATTTCGGAACCCGAACTGCCGGTAGCAGATTCATAAAAAGCCTTCAGAGAGCCCCCGGTCATTCGTATCTAAGTCTGAAGAATGAGACTTGAGACTCAGTCGACACGTTCTCAATATGAAGTTGACTAACTTCCCCGTACTCATTCCTGCATTTACTGCGCAAGTATGTTTGCATACTCATTTTTGCATACCCTATTCCTCGCCTCAATTTTGTGAAACTTGCTTCGAGGCTGGTTCGAGAGTAGATTTAAACACCACCCCTGGTTCAATTACAGTCATGTGAACTGAATTAGCAAGTATCTAATATTCTCATTACAGATCGCTATTAGGGATCCTCTTGTTATAAGTTCCAATCTTGTGAATGTTCCCTTCGTCCCTGATGCGGGCACACTCATCTCGGAACCCGGCTATGAACCTTCTATCGATGCCAAGTTTATTCATGGTAGCGACTTCCTACGGCGTGACCCGGACGGGCAATGGGTAAAGCTTGAAGTTACGAGCGTTGCGCATGATACGTCAGGCTCCACGATGAGATTCAGTTATAATGGTGTCGTGTATATGGAGGGTGATGAAGGAAAGGTAATCCGAGGGGATGCGAATGCTACGACAACTGGGTTTGGAAATGCCTGTGAGTATATCTTTCGCTATAGATAGGAAGCTCATCGCCTCGACTTTCACGTCATGTTTTTGGATTTGACTAGATAACCCATACTGACAAAACCAGTTGTGCAGATTAGGTTCGAAACTGATGCGCCTGGCCTGAAGGTCTTGCAAGATAAACTTTATGTAGGTTCGGGGAGGTTCGCGATCGAGGAAGAAAAGCCTGTCATTGTGGAATACAAAATCAGCGAGGTGAGTGCGAATTGCAACAAGGGATCCAGGACTGGCTGATCATCGACTGGGTGGAATACGGATTGGCTGGAGTGTCAGTCGTGTAATATACGGACAGAGATTTCGTGACACGGTCACTTGCGGGGGATTGTGCTACAAGAGGTTTTTACGTGATAGTGTTCCAATTTTCGAAATATGGTCTTATTGTTTAGGGAACTAGAAACAAGCCTCACTTTGATACAAAAACTGCAAGGCCACCAGTTCCGTGTGTGCCCCGACCTTTGGTCGCCTTCTTTACAGTCAACTCTCTCCACGAAGCACTTTAGTCGAGGCCCCGAAAACTCCTGTCCGCAGCTCTTTGTCGCTGCAGAGATATGCTTTGTCATGTCTCCACCACCTTTCCCATCTGTTTGATCTATTCTCCCAGAGTTCAGATCCAATACATGCCTCATATGTTGTATACAGTTGAATCTATCCATTCGATGGATACACCATCTCGTCTTCTCCGCCGTTTGTGCTACGCTACACGTTCCAGCCACGCCGTTATTCGTCCACGCTTATTGGGGAGCAGTGGAGAGCTGCAGGAGGCGCTCTCCGGCTCGGATATTGGCATACTCATATGCCTTGGACTCGGGAGGGAAGGTTCCATTGGCGGCCCAGAGATCGATCAGGGGCTGCATGGGCTCCAGCTCAGCGGGCTTGAGCATATCCAGGGCGGTAGCAGTCAGCACAAAATGGGAGAAGCAACTGTTGAGCTGCTTCTCAAGGTTGAGGTGGTAGAAGGGCTCAGTGAAGTGAGCCCAGTAAAGATGAGCGTAGACTCGGAACATTTGTCGGAAGATCATCTGGCAGATGTCGACGAACTTGTCGGGGAAACCTGATCGCTTGCCGATATACTCGGGTTCGGTGGGGCTCGATAGCTGTGACAAAGGTGTGGTGGTGATAGAAGGGTTGTGGGAGTACGAGACACCGGAGGGGTCGGTTGGGAAGATGTTGGTGTCGTCAATCTTTCCAGAGATCCATCGCTGCATAAGAGTCATGTACTCATAGGCGGGGAGCTCAACAGGCTCCCTGTTTCGGTTGAGCCAGGTGAAGGAGTGGTTGCTGCCGAGAGTAAGTATATGGGTGATTCATAAAGAGACACAACGACTCACGCTCCGGCTGACATGCGTGGGCAGCTAGTTGCGTTGCAGATAGATGAGCCATCATCTTCCTTCTCATGCAGAACGCGAACAAAGTTCCAGAGGTTACGGTAATGCTCAACAACCTGGTGAGCGATCCATTCGCCTTGCTCAACGGTCTTGGGTCGTGCGCTCAATGTCATAAAGTTACCCTTGACGATGTGCTTAGCGTACTGAGCGTTGAGCCACAGAGGAAGAGGCCGAGGAAGATGATAGGATGAGATGAGGTCGTCGCCGCTCATGACGCCGCTAGATTCGTCCATGCCAATAGTCTGCGCAAGCGAAGGGGAGTTTGGCAGAGGAGGGACTTTAGGAGCCAGGCTAGCTGGGGACTGGTTGCTGTTCCCTTGGAGTGACAGCTCTGGGGGAGGAGGCTGACTGGCGGTAGAACCAGTTGGGCTCTTCTGGGGACCACTACCAGACTTGCCGGAGCCACCTCGGAAACGAGCGTTACTGATGATTGTTAGTGATTGGAAATTAATCAAGATGAGAAGCAAAATAAAGATCAAAATGAGGTAAGTATGAAGATGAAGATGTTGAAAGAACAGGAAAGAGGTCAAAAGAAGTCGAAGAGAGTTAATGTGACAGCACACTATGCTTAGATAGGCGAAATTGGTTGAAACATTACCAGGTCCCGCTCATGATGGCTGCATAAAAGCGGCATGCGTGGCGCCCTGACAAGGGAGATGGGCGGATAGCAGAAAGGGTAAGGGGATAATGATATATAGATGAGAAGCTGCTCATGATATTGAGTCCTCTCTGCTAAAGATTTGGCATCATGAGAAGTGTTGCTAGGGAACTACTACCCCCTGCAAACAGTCCTCAACGATACTTGCAGGGCTTAGAGTGAATCTCCCAACTCATGATGACCCTGGGAAGACATGTCTTGGATGTTGTACCAGGGGACCACATGGTGAGATGGTCCTTTGATATCCCTCGGTAGTTGGCCTGCAACAGAGTGCGCAAGGCATTGGGTTGGGTTCTGAGTGTACCCTTGCACTCGTACAGAGTAGAGTAGAAAGCATCGTGGCTGGTGAAGAGCTCTGTCTGTACCTCTTCAGGGTGTCCATCGAAGATCGACCAGAGGGGAGACTGACTGTAACAGCGGCAGGAGGCAAGCCACACAAAGCTATTGATGCCATACGAAGAGCCAAGACAGGACAAAATGCAGACGAAATGAAGCGAGATGATGAGATACAAGAGATATAAAAGGTACTCACATGCCAGAGAAAAGGTTCGACATGGTTGACAGAAAGGCGGGGTGAAATCGTGAGCGAGAGCGAGAGGCGAAAGAGAAGCAGGCTTCCCAAGCTTGAGGTTTAACGAGCGAGACGTTGATTAGGTAGACGTCGCTATCCTCCTGATAAGGGGCCGAGTGCTGAGTTGAGCTTCGCCGTTAATGTGCCGAGCTTTGTTGTTAGGATGAAGTCCAATATCAAATCCAAATCCCACTCCAATATTACAGTAGCAACGGGACAGGATAGGCGTGATTGAGAAAGGGGGTTTTTGAGGTGTCGGTGTCGGGGCTTGATGAATGGTAGTTCAATCTCTAGCGGCTAAGTACCCCGTAACTTCCACGCTGTAGCAGATGGAGCGCCACACGCTAGCGCATCTCGCTCCCCGCTGGGCACAACCAGCATGGAACCTCCACTCCTTGCTCTCTTTGATGCCCTGCGACTGGCTCTACATGTCACCTGAAGCGCGCCATTCCTGTTTCAGAGCTGTAAAAGGGATTGTTCTGTCGCATCTCCGCCACTTTTTGACATTCTCCTGAGGCTGCACCTCTCTGTAACCTTCTCCACCGACCTGCAACAGCTGGAGAACAGACGAGTTGAAGTGGCTGTTATCTCCTCTAAGTTAGACTAGGTTAGCACTCAAAAGTGGCTGCAAGTGTGGCTGGTGCTACTCCAACCTCAGGCCGGCCTAGAAGAAGCTAAACGGGTCAAAGACTCGAGTCGCGACTGAGCTGAACTGCAAGCATATTCCTTTGTGCGCGCAAACACCAACCACTTTTTCCATTCCTCTTTTCAATTGCTTTACCCACGCTCCCTTTACACGAACAATCACATAAAGTACATCATGTCCGACTCAGACGGAATAATTGAGCCTATTGATGATGGAGGCGATGACCTTTTTGGCGACGAGGGCGACGATGATATTGTACCTACCAAGGAGGAGTCAGTCAATGAGGATGATGAGCTCGCCTCGGACCCAGAAGGCGACACCTACGCGCGGTACCGTAATGACGATGAAGACCAAGCACAACTAGAGACTAAGGAGCGTGCTGTCCAAACTGTCACGACCTACCGGCATCGAACTCCCAAACCTAAAGACGGCGCGGTATGTGCTATCTTGCTTCGCGCAACATTTGAGGCGCTTACTGATCTTGATCCTCCAGCTGCGAGTTCTTCGCGTTCCCAAGTTCATGAAAATCATGCCTGAAGAGTACAACCCCGATACATTCCAACCAACCGAATTCGATATCGCCAATGCCAAATCTGAACATCCCAAACACGTCGCTCGAGTTCGAAGAGATCATGGCACCGGCGAGCTGAAAAGCAACACAAACGTCTTCCACTGGAGCGATGGATCGGTGACAATCTCTGTTGGAGGGGAGCACTACGAAGTTAACAGAAAGGCACTTGCTCCACCACCGGATAAGCCATACAACGAGGTTCAAGATGGACACTATTATGCCGCCGCCGCCGAGTTGCACAGTAATATCCTGATGACGGTCGGACATATCACAGAGCAATACAACGTTCGACCCAACAAGGCCGTTGGAGACGATGCGCTGTCCCGTCTCGCCGAGAGAATGGCAAGCGCCAGCAAGCCTGCGAACTCAACAGACATGATCATCAGGACTACCCGCGATCCTGAACTCCAGAAGAAGCAGGCTGAGCTGGCTGAAAAGGAGAGAATGAAGGCCCAGCGAAGACGCGAAAATGCCGAGGCTAAGATGGTGAGCGGCGTGGGCAGATCTTCTGGGCGTGGAGGAGGACTCTCGATTGGTGATCTTGAAGGAGGATCTCGAGGCGCAGGAGGATCTCGCAAACGTGGCGCACCTGGTGCAGGCAAGCCTAGGAGGCGACGAGATGAGGAGTCCGATGAGGATCTTGAGGAGGCAGTCGGTCGCCACGAAGGCTACTCACTCGATGATGGCTTCATTGTTGGTAGCGACGATGAGGAAATGGATAGCCAAGCTGCTGATGACGATGAGGAAGAGCTCCTCGACGATGACGAGGACGAGAAGCCTCGGTCCAAGCGACAGAGGACGAAGGAGCGTAGCGAAGACGAAGGTAGCGACGTCGAACAGATGGCAGGACGATCTCGCCGGAGAAATGTCATTGACGACGACGACGATTAGATTGGAAGTTCTTACGGGAGTTGGGAAAAGGCATCAAGATATTGGTTGCACAACAAGTAAAACGAAACTATTGCTGTATAATATGGTGTTTTTAAAATAGTCTGACTTGGGCAGACTACCACCGACCGGTACAATGGTAGTCTAGCATAGTCCAGGCACAATGGCTCTTCATTAACTTACTTAGACTTTGGGGATCGGCAGAGAGCGAAGCTATTTACATGAATCTTACCTTTTTGCGTGCCTGGTCCCGTATATCATTTGCAACTGGAAGATCAACAACAGTGAACTGCAACTTCGATTCTGTTAATTATCAGCTTATATCTCCTAATCGCCTCCCTTACATATGGCATGTGAGTGTGGCTCAATAGCTAGGATTCCATGTCTAAGACTCTTGGTGATCTCATTGGCAATCACATGCCGATTTAGCGCACCGTAGGTGAACCAGGTACTTTGTTGAACAGGCTGCGGGGAGCTCCACGAAACCCAACAACACCAACCTACCTTACATATTCATCCTGTAAAACAATTCCTTATCTTTTTTATTATAGAGCTCAACTCCCTATAAAACTCCTCGCGCCGGCCCTGAGAGCCGTATATATAGCCCATGTCGATCGACTAGTACAAGGTACATTGGCCGCGCGTGATCTCGTCGCGCTCACAACCACAGACTTGACCCAATCTCCTGTAAATGGTGCTTGTGCTTGTGATCGGCCCTCGGTAACGCGATAATGGGGGTGGTAGTCACCGTCTGGGGTGTCGTCGTGGATGTGGCCAGCTTCTGGCAGAGGGTAAGTCATGTCATGTTCATGTCTCCTTTCCAAGGATACACCTACGCGTGAGGTTATCGTGTCCAACTAACCATGTCCTTACAGAAGCTACGGACCTGGTACACGCGCAAAAGCCCTGTTGAGCTATGGCTGGATCTGTTGAGAACAGCTGAAGTTTTTGAGGACTGGGAAGAAGCTGCGCTGCATCTGGATAATCTGCTTGGTCTTGACTTATGGTACGTATAGCCTTCGTCCCCATGCGACTCTCACTAACACGGCTATAGGAGGAATAACCCAGCTTCTAAATACTATGACTGGAGACTCATTGCAGAACGTCTTGACTCCCTTGCGACTGCACGGGAAGATGCCAACTTTCAGCAACTCGTCAATTTATTGAGATCCGGTCTTGTTCGGAACCTGGGCAACATCACCTCACCCAAGCTCTACAACCGATCCTTTGCCGGCACCAAGTATCTTATAGAAGAATACATCACCCAGATCGCTGAAGCAGTGGAGGATATACGTGCTCTTCCTACAACGCCATCCGCCATGCATGGCGCTGGGCCATCGTTGACAACGCAGATGAAGCTAGACTGTATACATGATACACGGCAAGCTTTCGGGAGAAGCACCCTCGTCCTACAAGGCGGTGCCATATTTGGCATGTGTCATCTTGGCGTTGTGAAAGCTCTCTTCTTACGCGGTCTACTTCCTCGCATCATCACCGGCACAGCTACGGGCGCCTTGATTGCGGCTTTGGTTGCGATTCACACCGAAGAAGAGCTCCCAGCGGTCTTGAGTGGCGATGGCATCGACCTCTCGGCCTTTGCACCCAAAGTCGGGACTGAGAATGGTGAGATGTCAACATTTCGAGCTTTCCAGTCACGGTGGGCCACTTTACTGCGGAGGATTAAACGTTTCTCCAAAGAAGGTTACTTCCTTGATGTGACTGTCTTGGAAGAGTGCGTGAGAGCCAATGTTGGTGATCTTACGTTCGAGGAAGCCTACAACCGTAGCAAAAGGGTACTGAACATCACAGTTGCGACAGAGGGGCAGGGAGGTGTACCGACGCTGCTCAACTATCTCACTGCGCCTAATGTGGTATGTTATTGATGTCTGTGTCGGTGATGAGACCTGCTAATTTGTGGTAGTTGATCTGGACAGCTGCTGTGGCGTCGAATGCTTCATCACCTTCACTTTACGGCCACCGCAAGACGACGATGCTCTGTAAAGATGCTCATGGCAACATTGTACCTTGGGCGCCGGCCAACACCATCGACTTTCGACACTGGACACATACCTCATACTCTGATCGGGACTCACCTCTAAGACGCATTGCCGAACTCTTCAACGTTAACCATTTCATCGTCAGCCAAGCTCGACCATACTTAATACCTTTTATCCAGTCTGACATGCATGGGCCATCCCTGGTCGAGTCACGGAGCAAAACTACACAAGTCTCTGCTTTCTTGGTACGCATGGTCGGGCTGGAGATACGACACCGCCTCAGCCAACTGGACACGCTCAACCTCCTTCCAACGGGTATCCGCCGCTTTTTAGTAGATGAGCAAGTCCCGGCGGCTTCGATGGTCCTTGTGCCGGAAGTGACAGCCGGAGACTTTGTACGACTGCTGGAAACGCCGACTAGAGAAACCCTCAACTACTGGGTTCTCAGGGGCGAACGAAGCGTGTGGCCTGCCGTAGCTGCCCTACGAATTAGATGTGCCGTGGAGAACGAGCTCGACAGGTCTTACCAAGTGGTGAGAAAGTTCAAGGCCCCCGGTCTGAGACGAAAGGGGAGCATGGCAGCTAGTATGGAGGCTGAGAGGAGAGAGCGTAATGGTCAGTTTGGTACGGATGTCAGTCCAAGTTGAATATTGTTTACCGAAAGGCGCAGAGGCATGGAAGCATCGATAAAGATCAGCACTTTTTTTCCATCAGTTTTGTTCTCATTACTTTGCTTTTTCAAGTACACAGGTTGCTAGAGAGTATACAGCAAGCACGTTTTAGTCATAGGAGGAGTTTTAATTGATTCCATCTTGTAGGCGCACTTTCAGGTCACTGTTTCCTTTCCCTCATCACCATAGTGATCACCATTTGGAGGAAGCCAAATATCTCTAATTCGTTTATTGGCTCAGGCATAGAGGAAGAAGCTGCCATGCATACAGCTAGGTACCTTACTCTGTCAAGATAAGGGACCTATATAAAACTGTGCAGTTGTGTCTATCACAAACGAAGCTTAAGCTGTCTCAACAATCTTAACCCGTTAGTTGCAGTAACGCAATACATCAAGTTACACTGTTCGACTTTTTGCTCGATATCACTTCAACAGGACTCTTGTATCAACTTACCCCAATGGAATTGGGCCGCAAACGAACTGGATAACTGCAGAGTGGCAACCACCGTAAACGACCTTGTCTACTGGGACTCATTCAACCCTCCAGTATATCATCATCTGGTTACATGGCCACGAAAGCGTGCAAGACGTCCTAGACATCATCCCGACTCTTGCTTCTCAAGGACCAGGGAAACTTAGAGATCGCAAAGACATCTCTCACCTCATCCCTAACTTTCAGTCTGGCAAATGGTGAAGTTTTCCTCGCAGACGCCCCAAGGGAAAGGAGGAGTGGGATGAGGTCCTGTATGTTGTAGAGCAACTCGGTGGTCTTATCGACAACGCGGCGAAGATCGATGGGGGAGGAAACATTATCCTGTGGGTTTTGTCAGGGCTCTGCCATCGATATGATGTACCCGCTAGTAACTGATCAGCCTTTGTGTGCCTTCTACTCTCACAGAGGGTATATGCTCTTTGAGGACGACGTGCTGTCGGGCGATGGACCTGGAGATCAGTCAAAACCCAAGCTTGAACAACTCACAACCTGGATCGTGTTCGAAGCTTGGATGCGTATCAACGTCTAATAGATTTGGGGTTGAACGTGGTATATCCTAAAGACAGATGTACCAAGAATGATGCAATAGATTGCTTTATCTTTATGATAGAATACACCAAGATTGGGCTTTGGGAGGAGGCAAGTTCGTCGCAACCGGATCCTTCTCCTGTTGACGTCGGTACTCAGTTGTCTCACGCTGAAAACAAAAACGTCATCACAGAAAGCCCCAAAGGCGATGCGCAGCTCTCGACAGTCACGAGACCTGACCTGACATTGTCATTACAAGCTTCTTCCTTTCCCAAAATAGACCTCCTCTATCAAACGGGGCGTCAAAGGAAAGTGAGGCGATTGAGTTTTGACAGGTAATCGTGAATTCTTGTCTAGGGCCAAATGGGTTAGAGGAGGCTCTGCCATGCGATAATGGCACCACTTCTCAAACACAACTACACTAAGAGTCGTGTGTTGCTAACGAGAGTACACGAGTTTCCGTGTGGCACTCTCACGATAAGACTTGTCCTCCGCGTACTGGGAATATAGGGCTGTCGGATCGAGACTGTTCTATTGTACTTCGACCAGTGGGAGAGGGCACCACAGCCATTATCATGACATCTTGATTTGACTGACGAATGGTGAGGTTTTGGGAACTGGCTAATGCAGAGACGGTTCTTTTGGAGTTCAAAAGGCCTGGCCTCACCCGCCTCGCCGGGTCAGTCCCTACGTAGCATCGTTCAGTTCAGTTCAGTCTGTATCAACGCAACGTCCTGGCTGTTCTACATCTTACACTGGCCAAACTTGCACGGTGATTGTTATTCTAGTATCACACCCAGCTCCGACGCGCACACATAGAGCAACCTTACACTGCATTATCCTCCGTATATCAGTGAGGAGTTAGAGTCTCGCCTCATTTCTCCCTAAACTGAAACACTTACCAGACTCTCTCTATCGTCATGGACATATTCGATAACCACGAAAACAGTTCTGAATCCTCTATATCCCTTGCCTCCTCAATCTTTACTCAGGACCTGGAGCGGTTCAGCACCTACGGTTTTGATTCTGATGTCCCTGATGATGCGGACGGGGATATAGATGATGACCATCAGCCTTACGGTCCTCCTACCTATTCATCATTGATGCTCGAGAATGCCACCGTCCGCTCCGATGCCGACTTCTTCTCCGTGACCGGCTGGACAACAGCAACAGTCGGGTCTTCGACCGATTCCACCTCCGAAACAAGATGCCCCGCTCCGGGCTCCGTGTCGGCCTCAGTCTCGGCTTCGGTCTCGATGGCCGATCTGACGGCGTCCACATCCCGCCTGGATCTCCAAGTCCAGGATCCCCGGCCTTCTTCGTCAATGACCAGTTCCAGTCCTGGTCCCAGCTTGCACGTGGTTGGCCGTGCTTCTGACATTTCTGCCAACGCTGATTCCTTGTTCAACTCCAATTTTGATTCCAACGCCAGCTCCAACTCCAACTACGGATACACCTTTGATCAAGGACTTTGTGGTATCGGAGCTTGGGCAGACATTGCAACGAGCCCATTCGTCGCCAAAATGAAGCGAATCACTCCGCGACAATGATGATTTCATGTTCCTTATTTTTCCTTGGTTACTGGACTATGCCTTGAGACAAACAGCATCAAGGAATGTCGCCGAGTATGGATCACCCTTGTTTGCTTTTTTCATGTCGGCAGTCGCTCTCTCATTTTAATTCAATTTCATCTCATCCCATCTTTCCCAGACGAACGGGAGGCTGCGCTGTTTCATCTACAGTATCTTCCCATATTCTTACCCTCTTTTCATCTGAACATATGTGCAATGATGCAGAGTAATACCGAAATGTTTTATGTCCCCCGCGCTCATTCTTTTTTGTGTTTCCCAAGGCTTTGTCTTGAACTAAACTAAACCCCCGGCGATATTCTGATAGTCGCTCGTTTCAAAGAGTCAAAGACACAGCCACAAAGAGATGGAATGTTTGCTGGTGCAAGGGGCCTTGCACCGGATCAGATCAGATCAGTCACTGTAGATCAAAGATCAGATCGGTCACACCGGAAGAGACAGTCAAAGAGACGAAAAGCGAAAAGCGAAAAGCGAAAAACTTGCAAACTTGTTCATTCATTGATTCTCCCTTTTTCCCCACGCGAATTGATATCCTTGAAATGTAACACAAACCCGTTAATCAAACTGTCAAGGGAAACGATCAGCGTTTACAATTCCAAACCTGTTTGCTCAGACTCAGAGTAGTAATTAATCAAATCCCATGACACACCGCATGCGCAAGTCCTACAAGCAGTGACTGTAAAAAGACGCAATATCGGTCCTCTTGTCTCAAGTCATGTACACGCGTACTATAGAGCCTAAAGTGAAGACCTTGTAGCGAGCGAGCATCTAATTACCGGCGTGCGACGAGTTTCGGACAATTGCCTGGGGGTGTTGTGTAAACTAGGTAAACTGCAAAGGCGGTGATCGATCTAATGGATGGATACTGAATGAATCGCATAAAGTTGACATGGAATATTCCGAGGCGGCATAACGAAATCTCGGTGTTAAACGGAACAGGCGATATCCGGAACCATAAAAAATAGAGGACGCGGCAATTCCTCACTCTATGATGCCGGCTCTTGCTTCGGCTGTCTCGTGACAACAAAGATCCCTCAGATGAATGATTGCCCGATGCAGAACATGTCCACTGATATCATACACTTGTATAGCAGGGAATAACCCCCTACCATGGGTTGAGGGTTGCATATTACCCGCCCGGCCAAGGGATCGGTTTGCAGTAGTCGAGCCGTTGAGTTGTGCTTCTGAAACAGCAATTGGGCCGCGAATGCATGGGGGGGACCTGGACAGATCAGACCGGGAACCTGCATAAGGGAGTGGAGAGCAAGATGAATTCGGACGACGCAGATGCAACTCGCAATCTAATTGAAAGAGTAAGAGATAGGGAAGAAAAACCAATGCGTCTCTTCTCCACAGACAATCAAACATGACATCAGAAGCTTAAATTGAAGGAGGTGACATGAGAACCTTCTAAGATGGAGACCAACTCAGATCCAGTGAATAAGATATCACCATCAATGATCCTCAATCCTAGTATCCGCCTGCATGAAACATGAAGAGTCACAACAAAGTTCACAATTCACAGAACCAATAGAGAAAGGAATATTGTAAAAAAGCAGACCAACTTTGAGTCTAATTGAGTTCTAAATACCTGGCTCTGGCTCTCGATCCCTCCCAGATAAGCCATTGCAGGCCTCATCGTAGGATACAGCCGGCCGTGACGCCTCATGGGTAACCGGAAACGAATAAACAAAGGCCATCATTAAAGTAGAATTATACACCGAAAACTTGAATCTCATCAAACCACTCTTCTCATCCCACGTATTATGCGTGCAGAACAATCATGTCCATAACTTAGTTAAGGTAAACCATGGCCATGGCGGCACCGGCAATGAGAGCCAGAGAAGAGGTCATGCGGGTAGCACCGCTGACGGGGACCTCAGGGACACCGGTCTGGCCGGGGGCACCACCGGTCTTGCTGGGGGTAGCAACGGGGGTGGTGGCGTTCTTGGGAGGAGTGACGGGAGCGTGGGTAGGGATGATGGGCTTGTCGGCAGTGGTGGTCTCGACAGGCTTGGTAGCAAGAGTGGTGGCCTGCTCAGTGGTGGCAGCAGCAGTGGTCTCAACAGCGGACTTGGTAGCGGACTTGGTGGCGGAGGGAGCGTCGTAAGAACCCTCGTAAGAGAACTGCTCGCTGTAGTTGATCTCGCCAGCAGAGTCGGTGATCTTGAAGTTGTAGGTGTCCGAGGGGAGCTGAGAAGGAGTGAAGGTGAAAGAGTCACCCTCAGCGGAGCCTGTGGCGCGTTAGTATGTGATTCAAGGGCAGTCAAGATTAGTCTGAGACATACTGGTCAGGGTCTTGTAGTCCTTAAGATCAGTGGACTCTCCGTTCTGGAGGACAATGGTGCAGCCAGAGTCACAGCCGGAGAATCGGATGGTGTAGGGCTGGCCCTCGGTGAGGTCGAACTGGGTGTTGAGGAAAGCAGGCTGAGCCAGGGCCATGGAGGCGAAGGCAGCAACGGTAGCGAAAGTGGTCTTCATTTTGAAGGTTGGGTAGTTTGTGATTGAAAGAATGACTGAGTTATTACTATCAGTCAAGTTAGTGAGATGTTTCAGTTTGTGATGTTTCGATAAAGCGTGAATAGTAGCGAGACTATGAGCAATAGCGCGAGTGATGTGATGATGTTGTGGTAGCGAAGTTGCATTGGCAAGGCTGAGCACGAGTCGATATATAAACAAACGACTCGCTTCGCTTCGCAGGCAGCATCGATGTTGCCGGTGTTGAATCACTAGCACTTGCTTTCACTGTCGACTGCCAGTGCCGGCAGGTGCCAACGGTTCCTTCCTGGTGATATCGACGGCTGCTGCCATTGCACTGCAAGTGCCCATCACTTCCAGCTCCATAGGGGGAACGAGAGTGTGGTTGTATGCGTCTGCTCCCTCAAGGGGCAAGTGAAGGCTGAGAGTGGTATCAACTTACATTAAGGTAGTAGTAAGAGGCACAACGAGGTAGCGATTGACTGATGAGCTGCGTTGATAGAGAAGAAGAAAAAAGAGGGAGAATGAAGCGGAGGAGGGAGGCTTATTATAATGAAGGGAACTGTGAGCTAGTGACAATAGAATGTCAATAATAAAGGGGATACCTTAGAATGCTCGCTCCGTGATCAAACGCTACGCAACCTAGACCTGGACTACGCTATTCTACGGATACCAACCTAATCCCACGAGACCTTGGGTATCCCCATCCCACACAAGCTAACAAACCAGGTCAGTGGAGGTGGAGGCTAATCAGAATGAAAGGGGGGTGTGATCAAAGGCCAAGAAAGGATGGAGGTGTGAGGGACCGAGTGAGGCGTAGCAAAGCATTGCATCCCCCAATCCAATATCCATTATCCCATAGCAGTAGAGTATCCGTACAGCAGCCATAGCCCGTAGCTGGAGCCAACTGCAGTACATTGCTCTTGCCGGGATTGCTCTTCCTCCTTCTCCTTTCTCTCTGTGCTTCCTTCCCCCTTCGCTTCAGGTTCTTTGCACTTGCACTTGCACTTGACCATGGTCCCTGCGTTCTTTCACCAACAAGTGGATGCTACCCTGAGACACCCTGTCAATACCTCTGCTTGGCCCTAGAAGCTCATGCCTTGATTGCTTGGCCCATTTCGCTACATCATCACATTCCATCCACTGGCAGGCCAGCCACGGCCTTGCAATACCCGAACCAGAACGGATCATGTCAGATCCCTGCTAAGGAAATTAGCCATGCAGGCCTGGCGTGCCAGAGCCTTACCCTTTGTGGCGCTCCCATCACTGCGCTCTGCGCTGCCGCTGCGTAGTCTTCCCTCCTTCAGGCCCAAGGATCTTCCAGCTCCACCTGCAGGACCAACTAACAACCTCTCGGAGTGCGGTGCCTGGCAGCCAAAGCGGGCACGCGCCCATCAATCCATTAGCGACCTGCGGCCTCGATCCATCACAATTTGACTCTTTCGCCCGAGCCTTAGCCTTGCCCCCCGGCTACCTCTCTACTACTACTGTACATACCTGCAATGCTTCGCTATCGGCGGTCACCTTCTGACGTTAGTTAGTGCTGCATATCACCAAACCAAACGGGAGATTCCAATCCGTTCGGTCATGAGTCGAGCGTTGATCCATGCGTATCTCTGCGACTTACCAAATCCTCAATCGATCCGACCGCAACCCCGTGCTGGTCAAGGGTTTGTTGTCAGCCTTGCCTTAGTCTGGCAACTGGTCACGGCGCGCTTCTCCGGCGTATACCGGAGGTGGTTGCACCTGTTCTGGGGGCGAAGTTGTGCCTGTACCTCGGTGGTTGAAAAGTTGAGTGCGCAGAGCTTCGCTGACAATATTACATGACCAGTATACTAGAATTCCAGTGAGTCACTTGCTTGTTTTATTTCGCGCTCTAAGCTCATTAGTTCATGTTTCTGGCACCCACTAGCCTACCCTACTGCACTTTTAGCAGCGATAGCCGCCATGATTTTAAGTTACCACCCTAGACAAGCTGTCGTAAGCTTTCCCGATGCAATGCGATCCAGCAAGATAACCGTGTCTTTGTTCTGCTATGTATTGCCTTGGTGAGTTGAGCCGTGGGTTGTCAAGCAAATCGGCAGGCTCAACATCACTTGTTAGCAGACATGTGGCTACTGGAACGAAGGCATAGCAAGTTCCCATCGGCTATCATCATGTCAGTACATATCCGTACAAGCGAGTGTTTTCACCCTATAACACTATCTATTAAATCCTGATAGGAGGGCCGACGATAGCGGAGATCAAGACCCTTGTGGGTTGTGGCCAACGGTTCTCAACACCCGGGAAATTTCAGCATGTCGGCTGCTGCCATTATCGATCCTCTTTTCCTCCACGGGGGTCTGGATGCTTGCCGCTATTGGAAACTTGGCCTGCCTGATGAACTAACCTTTCCTTATCGGGTACCACTTTAATGACTTTGCCCCCCTGGCTTGTCAATAGTTCCAATCGCCAGCTTCAATCGCGTCCTTTCCCTGCAAGCACTTGAGATTATTCTAAAATGACTCTTGCAGGTTTTCCTTGAGAATATTGATGAAGGGGGCGTTCTGGGCATTACTGGCTTCGAATCAAATTCTGCGTTGCTGCTCGCAGAGATCAGATTCTACCATCTCAGGCGCCTACAGCGCATCATCCGTCGATAGTCATTCCCGAAAGTGCATCCAATGATTTAGCTGCAAATTAGTGTGAATCACTGCCCGTTGATGGCGTACGCCATAGCTGCGTTGCCGTAGCTGAACGTTGGGCAAAATAGACAACAAACAGACAGACCATTCATGCATGCCCGGCCCAGATTACATGCCATTGCAGCATTGGCATACAATCTATTACAGCAGGGCAGATATGTCGCTGATAGCATCATCAGGCTTCTTTCTCTCAACATGTACAAGCACTCGCATTACGGTTCAAGCTTTCAAGGTAGCGAGAGAACTAACATTGCAATACATTCCATAAGACTTGGCATGGCTTCAGGGCATTGAGGAAGGACAACTACGCAAGAGCATTCGTACTATGCATTCTTCCCATAAACCCAATACCATTGTGCCGCCTCGCTGGTGGGATAGCGTACTACCCAGCCTTCTTCTGCAACACTAGCATGAACCGATGATGTGGTTTGTTGACCCCCGCACCCGTTTCCGGATCGGTATGTTTATTGTTGACGTTGCTTTTGTGGCTTGAAAAATTGTCGGGAGCTTGGAGTGTTATTCGTCATGGCTAATACGAGTGCATTCCGTCGTCTTCAGCACACCTTCAGGCAGGAGGCTTGGAACACACAGAAGCACCAAGAGTATGAATGGTGTAGGGCAACTGTCCATCATCGGTCAGTCCTGATGGTCTAGGCCTTACCACAGCTCGAGAGGTCCCTGCAATGAGCGGCTACTGCTTTCTCTTACAATCGCTAGTTTGACATCGCCGCAGTGCGTCCTACGAGTCCTTCCTATACATCAAAACATGGGGCTGAGAGTAAACGCACAGCCTTGTAGGCTGAGACAGGAGTTGTTTTTACCCACTGACTGTCTCGTCTTTCTCTTGTCTATGAGTTTATTGATCTTTAGAAACACCGGTCAACTTACAAAGTACGTGCGGTGTAAGTGAATCACGTCAGGGCACTTGGACAATGCATGAGAGTTTAGCCTGCTTTCCAGGGTTGACAGACAATTCCCAGTCGTGGAAGCATCGAATGCAGGCATTGCACCGGCCTAGGAAAATCAAGCTGGGGTCCCCAACTTTTGGCATTGCTTACCAGGCTCAGGATTAGGATCAGGCCAGGCCGGTCCGAACGCATAAACCAACATCGCTACCCTTCTTTACAACAATCTCCTCCAACCCCACACAGCACTATCCATGCAAACCTGCATTGCCGCTGGCTGCCTGGATTGGTTCGGTATGGAAACTACGGGGCCACCCTCTCCGAGCTATACTGATTCGAGCATCGTCATGATAACCACTGTCTTGGCCGGTACCGCTCGACATTATTAGCCAAGCTTTCACGATACTATCATGGTTATCTTTGATATCCCCTATTACCTATAACAATTTCCTTGACTCTTCTAGACTTTCGAATCTCCGGCTAAACACACGGCTAGAAATGCAAGTGTGCTAAAAATGTCTTTTTATCTCTTTGGGAGTATCATCGGCTCGGACGTTGGTTTCTTCCTCAGGGTAACATTCAAACCTTACGGAGATGGGTAACTGCTTTTAGTGCAGAGTGCGTTGAAGCCATCCGCGACCCCGGTCCGGCATTGAAGATCGTAGGAAATGCCTCATTGATGGAACGTCATGAGCGCCGATCCAAGTCCTTTGATTTCACTCTACTTGCTTCCCGTGATAACCGCCTCATCTCGGTTCTCGATGAAGTCAAACGGTCTTTGCCAGCCTCCCCGGAATCACTGACCAGTCCGAGCATTCGACCAACGTCTCAAACTTCAAACAAACTGTTTTGTTTGACAAAGCTGTCTGACCGCAAGCGACGCCCGGTTAGCCACCCGGCCACGCGAATATCATAAACTTTGCGATGCCATGCTTGAGAAAACTTTAACAAATTTCTCTATCAACGCTGTCGTGGTCATGCTTATGTCATGCGCCCGTTGAACAACCACGGCGTTTGTTCCGTTTGAACTCTTCGAAGCTTGAACAGAAGGCTGGTGAACTGTAAATGCTTACAGAGAGGATTTAAAGTTGAGATCTGTACCGAAATGAGGATAAACCTTGTGGCCACAGGCTCCGTCAACGCACTCCATGTTTGGAGAAACACCCCTCTTGAGAAAAAGTTAATATTAATTGCTTAATAGTTGGTACTAACGTTCCTTGGTTGGCGTTGTCTTTGGCTTGCCACATCATGAATCGTTGACTTGGTCCGTTGCATTTCCATGAAGCTCTTCATTTCTTCAGAAATTGTCATTGCCCTTTTTCAATTAAAATGTGCTCTATACCTAAGTGGAGGTAGCGAGCTATTGCTGTTTTGCCAAGTACGTACATACTCAAAGTGTATCCTCCAAACTTCC